ACCCTGCGCGTTGACGTCGGCCTTGTTGTCAAGCAGTATCTTGACCACCTGCTCATGGCCTTCAGCTGAAGCTGCCTGCAGTGCGCTGCTGTAGTCTCCACCCTGCGCGTTGACGTCGGCCTTGTTGTCAAGCAGTATCTCTACCATCTCACGATGCCCCTGTCTGGCGGCCAAATACAACGGAGTGTCGCCGTAGCTGTTCCTGGCATTAAGCATAACCGTAATAGGTCCTGGCGCAGATACAATCTTTCCCGCTACGGTAGCAAGTCCGAAGAATGCTAGCTCGTGCAAAGGTGTAGTCGTCGGATACGCTTTGCTGTAACCTCGATACTTGTAGACAGAAACCCGCAGAACCTGCGCGGCACACGACAGTGAAGTGCTATTAAGTAGCGTGCACACCTGACCTGCGACATCGTCCTCTACTGCTCTTGCATGTACCCCCCAGTACTTAGCTGCATAGTTGAGAAGCGGGTATTCCTGCAGTCTCTTCTCATACTCTTCATCTGTGGAGCAGCTGCCGCTTTGAAAGGCACTGAAGCACAGGTATGTGAGGCATGTCTCAGTAATACGGAGTTGGCCGTCCGGTACCCATTTATCTCCAGTTCGCTCGAAGTATTCCTGTGTAGTGTAGTGCACAAGGCGGATAACAGCACTTTCTTGGTCGATGACGACGAGGCCGGCGCAAACAGACACTATGTCTTCGCTATCGGGGACGCTTTCGGGATCGATCTCCGTTTCCTCAGGCTCTACTGCTAGAGCGCAGCATATCTCGGTAGTTGTGAGCGGTCGCTTCGCGAACGTAATCCACGATATAACCCTTTTGGCTAGCTCGCGGTCACCTTCGAGCTGACATTCAATTCTCTGAAGAGCTTCTGCGTACGCGACGTCGAGTGCGGCTGCGCCATTTGTGAGTCTTGCGAGACTTGTCTTAACGGCCTTTGTTGTATGTTTGTCGCGCAGCGAATCTACATGCAGGCGAGCAAGAAGAAACCTTGAAGTAGTCAGTGCGTGCCATCGCCAGATATGGTAATCAACTTACATGCCATCTACTGCGTCTGATATCTTTCCCTGCACCATTTCCTGCAGCTCTGGGCTACGCTGTATGCATGCAGGTAGTCGGTATAACTGGCCGGCGATGAAGCGTTTCACGTCTTCCCTGTTAGCCTTCACCTCCAGCCTTAGCGCTGCTCTGAAGGCATATCTGATGTCTGGTATTGACCGCGCTGTGACCATCAAACGAACATCTCTTCCTGTCTGAAATTCCCTGAGTTTCGCTAGGAATTGGCGTCGGGTAGCGGACTGGCACTCGTCCAGTGCATCGATCACTACACAAATGTAAGGGTAGTGTGCAAGGACGTACTGTAGCGCGCTGGTGGTTTCATCAACAGACGGCTTAGTTCCCCGGTTGGCATGCTTCTGATGCAAACGTTCTATGTGCTCTATCGCTGACGGTCGACCTGAAACCAGCTGCTTTAGAATAGCTGTCAGCATACTGGACACGTCTTGCTCTTCCTGAGCTTTGTAGTTGCAATACACATAGGCTACTCCGTGTGTGCTGTGCTGCATAGTGTTCAGCAAATGGTCGATCGCAATAGCTGCGATCATGGTCTTGCCAGCCCCAGGGATACCTGGACAATAGAGAGTGGCCTTGGGCTCGTTGAGCCACCGTGACACTTCAGGTGCGTCCAGAAACCACTGGCCCGTTCCTTGCTCTCTGCGCTTTATGATGTCCGATTGTTGAGCTGGATAGTCTAAACCCGATGTCCATTCTAGCAGCGTGCGGAGCTCTACCGAGTCACACCGCTGTTGAATGGTGTCTATCCCAGACTGGATGACCGGTACCTGCTTCCGAAGAAAGGCGGCATCGTCCTTGATTGCTTGCGAAAGTTTGCTTGCATGAGTGAGCTTTGGTGCTGAATACCACTAGGAAGGAAGCTCACAAGTGGTCCATCTCTAACGCGACCCCTACCAGGCCTTTCAATCTCTCCATTCGAGCCAGGATGCTCGCGACCTCTTCCTTCCTGAACTTCCACACCAACGCCTCGCCAGCCTTCTTTAGTCGACCGCCATCAGTCATCTTAGCCTGCAGCGTTTCCAGCGCTTGCTTGAACTGATCAAGCGGTCCATCTTGGACTGCAAGGGCTCGCACGGCTACGCACCATGGCTTATTGACGCTCCCTTCTTCCAGTCGATATCTCACGTTGACAAGAAGGTTGTAGAGATTTGAGGTCTCGATTGCGCACTGCGCACGGTCCTTCGAAGCGTTTTTGACGTCATTCAGGTACGCTAGGACTTTGGCGGAGAGCTGGAGAATCGCGATGATACTGGCAGTGACGCTGAGCGGATCCATACGGCGGGCAGCAAGACCTAGTTATGGGCCTGTAAAAGCTAGCGATAAGGAGATGAGGAAGAGACATGACAGACAAGCGACCAGGCTGAAGTGTGCATCTGCAGCAGGGCTGAGCAGCCATGTTCGATTCGCTGGGCGGCACTGGAGCCCAGAGTAAACACGTGACATCGCGACAACAAACGCTAGCTCCACATTCTTATAATAACATGAAACGTCAAGATAAGAGCCACACTTTGATCGTACAAGGCCTAAGTGAGTGTTACACTTGCTACGTGCAGCTTTGCGACGATCGCGCTGATTAATCGGTACCTACCTAGGTAGGACAGAGGCAGCGAATTGACGCTCAGTGCAGGCAATCACGTATGTATCCTGCACGCCTCATCTTATATATTGGTTCTGCATGAGCCCCACAAAAGTATCGACGCGAGTCTGCTCAATTCAAGATACAATGGCTCAACATCAAGCAGGAGGGTCGGACCAGGTAATTCGATTTTATGAATGGAAACAAATCAGATACTGTACAGCTGCTAAACCTCCATGGTCTTGAGCGTTAATACCAGTCTCCAGCAACCATTCGCGCCACTGAAGCTCTCCACGGCTCTTGAGACGCAGCAGGGGGAGTTGCGTCGATTGTAGACTCTTTCCCATCGTTACTAAATGCCGTGTTGACATTCTTTTATGCGTTCATCTCTTTCGGACCACTCTACAACGATGACGCGGGTGTGAATGCGGCCACTCAGGTATATCTCTCGCACATTGGGTGCTTCTTTGTTGCGGCAGACGTAGCCGCTGTATAGTCGATGGAAACTGCGTTGAGTTGCTTGCTAGCTAGGAGGCGACCATATATACATGCCCTGAGACGTGCTAGTCCAAGGTAGTCAACAGAGGTGACGATCAAGGCCTGTCGGACCGACTTGCACCGCAACATTCTTGGATCCCCCCTTAATTCGCGGGTTGCGCCCTGTGTTGGACCATGTCCATCAACAGGTTGCCTGAGGACCTCTAAGCTCTTTACTCGACACTGAGAAATGGACGGAGCTACAACCGGACGCGGCTGACGACCCTGAAGATCGGCAGATTGATTGGGTCGGTGATATCTGGGGCAAAGGTGATTTGAAGAGCAGCGAGCAGGCAAGCGTCTACGATCAGACATTGTCAGCGCTGCGAGGTTGCAATATGTGGCTGAAGCAATCCAGCGAATGAGATAACGACGATACACTCTGGAAGGCACACTTCACGCCATCTTCAGGGCCGTTCATCTGGATTTCCGTTACACCTGAGGGGTATTTTGAACTTCTCCAACAGAGACAGCTGACACCCACGATCATATTCGTTTACTTTGTGGCCGCGACCCACGGTTTGAATAATCATTGGTGGATGGAAGGGTGCGGAAGAAGTGTAGTCGAGGTTGTTGATCAGTGCATTGGTCCGTACTGGGGCGACTGGATGGAGTGGCCGAAGCAGGTCGTACGTCTTGGAACGCCGACTTAATACGTGAGCACGCGCTCGTTTCCACCCAGAGAGGAAAGCAAGATGTACAACTACACCGCGCCTGCTCTTATGGGTGTAGGCGATAAGCACTTTCCACCGCGTTTATGTTATGAATATAGCAATTACAATAGTGATTCGCGGGCTTAGTCTAGGTACGAAATCTTGAGCTCCTCTCCAAAGCCCTTACTGATATGAGATTTAAGTTTGTGATTCTTCCTCGGTTGTTCGTTTATACTCGCACGCACGATGCACAGCTATCGACATGTCAAACGCTCCAGCATCATCGAGGGCCAACCTTACCGTACCCACCCACCTTCTGCGTCGTTCTAATGAAATTCCGTTGAACTGATCTTGGAGCCTTACCGAAGAAGGCCGCTTACTCCGTGTGCTGTCAACGAAGACTGATCGGTATGACTGCGAAGCGAGGGTTTGACTCAATTCCTGTCGTACATCGCAGCCGGCGCTTGCTTCTTGAAGGATCAAATTAAACTGAATTTCTGAAGTCGCGCTTGGCTCGGCTCGGTCTTGCATACTTGGTATATGTAAACATATGCACACGCAGTACACCATTGAACGGTCAGCCATAAAGAGCAGTACCGGGCCGCTACTCCTAACCTCGACCGCAGAAATCTAACAGAACTGTCAAGAACCAACTACAAAAGTCAGATCACTAAAAATACACCTCTTTACGTTCGCCCTCTTCTCGTCGCCGTCATCCCGGCTGCGTCGACTCAGGTATCGACCACGTTTGACCTTGTGTCATTCAGCAGCACCGTCCATCGACCAAGGCCAATTCTACTTCGCCGTCTCCAACGCCCGAGGTATTGTGTTGTGACAAAAGAGCGAAAGGCATCCCTTATACCTCCTTGGAACAAGCACCAGAAGAGTAGGTGCTGCGACATATTGCCAACGTCGACTACCAGCCCCAAAATGCCTCCTGGTCTCCATTTTCCCTCGGAACCGAACCATTAGGTACCGGTAATGTAACTGCGTGAGCAGTGTCGGTCGGAGACTGTGATCAACGAGTGAATTGCCATCTGTTGTCGTGTTGTGATGTCGTGCTACAGAAGCTCTCAGCTCTCAGGTAAGCGCACTTGCCCACCGGCAGTATCTGCTACAGTAGGATATCATGTGATCTAAGCCACGTGGTTACAGGTAATAACCCGAAATGCCAACGATTTCCTGTCACAGCGAGATACCGCTTGCGCGGGCCAGAGGTCCGCTGATAGTTTAGATCTGGCATGAAGCGATTCGGCAGTCGGCGCGCGACGCGGAGGCTGAAGTCGTGTACAAACGGTTTCTGGGGTTGGGTAAGGCAAATGATACAGTTTCCAGAAACGCAAAACCAGACTGCTGTAGGGCCATCGCACCGGCGAGTTTAGAGCTACTTCTACGACTACGCCGACAAATGACTCACTGAGCGGCTTATTCTAATATGCGTAACGTTTTCAGTGCCAGATGTGGAGGATCGCATCACATGGGCACGGTCAGAGGGGTTGATGGTGGAGTGAAGCTGACATTCTCAGGGTGGGCAGGGCGAGGCGTGGATCCGTTCTTTCATGACAAATTGTACGAATATCAATCTACATGGAATGTAGCCGTTGGCAATTCTGATCAGACGTTATATGCATGCATGATGAATTTGCTATCGGGACGCTTGAACACTACAACACAAAACCGCCTTCCACTTCCCTCTGCTGCTCACACGTCACTGCTCCGCCTTGGAGACTCGCGGTCTGAACCTCGTGTTGAAGTTCTTCTGCGTGACAAACCACGCATTATGCGTCTTCCACTCGGTCCCGGGCCGCTCAAGGTCAATCTCAAACCTCCTCAGGAAGCTAGGAACGAGCTTGTAAATCTCCAGCAGGCTGATGTTCTTGCCGATGCACGTGCGCGCGCCCGCGCCAAACTGCAGCATAGTGCCCTTCATCTCCTTCAGCTTCTCCGGACTCGCCTCGAGCCAGCGTTCCGGCCGGAACGCGTCGACGTCCGCGCCGAAGATCTCGGGCCGCCGGTGCACGACCCATGCGTTGCAGCCGACGATGGTGCCGCCGGGGATGAAGTCGTCGACAATCTTCATGCCCTGCGCGGGCACGACGCGTTCCATCATCAGCCCCGGTGCGGGGTGCAGGCGGAAGGCTTCCTGGATGACAGCGTCGAGGTAGGGCAGTTTCTGGGCTTCGGGCCAGGAGACTGTTTTGTCGTCGCGCTGCGCGATGGTACCGGTTGCTGCCGCGTGGTCGAGCTCGTGCATCAGCTTTGCGTAGACGAACGGGTGCTTGACGAGGAAGTAGAAGACGGCGGATAGACTGATGGCTGTTGTTTCGCTGCCGGCAAAGACCATGGATGTACATGTGGACAGGATGCGGTTGTCGTCCATGAAGGGGTGGTCGTGCGAGGCCTGGGCGAATTTGGAGAGCAGGTCGATACCGCGCGGGTTCGCGCGCTCGTCGTCGCTGAGGCCGAATTGCTTGATTTTGGAGACTTGCTGCGCGCGCTCGTTGGAGCGGGAGAGCGCGAAAAGGGTGACGGGGTGGATGCGCTTGTCGAGACCGATGCGCTGTACGAAAAGGCTGATGGGGTTCTTCCAGAAGATGCGGTCGAGGATGGGAATCTGTCCGACCTAGACAAATGTGAGCAAGAGCTGGATACTGTCAAAGATGATGTGAACTTACAGGTGCTACGTAGTCGAAGAACTTGCCCAAGAACCCAATGATGTTATCGACATCCTTGTTTCCCTCTACAAATCCCAGGCGCTTACTCCAGGTCAGGTCTCCGATGACATCGAAAGCAAAGAATTGGAGCCACTGGCTGAAGTTGCAGGTTCTGCCCGTGTTGGCGAACATCGCCTCCGTCTTGTCGAGCCAGTAGGTGAGTGTCGAGTTGACAAGTGGTTCGTAGTTGACTAGTGAGCTCATTGCGAAGGCATTGTTTACACAACGGCGGTATTTAGCGTGGAAGTCCTCGTCGGTAGTTGAGAACAGTGAGAGCAAAGGTTTGCCGTTCGCTACAGCACCCTGCACTGGATAGAAGTCCGACTATGCAAAGTCAGCTACGAGAGCTACGGCGGACATTGAGTGCGTACCTTGTAGAAGCCCTTGTTCAGCCCGTAGATCTGCTTAATAGCCCTGGGGTCCGCGAAAGAAAGGACATTGGGCCCGAGCCGGACAATGTCACCGTGCTCACGATGCAAGGCAATGTTCGTCCAGTGGTGGTCCCTCTTCGATACATCTCGGAGCCTCCACCAGTTGCTGTATCCTGCTAGTGTCGGCCCAGGATATTTGTTTAGTCCTTTCCAGTATTTGTTGCTGATGAGGTGGCCTGCGACAAGAGACACCAATACAATGGGCCAGTACCGTATGAGGAGCGGCAATACCTCGTTGAGGAGCATGATGTGCGATTTCAGCCTGGTTGACGGATGTTGAAGGTCAAGGCAAGGAAGTGAAGTACTGTTGTCATGCCGGCCTGGGGCGTATCATGTTATTTGAAGCCACGGTCTGAGCGAGGTCTGGGACCCAGTGTCACACGCCTGCGTCGGATTGCATTCGGCATCGTGTTGGACTACGTAAGACTGGAGAGTGTCGGCAGTTGCGAAATCGAGCTTTAGTTGTACTTCTGATGATGATGCTGTGGAGCCACCGTGCGGGCTTGATCCGTAGTTAGTGATCCGGGGCGCGGGGTACATAACTGGCTGGAATTCAACAGCATAAATGTTCACTTCGCATTTACCGGGGCTTCAGAAGTTCAGATCGCGCAACTACTGACTCCATTTCCCATAGCAGCTCGTCATAACGCGAAGGTCACAATTTGGCGATACCTAATGTGCAGTGCGTGCACACGCCGATGTACGACCGCGACGGTGATTCCGTATCTTTCGTGTTGATTCTATTATTGTGAACTGCCGACAATGTTGGGCTCGATAGCGAGGTCTTGTGCGACGATTATGATATCGGCAGTTGTGTTGCTCGGCAGATGCGTTGTGTTGTTGTTGTTGTTAGGCAGCTAAGTTGGACCCGGATTACCCGAGGGTTGGTGCACACGTGACCTTATCCGAGGCTTCCTATGTCCGTCGGTCCATCGAGGAGTCAATGCTGCGTTCAGAGACTGCAGGTACGGACGGGAAAATCATGTGCAGATGTTTTCATTGGGTGTCGATTGTGATTCGTCCGAATACGTCGGAGTGTACGAAATGATGATGGAAAAAGAGGGATTCTATAGAATTCTAATCATCACAGGTGGGTTCTCATTGTCGACGTAAAATTGAGCAGGCATCTGGCACTACAGACGCGCATCATGAGCAATCAATTCGTATGGCATAATCTTCGATAAATGACAAATTGGAACCAACGCCATTTGATAATTCCTATCTGCAGGCGACCGCAGACCGGGGGATTGTTAAAAGAAACCCGAACAGTCCCGACACAATCGAGAGTCTTTGAATAGGGCCGTAGACATTGCCTGGTGAGGGCAAAAGCAATGTCGCTCCAATCCAGTGTCTCGAGCCGTCGGTCGCGAAGTACCTCTGCATAGTGTTGAGCTTATGCAAATGGACCGTGTCACTGCGTTGGTATGATGCATCTTGCCGCCGTGATCCTTATACCGTTCCTTTGTTCATAGTTTGTCCATACCTTGTCGACATTGGTTGTCCATGGTCGAGACTGTGGATCGAGAGGTTCATCATTCCTGCACATCGGTACACAGCCTGCAGATGACGCGGTATCAGTCGGTGCATAGCAAAGGATGAAGAGGGTTTGGGCTACTGTTGCAAGCAATACCATTATCCTAGGTGCAGATGGGTGTCAAACAGTGGCATGTTTTGCGAAGCGCCGACATGGAAAAGTGATGGAGTGTGCATCGCCGAGCACCGTACCGAGCGATCTGTTCCATGGGAACATGCACAGCATCACTTGCTTGATGTTGTCGACCTCTGCAAGCCTCGTCAACAGCTCTGTGCATGTGTCTGCCGTCGCCAAGTACAGGGAGGTTCATCGAAGATTACCGAGCGACCTCATCTCCCGAGCTCCCCGGTCGCTTAGCTCTCACACGAAGTAGGCGCCTAATGCGAGTGATTGCGAATATCGATCCCAGGGTCGTGGACTTCCGCCATCCCCGGATGCCCAGCCCTGTCGTTTAACGATCCATAGGGGGGCAATATCGACACACCACCATCTCTTCCAGATGGCCAGACCAGATCTTAGCCCCCAGTTTCAGATGATCTTACCACAACCACACTCACCCGGACGTGGACCCCCGGTCCCGTTGATTCCCAACACTTTCCCGATTCTGTTTGAGGTGCATCTAAATTGCCGAGTGGTGACGACTACTGTTGGACATTCGTTGAAGGCGGCTGAATAGGAGACGATGGGGAGCACTGATGTGTCTGCCGTCCAGACGAACTGAAACATATACGGCTGAGTGTGGCTGTGTGTCTGTGATCGGTGTGTCCTGCATGTGAGCAGGCACTCCCTTCACAAACGTGCCGTTCCGCGGGCTTTGAACGAGCAATGAAGCTTGCAGTTGCGTGCGCGACTTTCGCGAGCGAGCCGTTCTCCGCACCGTGTAACCTCTGTAGACGCGCCTTCGCAGCCACAGTGTTATCAAGCGTGCATGTGAAGCAAGTGTTGGATGTTCATGTTGGTGATGATGAGGTCGAGAGCAAGTGGAGCGACAGGAGGAGCGACGGGTTCATCCTTGTACGAGAAGACGGTGCGAATCGTGGATAAAAGAAAACGAAGCATGCATGACTGCGTGGGAAATTCTTGATAGCCGGTTGATGGGAAAATACAACCTCTAAGACGTGCTGGCGGCAGGGTGAGTCACAAGGTCCACGTTGGTGTGCATGCCGCATGCGCTGACAACAACGCGCCGGCAGCTTTTGAAACGGCGCCGAAGAGTCTGCAGCTGCGGGCAGAGACTGACGACAGTGATGCCGTCGGAGGGCCGGGCGTCGCTTCAAAGATTTGTGAGAGAGGATGAAGCCTGCAGCGAGAGTAAAGCGTGGAGACGGACGCCGCCTAGAGCCGGATCTTAGCGCGGGTGCTGACCCCTGTCAAGCTGAGCATCTCGAAGCAGCAAAGAGCAACGTCGAATTCATGCTCTGCATGCACAAGCCCTTCGCAACAGTGCGCTCATCAAGAGCCAGCGAAGCAGCATCGTCAGTCCGCCACAGCCAGCCTGCTGGTGTTGCATGCAGCCCCGCAATGCCGTTTACAGTGAGGCACAGGCGTGGCAGACCCAGCGTGCAGGTCTCGGAGCGCCCTTGACGATGCTTTGCAGGTTTTGAAACATGGCAGATGTATAATGCTATCTCTCGATAAGATGGAAATAGCCGTGCAGACGGGTCTTGCGACAGCTTGATCCGGGGCTGCTAGCACTTGCGTAATCGCCTGCGAGGCCCCTCGGAGTGCTTCCGCCGGGGAGGTCGAGGAGACTGTGTGGGCGTCTGTCCCAATGGCAGCGCAGAGCCGAGGACAGCAAACAAGTCCTGAAACGGACTCTCGCTCTGGCAATAATGTTCCCCTGCAGGGGAATATCATCGTGCCCGTTTATGATCAGCAGTTACATCGGCCAGGTGGTGCTGAAGGGACAACTCCGGAGAGCTTGAAAGTCGGCGCGTCCGGATCTGCACAGCCTCGTCGGAGTGGCGCATGACTGCCGGCGCGTCCGCGTGACTATTCCACAATCATGCCGTCTGAAGTCGCTCGAGCATGTTGCTGTTGCGCAGAGTTGCTGCTTCAGCACGCGCGCAGAGGCACTCGACAATGGCACCTGCGGTATTTCAAACAGGTATTCTGGACGCCATCACATGAGAAGCGGCTTTGCTAGAGGTTTTCTGAGCGGATGCCATCCTTGGTCAGATCCCTGCTGCGGCAGCTGATTGGGTCGCTCCGCTTGCGCCCACATCGCTAGCTCCAAGCAACGTCGTCCTGTAGCAGGGCCAAGCACCGCGCAACGACACCCACCTCTCGTCAAACCCTTAGGAACACCACGAGCAGCCGGTCGCCCTTGAACCGCGTCGCCTAAACGGGCAGCAAAGCCGCTGCGGCGCGCGCTCCTGATGGCCGCTCGCGGTAGGCTTCTGGAATGTGCGCCATGTCGCAAGACGCCGATGCTCAAGGCCCAGCAGTAAGCGCAGCACGCCGAGTCTACAGGCACCCTCCTCGCGCAAATCGCGTGTAGGGGCGCAGGTCTGCCGGCCGAGGGCGCCCTGGTGACTCCTGCTGGGCACCTCTGCGGGCAGCAAGCCCGTTCTCGAGGGCGGTTCGTGTGCACCGGCACGGCGAGCGGTGCTCAGCTGCCATGGTCAGTCTCCACCCACGCACAACCGCATCATGGCTCAATTACTATGCTTTTGCCCATCTCGCAAGCGCGTAGCACTGGCGCGATCGCGCACCGTTCGGGTCGTCATCTCCGTGAGCATGGCCTAGAGTGGCATTTCGCGTCCAGCATCGCTCTGCGAGGACGTTGAAATCTCCCGTACGCGGGCGTCCGCCTATCCACGCGTGCGCAACGCGGTGCCTCGGTGCAGACCAGCTTAGATGCGACTAAACCTGCAGCTGCAGGCTCTCGCCATATGCACGTTGGGCAGGCTAACTGCGCAGTGCAGCAAAACGGGGCAGTGTGCATGCACGTCTGCCGGGATGCTGTGGCCACGCCGGGCGACCCATGATCGACGCTTGTAAGAGCTCTTAAGAAAGATGCCACCCTCACCGCTAGCCTTCCCTACCCTCCACCTCCCACCTCGCCTCCCCCTCTCCCCATTCGCCCGCCCTCTTGTCTCCTCTACCCCCACGGCGCGACCAGCAAAAGATATATCCGCCTGAGACAACGGTTTTTACTTTCGTTTTGCCCTTATTTTGTTGATTCTTTCGTCTTGTCTAATACTGCCATCTTGCACCACACAACGCACCGACCATCGCCATGCCGATCCAGCTACTACCCGCGTCGGCTGCTGCCTTTGCGCCACGCTCAACCGTCAACGTCGTTTTGCAGTCCAAGGCCGAAGCCTGGCTGACGCAGACGCTGAAGCGCGTCAACAGAGTGAAGCGCCCGTTGAACAGCGTGCAGCAGCACACGAGATGCCTCACAGAACTGCTGTCCGGAAAGAACGCCATCTGGTCGCTCAGCTCCATCATGGTCCCAAAGGCCCCGGACTCGGAACTGCGCAAGGACTCCAACCCCCTGGTCGAAGCGTTGTTCAACTACCAGCTCATCCACATCGAGGCCTACGTGGTACACGTCGACATGGTTTCACAACATGAGGTTGCATTCAAGCTTACACAGGAGACCATTGATGCGCTTGTCGAGTACCACAAGGACATTTACTCGGTCGACGTTGCCGCCAGCACATGGGAGTGGGCCGAGAAGGAGCAGCAGGTCAAGAAGCTCCAGGACGCTTTCGTGCAGGCTGTGAACCGCTACGTCTTCCGCACCGGCGCGCGCGCTCTCGAGGGCATGGAGGAGGAAGGCGCCGGCGAAGTCCTCCAAGGCCGATGCGAGGACGTCAAGGCTGCCGTCATGGGCCTGTTCCAGCCGCTCCTGCCTCCTCCCCCCAGGATCGTCGACGTGGTCCGCCCTGCTCCTCTTCTGCCCAGCACACCTGGTGCTGCCAACTGGTGGGCGCCCACGCAGTACCTCTCGCCGCCCCAGATGGAGTCGTGGAAAATGCTCCCTTCGACACCCAGCCCGACGATGACGACGTGCAGTGAGCACTCGCCGACGTACTGGAACACGATGGGAAGCACGCAGAGCATGGAGCCTTTCCAGCTGCCGTCGCCCACCCCGTCGTTTAGCCAGCCATGCTACAGCTCGACGAGTGGGTACTACAGCCCGCCCCAGGCCGTCGCACCGATTCCCTGCCTGCCTCTGCCGAGCGTGCTGGCCCAGCAGTGCGGGTCAAGCGCAGCACATGGCGGATTCGGGGGGTTCGGGTGGGACACGGGGTTCGCGACACAGTACGCAGCGTTCACATAAGCAGAACACGTCACCTGTGACAGCCTGCCCCGCGGTCGATGCCTGGAAGCGCGGACCTGGCCAGTCCCCTGAGCGCGCCATCCCCCTCGACACTCGACACGCCGGTCCAAGACAGGAGCGACGTTCACCGCTGCTGTCAGCGCTGCTGTCAGCGCACAGCACGCACGGCATGGGACGGCGTCTGATCGACATTTAGCGAGCGTTTGTTTTTGGTCTCGTCTCCCCTCTCACCGCACATGTCCCTTGATACCTGTTTGAATTTTTTTTAGCGAGCGTTTTCTTTGACGTCATCGACCACGCCTCCCCAGCGGAACGGCTCTTTTCTTTCCTGCATCTCTGGGAGGTCCGCATTTGCTTTGCATTACCACGGAAGACACGGATACAAGGTGGCCTCGCGGCTTCGTCGAGTCGGGCACTCGGGTCTCTTCTATTTTTTTGTTTTTGTCTTTTGTTTAATGTCGTCACGACCGGAACGTTTTGGGTGCGAGCTCTTGATTGAGTCTGGCAAGACCGGCTTTACGAGTTCACGCATCATGTTTGGGTTCCCACCCGCTCGGTCTGGCATGGACTGCCAGCTGGACGACGCCGAGTCGCGGGTGTCGACATACGAGTCCGGGGCATCTCGACGATGGCCCTGCAATAGCTCGTCTCTGCGGCTCTGGCATGCATCGCCGAGCAGAGAGCGGCGCGCAAGGGCGTGACCAGAGCACGCTAGTCGTGCTCTTGGCTGAAGAGCGGTCCTCTGCTTGCGGAGCAAACACTCTATCCCCTTGGGGCGCTGCCTCTCTGGCCGCTGTTCCCTGCCAAGCAGCCGAGACACGGCATCAAGCCCAGGGCCCGGGCGGCCCTGGCTGCTCCACCGGCTGGAGTACACAACACCCCAAAGACGGAAGCTTGCTTCTCCACATTAGCAGTGTAAATCTAATTGAAAAGGACGGAAAAAGACTGTAGAGTTGCAACCAAACAAAAAACATTACACTTTGAACACGATGTGCTGTGATGCGATGTGCTGTGATGCGATGTGCTGTGATGGATGCGATGGATGCGATGCGATGTGCTGGATGCGATGGATGCGATGCGATGTGCTGGATGCGATGCGATGAGATGCGATGCGATGTGCTATGATGGATGCGATGTGCTGTGATGGATGCGATGTGCTGTGCTGGATGCGATGTGCTGTGCTGGATGCGATGCGATGTGCTGTGATGCGATGCGATGCAAAGTGCTGCGATGTGACGCGATATGATGTGATGCGATGCGATGCGATGGCGTGATTGTGGGAGTTGCGAGTGCGGCGGCGCTCGCCGGCGGACACTGAGGATGGTGGAACCTGGGGAAGCACGAGCGGGGCTGCATAGACTCGAAATAGACGGCTGCAGCAGCTCACCCGCGACGAGCGAGAGGCAGACTGCGGGGCCATTCTGTGCCTGTCTCGCCGCCCGTTCCAGAGGCCGAGTGCTGATGTCAAGGCTGCGGCAGCACATGGCTGCGACGACATTCTGTCTCACGTCCCCCGTCCCCTCCAAGCACCCCGACACACGCACACGCACCCGCACCCGCACCCGCACCCGCAACCGCACCCGCAACCGCACCCACCCCGTCTCTCGCCCCGGCTGCCTCGCACATGGCGCCCGGCCGGCCGCACTGAAGACTGACGACTGACGACCGACGACGGACGACCGACGACGGACGACTGGAGACAGACGACTGGCGACTGACGACTGGAGACGGACGACTGGAGACTGACGACTGGAGACGGACGTCCACACCCGACCAAGGCGCGCACGATGCCGCCGGCGAACAGCCCAGTGAGGACGCCCCGCCGCCGTCGAGTGGCCGCGACTGACGTAGCCCGCAGAACCGCGAGCCGACTTCCTTCACCTCGGCGCTGCGCGGACTCGAGAGCCCCGTCCACGACGACGTGCTCAACCTGGCGGCGACGCTGACGACGCAGCTCGACAACGACGACGACGACGACGACGACGAGGCGGCGCGCGACATGGACGAGGCGCACGCAAGTCTGCGGTTCCTGCGCGAGCAGCAGGCCCACGACGAGCTGCGCCTGAACGAGTCCCGCTCCAGACTGCGCCTGCTCGAGGGCGCCCGCGATGGCCTGGACCACCGCGACCGCTTGCGACGCAGCGTCGACCGCTTGAACCGCCTGCATGAGGCTCAGGCTCAGGCACAACACGCCCAGGCACAACACGCCCGGACACAACACGCCCGGACACAACACGCCCAGACACAGCACGCCCAGACACAGCACGCCCAGCAGCATAGCTCGCCCGCCGCCCAGTACGGCGCGCACATACCGGCGCAGAACTCGATGCACAACTGGGCCCCGCTGCCAAACGTCCACCTGCCCGCCGCCGCCGACGACGACGAGCGCAGTCTGCGCGCCCTGCAGTCGCGTCTGGGAGGTCTGCCGCCAGACTCTCTGCGCTCGACGGCCATGATGCAGGCCGTGCGACGCCACCCGCGCTTCTCTGCCCGCACGCGCGACTACCTGCAGCGCTACAGCCACGGCCGGGATACGGACAGCCACGGCCGGGATACGGACAGCCACGGCCGGGACACGGACAGCCACGACCGGGACACGGACACTGCCCGCGAGCCCGCTGCCCTGCGCCGAAGCACCCAGGACCCCTGGGGCGCCCCCCGTGACCGCTTCCACGCCGCCCGCAGCCCGCAGCCCCCGGCTCAGCCGCCCGCAGTGGCGCCCATGCTCGAGCACACGGTCAAGTACCTCGCGCGCATCCGCCACGCCGACACGGTCGAGGAGAGCCTGAACTGCGTCCTCGAGGCCGGCTTCGTCAGCAAGGACTACCTCTCGGTCCAGAACGGCGACTTCCTGACCGACACCCTCGGCATACCCCCGCCCCGGGAGACGTCCTGGCTCGCGCCCGGCGCGCTCCTCTCTGGCTGCCAACACGCCACCACGGCCACGTGCGCACCGAACGCGGCCGCGAGCCAGCTGCCACCGCCGTCGAGACCTTGGCTCAGCACCAGCTACTCGACCCCGCGCAGCCTGGCCCCGCACCTCTCCCGGAGAGACGCGGCCCCGCCGGCGTCGCACCAAGACCGCTGGCCCGTCAACGTCACCATCCACGCCGTCGACTGGTCCGCAATGTCCCTCTCCGCCACAATGGAAGCCTACAACGTGCCCTTGCACCCGCACCAGCACTCGCTGGCCAACCCCAGCCACCCCACGCACTACACCCGCACCAGCAGCATAACCACGTACCTCGAGGGCGAAATCCTCGACTTCAACACCCACACCCTGCTCACCGAGAGCTTCAAGAGCACCGCCGCAAACGACGTCCTGAACTGGCGCAAGCTGCCGCCCTTTCGCGACATGGACGACGACGACGTGGTCCGCGCCCTGACGAGCCGCTCCTGGTGGGACGCCCTGAGTCGCGACTGGGTCCTCATGCGCTGGAAGGAGCGCTGCTTTGTCAAGTCGCTCCGTCCTACCAGCCAATCCTGCGCCGCGCCGCCCACGCCCGACGGCTTCATCGACACCAGCACCAGCACCAGCGCCAGCACCAGCGCCAGCACCACCACCAGCACCAACACCAGCACCACCGCCAACACCAGCACCACCAACAACACCAACACCACCAACAACACCACCGCCAACACCACCACCACCAACAACACCAACACCACCAACAACACCACCGCCAACACCACCACCACCAACAACACCAACACCACCAACAACACCAACACCGCCACCGCCACCGACGGAGCGGGAGAAGAAGGCGGCGAGTACTTTGTCTACGACAGCCACACGCTTGCGCGCCATGCGCCCGCAGCACAGCACGCCGGCGACGCTGAACACGCTGCGTTTGACGACGACGGGTGCGGGCTTACCATCAGCGGGTTTTACTTTGTTTGTCTGCGTCGCTGCGACGGGAGGGTTGATGGTTTGTATTATGACCCTATGAGCAGTCCGTATCAGTGTCTTGTGCTGGAGAGTCGTGGTGCGGGGAGGTTTGGGAGCTGGGAGTTTGCATGATGGAGGGGCATGATGGAGGGGGATGATACGGGGGATGATACGGGGGATGATACGGGGGATGATACGGGGGATGATACGGGGGATGATACGGGGGTTGAATGGCGTGGGTGTTGCATTTGTGGCGTTTTGGTGCCCGGGGTGGCTTGGGTTGGAGCGGGCGTTGGAGTTGCATTGAGCAATGGAATATGGCCCTTCATACTCGTACGCATCTCACTTGAATGCAGCCTTTGCTCGACTTGAGGCATATTTCCCTCAAGACAGGCCAGGATATCCGCCAGTCCACCTCGGCCATCCCGCCTCGGCCATCCCACCTCGGCCATCCCGCCTCGGCCATCCCGCCTCGGCCAGTCCACTCGCCACACCTACGCCGCCCGCCGCTTCTGCATCCCCGTCCTGCGCTTCCCCAGCACATCGCGCCCCTCCTCGATCCGCAGCATCGCCTCGCGCTTCTTCTCCGTCACGGGCCCCAGCGCTTCGCGCACGACCCGCCCCTCGATGCTGACGCCCTCCTCCTCGTACTCGTCCATCGCCCGGCCCACACGCGCCTCGATTGCGTGGATCAGATCCACGTCGCGCTGCCCGACGAGCGTGATGCTTGTCCCTGCGCGTCCTGCGCGCGCCGTGCGACCCACGCGGTGGATGTAGTCGTCTGCGTCGCGTGGTACGTCGTAGTTGATCACCAGCGCGACCGAGGGTATGTCGAGACCGCGCGCGGCGACGTCGGTGGCGACTAGGATGCGGGCTGCTTGCGCGCGGAAGCGGGCTAGGTTGGCGACGCGGTCGGATTGCTTCAGCCCCGAGTGCAGCGCCGTGACGCGGTGGTCTAGCAGGCGCAGCGTGTATTCCAACAGAGTCGCCGTCTTGGTGTGGTTGCAGAAGATGATGGCGGACTTGCCGAGGTTCGCTGGCGTTGAGACGGCGACGTGCAGGTAGCATTCCTTGTGAGTGACGGGGGTTTGGATATATGTCTGGTGCAGCTTTGGCGGAATGGCGAGGTCCTCGGTGTCGACTTCGCAGACGAAGATGGGCGGCCGGCCTGCGCGCGCTTGTTCCTTTAGCGCGAGGACTTCGGCGGTGACGGTGGCCGTGAAGAGAAGCGTCTGGCGCTGTGTGGGCGGCGGTACGACCGAGAGACACGTCTCGAGATCCGGGAGCATGCTGCCCTTTCCGGGCGTGAGCAGCCGGTCCGCTTCGTCAAAGACGACGAACCGGACGCGTCGCAGACCGCATATCGTGTCTTCTCCGGATGTCTTGATGTGTTCTGCGAGACGCCCTGGCGTGGCAACAACAATGTGTGGTCTTGACGCCAGGTTGATGGCCTGCTCGCGCTGGTCTGCGCCGCCTGTGATGAGGATGGCTTTCATTGACTGAGGCGCGGATATGGCCTTGACTTGTTCGAAGATCTGGATCGCCAGCTCTCGCGTTGGTGTCATGATCAGTCCGAAGATGCCCATGGGGTCCTCGGCCCACTTCTGCATCATGGGAACCGCAAAGGCAACCGTCTTGCCTGTACCGGTGCGACTGCCGCCGATGCAGTCCCGCCCTTTGAGAATCTCTGGAATGGTTGCCGCCTGGATACCGGTCGGTTTCTTGATCTCCATGGACGCCAACGACGCAACGAGCCATGGGGCGACGTCGATCGCGGCAAAGCTCAGTTTGTCCTTGCCCCGACCGCCGTCGGGCTGGGTTTTTGGCGTACCGCTTTTGGCTCCATTTTGAATCGCTTGCGGTTTTGTCTTGATCCTGGACATTGTCGACACGGGCAGCACTCGAGCCGCCGACGCTGAAGCCTGGGCGTCTTCAGAAGACTGATCCGACTCCTCGGCGCTCGGTGAAAGTCTCCTCCTCTTCCTCGACCCTGCTTGGTGCTCTAGGATCTCTTCATCCGACGAGCTGTATTCTGAGTCGCCCCGCGCCATGATATGCGCTTCAATTCCCGCGTAGAGACGAATCAGGTCGAAGTTGTAAACGTCGAAGCGTCGCGCGCATCTCGAAATTTTGTGAGGGAAATGCGCTAGTGTTATCGATAAGCTGAGCTCCATGCCGCTCCACGCGATTGTTTGTACACCAACTCATACACACTGTCTAGTTCAGAATACATACCGTCTAGTTCAGAATACATACCGTCTAGTTCAGAATACACACCGTCTAGTTCAGAATACATACCGTCTAGTTCAGAATACATACCGTCTAGTTCAGAATACATACCGTCTAGTTCAGAGGCTGCGAAACAGAGTCGTCTTCTTCGGAACGCTGATGTCACGTCCGGCTAACGGTTTCTCGTTCTGTATCTACAACATGCTTCGCCGCATAGACACGCTTTGTCCAATCCAGCCCAGTACTTGTCACCATAGTCCAGCGTTATCTCCGCACCAGCTTCGATGCCCTTGCTGACGATGAGCACGTGTTGCGTGTCCAGCCACGTAAAGGTCGATGACTGCGCGTTCGCTTTGCAGCTGTGGTTCGCGAAGCGCGTGTAGTTTCCTATCCTTTCCTGCCATATCTGGTAGCTCGACAGCGGCGTCGACGAGTCCATGACGTCGCGACCGCTCACGCCTTTTGTTATCAGGCCGACCAGCTCGCCAATGGCTGATCCTCGCTCAAACGATGTCAGAGCTACTAGACCGTTGTTCTTCCCGTCCGGCGTGCGGAACACTTGGATCGGCGGAGGCTTGCGCTTGACGCAGCCGAACAGCGACGGGAAGCAGAAGCACGTGTTGGCCTTTGGGTCGTCCGATTGCTGTTCGCCGCACGACACGCAAATGTACTGGCCGTTGATCCGGGCAATGGAGTTGGGTTGCGGCATCCATCGCGGATCCTCGCAGCCCCAGACCGATTCATCGATGATGGACTCATCAACGTGTTCAAAGGCGAAGTAACGATCTTGGTCCAGGTAAGTCTGCCGTAGAGGGGTCGGGTCAGTGCCATCCTCGAACACTACCCATTCATGAGGGTGACCCGGATATTGCAGCGTGGGTGACTCGCCGACGATGACCAGCAGCTGCCGCCAGTGCGGATGCAACGTGTCTGCAGCCACCTCCAGTCTCTTCCGCAGGTTACGTAGCCGTCTCATTGCATCCTTGTCGAAGCCAACGCGGTATTTGCAGAAGCGGTATATGCCCATGCCGGCGAACACAAGAGCTGCCCAGCCTGCGGCGTCCTTGACCTCCTTGTAGCCTCTCCAGATGGCCATCTTGTTCCGCAGCTCCTTCTCGGACCAACCAAAGTCCTGACATGCCTCCATGAAGACCGCCTTCCTGTGTTTGGTCGCCGAGAGTCCAGGTACAGTAGCACTTCGGAACTGTACCTGCTCTTCGAAAAGCTCCGTCCACCTGGCTTGCACGATCATCTCGATGGATCGGCACACACGACTTGCCTGCGTGACTTTGCGGCAGAAGACATTCATCTGGCTGAACGAGTCGTGGGTGTTGTCGGTCGACGTGCTGAGCATGTCCATTGCAGTCACGTCTGACGTGCTTTGACGGACGACATCAGAGGTTCCAGCAGGTGCAATCTGAAACTGCTCGAAGATGGCTTTGGGGTCGAGATTGATAGAGCCGTGAAGCTGCTCCCAGATACCGATGATCAGCTTGTCAAGCGTGGAAGGTTGGAACACGAACTTCTCCGACGCCACCTTCTTCCGCTTAGGGAAGTTCCTCGTGTCGACCTGCATCTGTCGCTGGTGCTCGCTGTAGTCCTCCTGAATGATCTGGTTCTGCGAAATCCGCAGGCCTCCGGTACCTTTGCGACGGGCGTCAGACGCGTCGACGCCCTCTTCTGTGGCATCTGAGCTGTGTGACTGTGTTTCAAAGTTCGACAATATCATCTCATGATCCGGGAGAGGTATTGTTGGGCTTCTGGATGGCCCGGGAGTCATCATGCCACTTAACTCCAGCGTCCGCTGCACCATATCAGTTGCTGACATCTTCTGACAGACAGGGAAGATGCGACTAATGTCGGAGGCAGATACTCACCGATGCAACCCTTTCTGAGCGTGGACTCGTCACGTTACCTGGCCCTGCATCTTCTAGGAAGGCCTCCACTCGGAGTATAGGACGCACTAGGCCGTCTATCTGTGGCCATGCGACGTTGATGTTGGACCTTTCCAGGTGCTCCTGGATGGCCCGACCAATGACTTCGGAGAGTCCTTCGACATTCCCAAGCGCAGCCATGGTGATGCAGCCAGCCGACCGCTTCCAGCCTCCGGTGAGTAATTTCGCCGCTCCAGTTTCCTGAATGGCTGTAGTTGATGTACGGGAGATCGACGGGAGCAATGCTACACTCAATCTCGGGCGTGGATGACTTGCAGGAACAGACCTGCGAATGATGCTCGGGCAGGAGGCTCGGACGTATCAAGCAACCCAAAGCAGATGCTCGGAACCGTATGGGGCGCACAGACTGGGAAATTGGGCAACTTGAACCGAACAAGACTACAAAAGGTAGACTTGAAGACCTCCACGATCGCTCTTCTTTATCGTAAGGCTGCAAGCTGATCCCGTCCTGCAGTTCTTGAGCTTCGTCAGTTGGAGGCCAAGCAGCTCCCGCCGTTGCGCGCCGGCGATCTTGACGTTTATGATGGGTCTCGGCTCGACGATTCCAGACTTGCGCTTTTCCCGACAGGGCTGGTGATCGCCGTGTGAGCGATTTCGTCACGCACGGCCTCCATCAAAGAAGAATCGTCGCGGCGAGCAGCTTGCGGCCGGCAACGTGCGATGAAGTACTAGAGGGGCGGTTGCAGCATCTTCAAGTCATCGAACGTGCAAGTTCCACACGGAGTTTAGGATGGAATGGTCATCTGGTCTTCAGCAGCAGCATTTTAGTTGCTCCGATGACTGCCCGGGCTGCCAGCTGCTGACTGCTCGGGCAGTAAAACACAGTAGCTCCGACCATGTCGGGCGGATCTCAAGACGAATATGGACTAGCTTCAAATGACTCCCGCCGCCAGTACCACCAGACCATTCCGGCGAACGTCATCTTATAACCGAACGCCTGAGGAAGGTCTCACCAGCAATTCATCTGCCCACTCTCAATGCCTTTTGGCGGGCACTTTTGTGGGCAGAGAAGAGGATCACTATACTTTGAGAGGATTGCGCAAGTCGTGGTGGTCTCGGACTGCGATGCGCTCAAGTGCTCGTCAAGCTAGAACCGAGCAGATCGTTCACACCTCCAGATGCCCGAGTGTAATTGTGTAGGACTGGGATCCACAGTGCCAAGTCGTGCGTGCACGTCGCTTTTTACCAATCTACAGGGAGTTATCCCATGCTCAATCACTTATGTGATGGTATAAAAATGTCGAACGCCTCAGGGTCTAGCATTAGCACAACTACGTCAAGCGGCAATACCTAGCTCATTGACCTCGTCGTCCCGTCCGATCCACTTCACCATCGCTGAGGTCTTTGGATGTTGTTTGCTCTCTTTTTGGCATTGCATTCGACTATCACTGTGCATTCGACTATCACTGCGCATTTGCAGTAGCCCTGCACCATGGACAGTCCAACGGACAAAGAAGTGAAGGAGAACAAGTTGAAGAAAGTCTCTACGACCGAGTCGTACACATTTCAGAACCAGAAGGGTTGGCGAAGATGGCGCATCTTACGACCAGGTCGCGGCATGTACCACGATGTCAAGCGCCGACTGCCATACTATTGGAGCGATATCACGGATGCCTTCACGTATCGAGTTTTCGCCAGCACAGTCCGCATGTACTTCATCAAGTAGGTCGAGCCCAAGCATCCTGAAACACGGTGAGCTGACGAAGGCAGCGTTCTGCCCGCCATCGCATTCACACTGGACATGTACCGCCGTACTGGCGAGTTCTTCGGCATCAATGAGGCCCTGCTCGCATCCGCGTTAGCTGCTATGGTCTTCAGTCTTCTCTCCTGCCAACCTCTCACCATTGTCGGTGTTACCGGTCTGATCGCTCTTTTCAACTACACGATATACGACATAATCGAAATGTACGACCCCTCCATCTACCCAGCTTTCACAGCATGGGTCGGCATCTGGGCAGCGATCTTCCATTGGATCGTCAGTTTTGGAAACTACTGCGATTACATGGCTTATGTTACGGACTTCTCTAGCGAGTCGTTCGGTATGTACGTAGGCATTATCTACTGCGGTATGTGTCAAAGGCCCCGTCCGTCAATCTGTTGCTGACCAGGTCCTGCAGTCAAGGGAGTTGAAGAGCTTGTCTACCTGTTCGAAGTCTCCGGTTTCGAAGGCGGTTATCTGTCTATCGTGATCGCCATGCTCTTTTTCGGCTCCGTCTACGGACTCGAGAAGATTGGTAGTAGCACCGTCTGGAAGCCGTGGATTCGCGGTGTCCTTGCTGACTACTCATTCGTGTTCCCAACTCTGTTCTGGGTTGGTTTCTCGCACTTCCCTGGGCGTCTGGGTAAGACCGAGCAGTATCGTGTGCCAACTGTCGGCGCGTTCCAGCCTACTCAGCCTCGAAATTGGGTCATCGAGTTCTGGACGCTTGATGTCAAATGGGTCTTTGTGGCCGTACCGTTCGGCTTTCTGATGATGCTACTATTTTACTATGATCACGTAAGTCATCCTGTCTCGAACGCCGTCTTTATGCTAATGACATCGTAGAACGTGTCTTCTCTGACAGCGCAGGCGCGACAGTACCCCCTCAAGAAGCCCGCGGGTTTCCATTGGGACTTCTTCCTCCTTGGATGCACTTGCTTCGTCTCCGGCATTATCGGTCTGCCTCTCCCGAACGGCCTCGTCCCTCAAGCGCCCGTACACACAGATTCCCTGACAGTATACGAAACACGTCTTGAAGTCGTAGAGACTGTAGACGGTGATGAGATCCGCAAGCCCCAGGTCGAGGCTACAGCTGTTGTTGAGCAACGCGTCAGTCACTTCCTGATGGGCATGGCGATCTGGGGCACTATGACAGGACCTCTCCTGACTGTTTTGAGCACAATGCCCGCGGCTGTATTCGCAGGCGTGTTCTTCGTTGTTGGCGTAAGTGCAAACCGTCATAACTAATTGCAACACAACTGACGATAACTCAGTGGGGATCTATCGAGAGTAACGGTATCCTGGCAAAGCTTGGGTACCTCAATGCGGAAAAGCGCTTCATCGATCCTAAGAACCCGCTCAATGCCGTCCCGCGCAGGAAGATCTGGCAGTACATCGGTCTACAGGCCTTCGGTGTCGCCTGCAGTGTTGCTATCTCGCAGACGATTGCCGCTATTGGGTTCCCAGTCCTTATCATCGCCCTCATCCCGCTTCGAACATTCCTAATGCCCAAGTGGTTCACGGAGCATGAACTCATGGCGCTTGATGCACTCACAGCGAACAACCCAGCGGTGCTTGTCAGCTTTGGCGGAACACCTGCGAAGATGAAGGGCCTGGAGATGGATTTCAACGAGACATTGAGGGCAACCGGTGATGTAGAGCAGGGTGACGGATATGATCTGAGTCGTGCCAGGTCAAGGGGCAGTCGAAGTCGCAGCGTAGTTCGCCAGCATGCTGGAAGTATCACAAGATAGAGAAGACGGCCACTACAAAAAGCTAAGAGAATAGATTAGAGTTTGAGAGGGATGAGAGATGTAATCATTACCACGTATCGGGGACGTCCTGTAAGACCGTTACGCCTCCAGCAACTGCCACTCGTCCTCCACGCCTTGAGCTTGACGATCGATGTCTGCAATAGGAGCACATCCGCAAGACTCTGGAAGCTCAAACTCAGTGTCGATGAAGCCGAGTTCGATCAATGACCTATCCGTCACAGGACCAACCTCAACGCCGACGACACCAACGTCAAGCTCTAAACGCCAGACCTTCGTTTCTCGCTTTGCGATCCATTGCGGCTGAGCACGAAAAAGCGGCATGTTCATGTATGCCTGTTGTATACGTGTGGAGGTGCGTAGGAGTGCTACCAGCATGGCGTGTTGCAGCTGCACGTAGTTCTTGCACTGGAGCTGCCACTTCTTGCAGATACCCTGCTCAATCAACGCACGCTCAGCCTTTCGACACACAACCTCTGCAAAGATATACTTATCGTATCTGAACTTCTCAAGCAGCTCCGACTCCGAGCGGCGCTTTCGCAGCGACTGCCCGAATTCGGACATTGCATCTACAGCCAGACCGATCTGGCGCATGTTGGGCATCGAAGGCACACGCAACGAGCGCATCAGACCATTGTGCTTCTCGCCCAGATCCTGGTCTGCGAGCGTCTGGTTCAGCCAGCCCTCAACGTTATCCTTACGGCCTTTGGCTGTCTCCTTGAGCCTGTGGAGCAGTGTTGGTACATCGAGCTGGGGCCCATGCCCCTGGTACACTTCCCGCAGAGTTGGGGCAGACTTGCTGGGGCTTGTTACCGCGTAGCTCACCTGGGTACGCCACGTGCCATTGGGCTCCGAGGGGAGGAGCTGGACAGCATGGGAATGAAACGTGGTGGTATCTAACTCGCGCGAGTCATCTCCTAGAGGCGTTCCGCTCAAAGCAGGATCAGCGGCAGGCGTGTTGTGTCGTAGCGCAGCATCGGAGGTGGACACCTGGTCGCCAGAGCCCGCAGAAGCTGGGGTGGAGCACTCAGATCCAGCCGTTTTGGTAGGCTCCTCGTCGACGCCAACCTGTGATTCTGCACCTTGAGAGTCACTTCCAGGAGTCAGTGCCATGATTGACGTGGACTTGAGCTCAAGTCCTGTGGTATTGTGACCCCAAGATCGAAGAGCGATAGCAGGTATGCCGTGGATCAAGAGCATGATGCAGCCGTTGCGAAGAATGTGTATACTGGTTTCAGGGGGGGTTGAGTGGATAAGAAGGGCGCTATGGAAGGCAGATCTCGAACACAGTGATGCCATACAATGTAATGCGCTATGTGATCCAGGCTGAGAGGCTCCTTGTGAAAGCACGACCACAACCCAACGTTTGCTGCACAGTGACTGTGCTCCCACCAAGCGCAGCGAATTCGACACGTGTTGATTGCAGTGAGAGCATGCTGGGCCTTTCACTGACAAGCAGGTCAGGGGTCGGCTGCACAGCGCACAGCGCACAGTGTGTAGCGGGTGATCTCGAAGTGTTTAGCTGCTGCGCTGGCTTTCGAAACCGGACCAAAGCAATCGCGAAGATCTGTATCCTACAGGGCTGTTCTCCCACGAATGCGCAATGGTACTTGCAATGATATTACTTCAGGACAATCCGGGTCTGGAAACCCGTAAATCTTCCTCTTTTAACTTTGAACGTGCTGCAGGTTGCAGGACTGCTCATCCAGCACGGATCATACCCTGACGTACAGACTTGAAGGGTGAAAAGGTGGCCAAGGACTTTGAATCATTTGTCGAAGCGGAGCAGTCTGTGCACAGCCTGTTGCTCATCTTCCACAGGACAGGTTGCGGCTCACCGTCGATCTTGCGCCGTGGGATCAAGTAGGGACTTTTCCACCGGTGGACTCGACGACTTTAACGACATCGTCCTTGAGCTCAGGAACAGCATTGGAAAGCTGCCATGCAATCTGTTCTTGCAGGAAACGGAACGCTTCTTCGCGACCCTTCAGCATCTGATTGGTGCGCTGGACAAGCTCGACAAACTCTCGAGTGTAAATGTCTGGGTTTCGAGAGCTCTCGACATAATTTGTGACCTCCGGAGGTATGTCGATGAGAACGTTAGGAGCTGTGTTCGACAGTCTCACAAGATTCTGGATCAGTGCCTGGCTGAACTTCTTATCAGTAACAGTGAAAGATAGACTTCACGATTGACCCACATCTCACGCTTCATGGCATCTTGCGTCTTGCTGCCGTGATGGTCGTAGGCCTGAACTATGAGGTTGTAGAGCGTCTGCACAATGTCTTTGAGCTGCCGCTCGACTGCGGTGATCGCTGTGGGCTGCTATCAGCTTGTGCCTGTATTGAGATAAACAATACTATACCATCAGTATCTACGGCTTTCATTTTGGCTATCGTTAGATATCGATTCTGTGTTGTCGCAAAGTAAGCATGACAATGAAGGTGGAGCAGCAGTGCTCCAAAACGAGGCGCCAAGATGTCGGTGAACCGGGCTCCGATTAATATTATTGCGTCACCGCCTTTACCTTCAACAACAGCCTACACGAACCGCGATCCATATTCGCAGAGCGCTTCGGCACGCACCGCTACGTGTCAATACAAAGAACCTTGTCAGAATATGGTGACTATCAGAAGGCGGTCATGACTGAAAGCACGCAACAGGAGCTGGACCAATCTCGTTTGCAGCCACAAAGCGTCCAGCCCTCAACAGCGTTAACAGACCCGGGATCTGCTGCGCCGAATTCAGGACGAGGAAACGCAGAAAAGCGAACCTCGGAGACTCAGAAGCCGGAAACTGATACAACATCCGACAAAGCGACCGCAGCTTTTATTCGGCGAACCCTTTGCGCTCACAACGTTCTACTTGGGAACGGCGAGAAGGGCGGGACTGCGCCTCGCCCAATCGATGAGCTCCTTCCACCATTGACAAGCTCAAACGAGGTCGATCTCCAACTGTACGGTATCATCTCGGTAATCATTAAAGAGTTTGTGCAGACATGGTACTCGAAGATCACGCCAGACCATGTATTTGTCAACGAAGTCATCCAGGTCATTGCGCACTGTACGAGAGCACTTGAGCAACGTCTGAGAAAGGTCGATCTAGAAGGTCTTCTGCTGGACGAAATCCCGGGGCTTTTGGAAGAGCATCTGATCGGTAGGTAATTCCGATCCTTGTTGAAGCCGCGGCATGTATCTAACTACACATCTTGAAGCATTTCGCCTCGCAAAGCGGCAAGCCTCGTCTCCACAATCACTAGTGTCAGATCCACGTCTCATCTACCACACGCTATACCCACACCCTGCTTTATCTCCTGTCCCGGTCGATGCTGTGCCGTCGACATATGTCGAGCAGCGGGAGAGCGAGTCCGCCTGGCGCCAGCTTATTATCCAGGGGGTCTTGGCTGTATTGCTTCCCACCGATGATCTCAAGAACGGATGCCTAAGATCCCTAGTGGCGGAGATCTTTGCAGAGATGATATTAGGAAGCGGTATTAGCGGGAAAACCTGTGAAGGGTGGCTCTTATGGGAAGCCATTGGAAGGATTGCAGATATTCTCCAGACTGATCCTGACCATGATGACGTTCATTCATCAGACGACGGAGCCTCAGTCGAGGACTTGAGTCGTCTGGAACGCTTCGGGCTATTGCCATCACAAGCCGAAGAGCAAAGTGATTCGAACAGCGCGCCAGTCGCTGATGCGAAACGTTACGAGTCCGCATGCATGTCTGCTTCGGGCTTGTTCTGGATGGCCATCCAATGCGCATTTCTGGCGTTTACTGCGCTGCGCGCATTCGTTCTAACTATAGTCACAGCATCATCTTTGCCTTCAAGGTCTTTGGCAGACGGGCCAATATCGATGGAAGAGAGCCACCAGTCACTCTCGTCAGAGATGGAGTCTCAGGCCTCAACGCTTTTACTGGATGTTAAACGGCCTATCGTGAGCATGAAGCTGTGGAGCTGCGCAGCGCAATTTGTGGAGTTGGACGTCCGCATGCCTTGGCTGACCGGCTTCGTCTCGATGTTGCACTGTGGAGCGTTGTTCGGCCCAGGAAGGGTGGGTGACACTGACGGTGTATTGGACAGGTGAGTTGCGATAAATTTCTTCCTTGATACCATGGTTGGCCAGCAGCATCTGCATCCAAGCCCAGTGCAACACAACGTGCAGAAAGGGCCGCATTCGATTTTGGTCACTTGACTTCGCCTCAGCGAATGCGACGGCCCGCAGACCCTCACACGGTCATACCCCGGTTTGGGGGTGCGCCGATGTATGCAACCCGTACCGGGCGGCAATTCGACGCCCCGAGCCTAGGCCTTGGCAAGGGTGCCCTCTGCTCACCAATATTTACGACGGAACCCGAACGCTGGCAATCCGAATGGACCGATCATCGAGTGCGATTCCGTATGGACAGCTGATGATGCTGTCCGCGGCGATGCGGACTCTGCAGCACACAAATCGAGCACTAAGCCGTCTATCGCGCTCATAGCCAGCACTGGCAGCCTTTTTATGCGCCCGGTGATCTATCCACATCGTCAGCCGTTCGCTCAGCTCGGGACTGGCCGTTCCTCATGTACAAGCACAACATTGGTGGCTGTTGCAGACCCGGACCATATGATCAAGACTGCAGATGTTTGCGCCTCATCCTATAACCCTTTTCGCGCGAGTGCGATGTCGCTACAACATGTTCTACGTTACCAGGGTTCGAGGATCACCAGCAACCGGTGCGGACCTCTCATGTTGGATCCGGGTTGTTGCGAAATGTGTCCACACAAGACAGAAACGAGTTACCTGCCCTTGCTATGGAAGCCCTTGCCCGGAGCCTACGAACTATTAAGTCGAGGGACCTTGGTATATCCCCATGTCGCTTCACTTTGTGGCCTGAAGATTCTCCATCTCCGATTGCCTCGAAGAAATCGCTCTGCGGCACCACATTAGGATGCTCCGAACGAAGGACCTAGCGCTTTGTAGCATCGGCTGACTGGATTCCGTGGACTGCTCCACTCGGATGCATTGCATGCTAATTGGATATATTGCGCCAATCAAAGGAACGTCTTCACCAAAGTCCAATACACTAACCGCAAACCTGCTAGATTTCTCTCTCACCTCATCCACACGCGCATCTTGAACCCCGCTCTACTCCCAGTAGTACTTCGGACAGTACGCGCTACTTTATTTCCGAACAACGGCATGGGTCCCCCACGACAGATACCGAATGAAGAAGAAACAAAGGAGATCAAGCGCCGCTGCGCCGCGTCGTTGCTCGGCTTGCTACCACCAAAAATGGCAGTCACCTTTTTCGCAAGCGATAGCAAGGTCGCACAACATCAGCAGGTCGAAGAAATCCTTGAGTGTCTCGAGGACACGTACTTGAACAAGCATCTGATCTTCCAGATACTTGAGCTGATCGTACTGAGACTAGCTCCCGAGTTGGAGTCGCAGGGAGTACAGGACCTCATGGAAGAATGCACAGGGTAATTCGTGTCAAGGTAGATGCGAATATTGCGCACTTCGAATCCACGTTCGGCTTAAGATAGCCAACCGCCACCGCTGCCCTCATCCAAATAGTGCTAGTCTCGAGTTCACTGACCGATTGAAGCATTTTTACGCCTGCCATGTGCAGCTGATCTTCTGCATACATATGATACACATGTCGATCGTGGCTAAACCATCCGACCAAGGGCCTGAACTTTGTCCTCCCTTGTTGTTCTCCAAGCAGTTAGATTTTCATATGCATGATATATCTTCATGTACAAACAGCTCATCCTGCGTCGTCGTGAAAAGGTACACCGCTTTACCCGAAAAGAGGGGTAATCGACCAATTACAAAAAAGAACGGCACGAATTGTTGAGAGATATGCAAGTCCAGACTTTGCGCAGCAACGAGCACCTGACCTCTTGAGGAAAAGCTGGAGGGAGGAAATGAATCGGAAAAGTAGCGTAAGATACAATGTACCCCGCCGTTCGCGCTATCATTCAGCCACCGGGAGCTTTTTCAACACTTCCACCCCGAACCCGCTTGTCGAGCGTCGTACGATGACCGAGGCGACTTAGCGGTGAACATGGTCATTGCTTCAATCGAGGAAAGCGGACCCCTTGATGCATGCACCTGGAGCGATAGAAGTTCGTTCGGAGAGCGCGGCGGACTGCGGTATATGCTGGGGAAAGGAAAAGTTGGCTGCACCAACATTTATTGCAGCCCAAGCACGACGTTCTCGGCCAATAAAAAGACCAAGTCAAATACGAGCGAGCCATGTGCGCATCTCCGCCGTTGGCATCGTGGTGGGTACCTGACAGACAAAGGATGTGGAGAGCTGCAGAGGAGGTGTGGAGTGGTGAGGATAAGCTACCGTCATGCCGTGTAGCGTTCCGAACGTCGAAAGTTTGAATTGTTGATGGCCACGCGAGCGGCGACATCCCGCTGCCGGCTGACAACGACCATGGGCTGAAACAGGGATTTCCTGAGCTCGCAACGACCTGCCCTGCAAACTGACGCTAATATTACCCAGCATCTTGCCAGTTCAAGATACGTTTCAGCTTCCCAAAAGCCTCAAATATGTCAGCTCAGCCCTGCTGATAGTCCTTCACAGGCGACATTGCGTCGAGGTTCCCCGCACGCCACGACTGATCGCATCGTCTTATCGTAGGGCTCGCGTACCTGAAATGTCCGTGCCGCCATACCGTCCCACCTGCAGATGCAATTGCAAGATACTGATGTCAGCTTATTTGCGGCGTAACTGTGTCATACACCTACCGCGGACTCAACGGCGCTTATCGACAGAACTCTGAGCCTCGGAAACCTCACGTCGCCGACTTCCCCATACGATGGTGATCCGTGTAACGGGAGCCTGATTCGACAGCCTATTATTGACCGTTGAGTTTCAAATCCTTCGCCTTAAAAGAGTCTTGGCTAGATACCGCCTCCTCGCGAACTTCAAATCACCAGCGACTACAATGTGACAAGAGCTACATCACCAATTCCGCTGCACGGGTGATGTTCAGGGGCCGCGAGCATCAAACCCACGCATCAGCGATGCAATGGCCGTCCTCGGGAACAGCAAGCGTAACTTGAGATGCAAGACATCCCGTGGTGGAGCATGGTCCTGAGCAAGGTCCACAGCACCGTGCGCTCTACCTCCGACGCTTGTAAATTGAAGCCCAAAGCAGGAACGACTCCATGTCAACTCGATATCGCCAAATGAGGCTGACGTCAAGTGACTGTATTGACGGCCCACAGGGTTGGATGTGGTTTTGGGGGTGCCAGTATCGCCGTGTAACACAGCGTCAGGAGTATCGCTCTGGAAAGAGAAGGCGCTTACCACGTTACGAGGACGGCATTGCAATAAGCATTCATGTGCCGGTCCTCATGCCCCGCCGCAACATTGCGGTGCAGCATTGTGGTGACAACTCTTTGGTTTTCATACCATCCACATGATACTTGAACAGCTTTGAAGTGCTGCAAGGTCCCGTTCGTAGCAACTGAGGATCAACATAAAGCGACGGCTTCGTGCGTTTGACAGGGTGTACAGTGCGGACGGGTCCGTCGACGGCGGGTGTCCTTGTGCTGCGAACCACTGCCTAGTGCTGAAGTCAAATCTTATTTCGAGGCTCATCAAAGTCAGCGAGCAAGTGCATGACGCGCGAGATTGTGAAAGCGCAAAAGACGGTCAACGTGCTTGCATTTCGTCTTCGCAAAGCCGCCAGATGTGACCCCAAATGCCTAAAGAAATGACAGGGCGAAGAGCCGTAAGTATCCAAGCACAAGCGCGCGCGAGCGTGTCATCTGCTGAGGGAGTGCAAAAAGCATTGACAAGTCTTAATAGACCACGTCCGCAAAAAAACTGATGGTCACTACGAGGGTCGAACTCGCGACCTTGGCGTATCAAGGATTCAATCTATTAGCACCACGCTCTAACCAACTGAGCTAAGCGACCGATCTCACGAATGAGGCAATTTTGATAGGGATTTGCTCACTTAAATAACTAATAGTCTCATTAAAAATAATTTGCGTAGTTTGCAATCCACAATAACTCACCGGAGGTCAACCCATCTGATTGCATGCAAGTCCGTTGTCAGGGCTAGTGTGCTGCTGGTAAGCCTCACCTCGGACCCTGATTCATTTTTTCAGCGACCACCTCTTCCAATCATTTACCGTCCCACCTGCGCGTGCATTGTTGCACCACATACGCTTGCAATCACCTGACCCGCTAGCGCGGGCATGCCAGCCAACGACAGCGGCAGGCCGCCTTTTCGTGGCACGTCAGCCCAACAGCCTTCGCGCTACAGTTGACTGCCGCGCCGCCAAAGGCCTGACGCCGGCGCGACCAGCGTGTGCCAGCGCAGCCACCGCAACTGTACAGAAATTCGTGCATCGTCGCAGCTCCTCAATGGCCGCATTGTCGGTCACTAACGCAAGTGTCGCCGTGATGGTGCCGTGCGACGCAGCTAGCCGAGTCTGAACACTGCGTGCCATGCGTGGTAAAGCGGCGAGATGATCGCGTACAAATCGTGTGTTGCGGAAGCCGAGGGGAAATTGGATCGTGGCAGTGTATCGTGAGGACGACTGACAGCTGCGTTGTACCCGCGCACCTGTGTTGCGATGTGTCTCCCCTCGTTGAAACGCGGCTGCGTCCGACAACGAGCTGCCGAAGGGTCCTGCGGTCAGCAAAGTTTCGCGGCTGCGGGCCGGACCGCTCACAAAGGACAGACGACCCAGAGCGTCTGCTCTGCAGCAGCCCATTTACTTTACATTCGCGAGCGCTCAAAAGCAAAGAAAGATGGACGGATCATCGTGCCGCATGCAAACGCTGTCTGCCAGATACGGACGCGTAGTCCCACAAGCTCACAGTCCACAACCGTGCTCGGCTCGTCCCCGCACTATCTCGCTAGCCGTGCTGACCATCTGTCGATCGATGGCACAAGCAACAATTCGAGATGAACAGCTGGAATCGGCAATCCCCTGCGAGCACGTACACAGCCTGTCAGTGAGGTCGGGGAGCCGGGAGCGCCTTGAAGCGTAGCTGCTTGGTTTGGCTCATCTCGCTGTGGCTGGCGGCAGGCATTAACGCTGGAGGAAGGGCTGTTGAGGTGCAAAGAGGCTCGGTTGCCTGCGATGAGCGCCATGACTCAGTGAGAATGCGAGTCCCTCCAGAGTTGTAGAATCAAAGTTAGGCCTTAGCTTGAGAAATCGTGCTGCGTCCGGAAGTGAGGCAGTCTTTGCATAAACTAAATTCGTGTTCAACTTTTGCACTGCAGCCTGCAGCCTGCCTAAGTGACAGCGGGTCACAGCAGGTCGAGACGGGCAATCTCTGGCTTCGATCAGGGGACATATCGTCCAGGACGGGTAATGAATACCAAAGGAGTGGATTGACGCAGTGTTCAAGCTCGACTTGCGTCTCAGACTACGAAAAGCTATAGGAGTCCAAATATAGGTAACAGAAACGTACGAGCTAATTCGTTGTTTCAGAAAGAGCGCAAAATAGCAGAAGGGGCCGCCAAGAATGCTAGGAAGTGTACAATAGCTAATGGTCCGCGTGAGCGGTACAGTCTTTCATATATGTAGGAAGAGTGTATGTGGCGACGCATGTTTGGGGTATTGTGCATGTTGCGGGTATAACGTGGTAACAAATAGAGCAGTAAAGCGAGCGCCAGAAGGAGAGATGAAAAGGGAAGTGCTAGAGATGCTGATGCAGATATGAAAGCGATGAGACCGAGATACCGGCACTGTACGTGCTTCCCTAAGATATACCCAATTTTCCTTCTTTTGGCCTGTGATCATATTGGAATGGTCAAGTGTCGTCTCTCAACGTATTAGTAGTAGTTTTGTGGCTGTGCATGGCCTTCGTGTGTCGTGCGATGCAACGGATGCTGTCATGTTGGCTAGTGCAAAACGTCCACAGTCTCCAGCTTGGTGACGGTGTAATCGGGCTCTGACGCGCGTCGAATGCCCAATGGCATGCTCTCGGATCGGCCCTTGATTCGAAGCTTCTCCATAAGCTTGCCCATGGTCATGTACTCTTCAGGCGCAACGGCAAAGTCGCTCGGCTGTGACTTGAAGAAGCTCATGACCAGCTCCAGAGCACGGGCTGCCTCTTCTTGGGAAGGTGAGACCGGTGAGCCTGTTCCTGCAGTTGGTAGAGGCGGCGGCTGCATCAAGTTCGAAACATTGGTCGGTGATACGGACATAGCCTCATCGATTGTACCCAATGAATCGCCCATCTCTGCCATAGGTGAGTCGAGCGCGGTGCTGCTAATGTATTTGGGAGTCATCGCGTCTGACGATGCTGGCGGTGAAGCGTACTGTGCCACGCCTTCCAACAGAGGGAATGTCTGGCTGCGTGGCCGCTGGAAGCCGTTGGTCCCTGGCTGCCCATTGGAAGCCTGGCGGTTGCTAACGAATGGGTTAGGACCGCATGCTGAGTCCGGTGTAAAGAACGGCGAGGTTGGGCTCGTGGGACCCTGTTCTGTGACGACTGTCGATAAAGAAGTGGTACTCTGGGAATGGTAAAGTCGTCGACCCGAGAAGTCGAATGTATCAGGGCTTTCAGTCTTCAGACTGTCCTCGCTCCTCTTGACGGCCAAGTTTGGAACAGTCGGAGAGTCGTCATCGGGTGATAAAGGTGAAAGAGCTCCTGGAGTCTGCGCATTGGATGGTGGATTCGAGGTGCCTTCTGACTCTTCTGCTATAGACCCTTTGCGTGACTTTGCGCCCATAAGGTGATTCTTCTGCTTAAACTTCTCCAGCCAGCTGGTGCTGTTTGCTTTCAAGTGGCTATCAGAGTTGCCCACGGTTTGCGCAAAGAATCTGGCCTTGTCGCGGATAGTCGAGTCGGTAAGCTGGTAACCTTGCCTCTGGTGGTTCCTTGCCCAGTTCGAGAGTGCTCGCTCAATGTCAGGGAACTTTCCCTTCGATTTTCTAATGGGCGACCGACTACCATCATCCTGGTACAAATACTTCTCTTTTTGTCGCAGGACCTTCGAGACGGTACTAAACGGTTGTCAGCATAGCAACGAGTAGATGGCTCACTAGGTAGTACCTTCGCTCAACACCAAACATTGCTGCAAGGAAGTCAGTACATGCGTGCGTTGGGACCAAAAATAGATGCTGGCGTACCTCCAATTTCGGTCTGCTTGACTGTGGGGTTGTCCTCGTGGTACTGGCACATCCGGCGACGATCATGATCAGTCAAAGTCTTTCGGGGTGTTGAAGACGTCCGTGAATGTGTAGATGTTGCCGAGACCGGAGTCGCTGAAGCTGGTGTGATCGGTACAGGTGCGGAAGGAAATATTGATGGCTGATACGTTGATTGACTGGTTAACATGCTGGGCCATTGCGGCATGATCAAGGGTTGAAGTTGTTGATGCATCGACCTAGGTGCTGGGTGCTGGGGGTGCGGTGGGTGCATCCCGTTTCCGTAGATAGGCTCCATTGGCATCGGTGTATAGGCGTGGAAGCCATTGAAGTCTTGCACCGGTGACGAATGGTGTGGATATTGACCATTCTCGTGCCATCCGGTATGGTCGTCAAAAGGTTCTTGGTGGTGATGCTCGTGGTCCATCTGTAGCTGGCTCATGTTGGGTGAGGTCGGTGCGGCGTCGACTGTGGTAGTCTTTCGACTGTCGAAGCAAGTCTTCGTCAAAGGCTATGGCGATCAAATGGTTCGGCGCGCATTTGCAAAGTGTAAGTGGTCGATGTGGGTGACCTCAAGATGAAGGCGGGCATGCATGAGATGTTGGTTCAGGTGCTAAAGCGGAACAGAACAGTGACGGCGAGTATGTACCGCAGCAGCGCGAGGAGTTGGCCGACAAAACAGCGCAATCTTATGACAAGCTCTAAACTGGATTGTATAGAGAGGCGCGGCAGAGGAATGAGTTCAGAGGGAAGCAGAAGCTGCAGGGAAAGTCCTGGCACGGCAGGCCCGCAGCGCGTACTTGAAAGAATGCCTGGGACGCTGGTACAAGCCCTGGTGTGTGCGATGCAGACGCGGACTGTTGCAACAGTGCGAGAGAGGGCCTGTTTGTTTCTAGCCCAAGCTTGCCGGCTCAAGCTGGCTTGTGCACCGTATATCCTTGCCGCCATCAAGCCAAGCGACGCCGCAACGCGACAGCAACGTTGGGCTTAGTGCATGTGCGGGTCTTGTCCGGGATGCGCTCTTAGGGTTGACGCGGGCCAGAAATATGCGGCCGCCTAGCTCAAGCTTATCGAGACACCCCCAGTGCACGGCTCCATACCATGTCTATGCTGCGGCAAATGGGATGTCAAAGCGGTCGGGTACGATGATCCCACGGAGACCATCGCACCGTGCTCACATATCATCACGGCCGGTGAATCTGCTTCCTTAAAACAGACATGGTCTGAGTTAGCGAGGCGTATTGGTTTCGTTTTGTGCGCCCGCACATCATTCTCAATATCGTACTCTCGTGGTGCGCAAGGACTGAAACGGCAAGTAAATCAGGTACGAGGAGTGGCGATACCCGCGGTTCAATGAAGGTGTCAATCATCGGCGGTGCATAAAAAGATGCCAAATTGCGCAGGGGGACTTGAACGCTTTGGGATGGCGATAATCGCGCCCACGAGAAAAGGAGCCACAAAAGACACATTAGGGTTTGCGAAGCAGCCACTCAGGAACGGGAGCGATAATGATTTAGCGCCCGAATAGCAGCGAGCTCTGCGAGTCGTCAGCACAGACAGCACCCTTGCTGAAAGTCTCCGAATCGACAGCTGTATGCATTAGAACACCAATGAGGGAAGTCAACACCTGGAAAACTGGGCCAGAGAACGCTGATCGTATTTGCTGAATTTCCGAAAGTGTCCTCAATGGAAAAGAAACATGCTGAGACCGTTTCAACGCCAGCGCCCCTCTCACCACGAGGCTTCGTGAAGATGTGTATGTACTATGGTGCGCCTCTTCGGCAGCAAAGACCTTGTCAAAGTTGCGGACGGCTGCGATCCGTTCAAGTCCCTGGTGTCCTGGTCGAATGGCAGGTACGTCCCGCTCCGTGGCTCTTTGTCTCAATTAAGCGAACGTGCTGATGCCGGCGTGGAGCTGAGACGGCAACTTCGGCCAATCCGGACAGTGAAGTCGGCTTGAAGCCTCGTTCTGCTCGTCATCTTCCATGTCCAGACCTTGAAGTGACATCGTAGTGAGACACCAAGCCGTCCGAAAGCCACTCGACGATCCAATCCCTCTTCACTGCGGGGGGCGACGGCTCAAATGCCGCGGTGTGTATGTCGCAATTTGGCATTTACTTCTTGACGATGGTGACTGGTCGTCTGGTTAGCACTTGAAATACACTAAAATCGAATCTCGCCGTTGACTCACCGATGTCTTCGTCGGCAAGCTCATGAGACAAGCCGACACGCTGGGGCTGATGCTTGACCGATTTGCCATACACAATAGCGTGCTTGAACTGTTCCACGATGGTTTTGTGGATGGAGTGGCACTGGACCCTGGTCAGTTGGCGTTGTGATGGGTACGACTGAGGGACTTACGAAGTCTTCGACTGTGCAGGCAGTGGACCTCAACACAACAGGCGCGCTGTAATCAGGCATCCTGCCCTTGGGCTTGGTGTAAACACGGCACAAGGTGAGCTTCTCCCACATCTGCTCCAACAGTTCGTCGATGTTCCAACCGTGCTCGGAACTGATGGGACAGGCGTTGGGAATTCGGTAGATGAGGTCCAATTCTTCGATCGAGATGGCGTCAATCTTGTTGAGCGCGTATATCACAGGAATGTAGCTTCGGCTCTTCGCCTCAATAATGTCGATGAGGTCGTCGACGGTCGCGTCGCATCGTATGGCAATGTCGGCGTTCGCCATGCGGTATTCGCTCATGACAGCCTTGATCTCATCGTGGTCGATGTGCGTCAGGGGGACCGTCGAGGTGATATTGATACCACCCTTGTCTTTCTTCTTAAGCACGATGTTTGGCGGGCTCTTGTTGATACGGATACCGAAGCCTTCCAATTCGTTCTCGATAACGCGCTTGTCGGTCAGAGGCTTGTTGACGTCCAGCACAATGAAGATCAAATGGCAGGTCTTCGCGACCGCAATAACCTGGCGACCACGACCCTTTCCGTCCTTGGCACCCTGGATAATACCGGGAAGATCGAGGATCTGGATCTTCGCACCGTTGTACATGACCTGGCCGGGGACGGTTGTGAGGGTTGTGAATTCGTATGCAGCGGCCTCAGAGTGTTGACCCGTCAATCTGCTCATGAGCGTACTCTTTCCCACCGAGGGGAAACCAATGAAACCAACACTAGCAACACCAGTTCTGGCGACATCGAACCCAACGCCTGCTCCTCCTCCGCCACCGCTGGGCTCAAGCAGTTCCCTCTTGAGCTTTGCGAGCTTGGCCTTCAGCTGTCCCAGATGGTACGAGGTCGCCTTGTTCTTCTGGGTACGGGCCATCTACATGGCGTAAGTTATCGATATGCGTTTACGGTATGGAGGGGTCTTACTTCGGCCTCGACCTCTTTGATCTGCGCACCTCTGGTCAGTCCAAGATAATGTATACATCTAGCGTGATGCCAGCTCTTACCTTGTCCACTGTCGTCGACATCTTGGCTGTTCACTTCCTCTGTCGGGCTTCAAGATGTTGTAGAGTCGCAAATACGCTGGTACAGAAATTTGAAGTTCGACACGGCGATGACGCCGTTTGCTCGGCTGTTCGTTTTCGCCGATGACGCTAGGCCATTCTGAGCTGCAGCTTCTGCCCTCAAACCTTGGATCTCTTACTTGCATGAAATGTAACCAACGACCGACAGAAGCCGCTGCCTTTGTTCTCACCGACTACTCCGAGCGCGTTCTGATACTCATCGTTTGTATTGGCATGCGTCTGCGGTGCGACGGCTGGTGCACCTGACTAGCTGGACGATACCACCGAAGCTATTTTTTACCTAATTTCGCGCACGTGTCATGTTGTACTGTCCGCTCTTTCTATAGATAAAACGGACACCTGCTCGGCTTATCGCTGTCGACGATCCGCAGCTCCTTATCACGGTGTTTGGCCTCCATTTCGACCTCGCAGCTTTCTTCTACGTTGCTTCCTTTCGCTTGTACTACAAGTCTACAACCTCAGTACCGTTATACAATTCTATCGTTATCGTATCATCATGCCTGGCCGAACATCAGATCGTTTCCAAGCCCTCGTCCAGGCGCTGAGCGACAAGCTTGGTCCTTGTAGTGGTATCAACAGTGACGATGTCGACGAGAAGGAGCTCCAGAAGTTGATGGAGGACTATGTCTCGGACGAGTCAGAATGGGAGGTGTATTCTATGGCGCAGCCTAACACAGCATACACGCGGAATCTGGTGGACAAGGGCAACGGCAAGAGCAATTTGGTACCTATAGGACTCGCAATCTTCTGTTGGTCCCTACTGACGTTTGGTAGCTTCTCTTAGTGTGGGCCCCCGGAAGGGGGAGCCCCATCCATGAGTAGGTCGGCTTTTCTTTGTTCTCTCTCTATTGACAACAGAACCATCAACGTGACCTGGCCTTTGATCACACCACGTTCAATGGCCCTGTACTCCTGACTGACGAAGCGACTTTGCTCGCCGATCAAAAGATCGATGCGTCCACAGCGCAGGAGACAGCCGGTAAGGACATTACTTTCGATTTCTTGCGCAAACCATTTTTAGGCCAGCTTGGTAATGGCCATGTTTTACTGATTTCCATCATAACATCAGTTCGAACAAGGCTGACGTAGCATAGCCATGCCAACGCCCACTGCATCATGAAGATCCTCAAGGGCAGCCTCACCGAGACACGCTACGCATGGCCCACGGTCAACCTCAACAACTCTGAGGATCACCACATGCAGGTCATCTCCGAAAAGACATACCAGGCCGACCAGGTTACGTACATGTCTGACAAGCTTGGGCTGCACCGCATCTCAAACCCAGATAAGGAAAACTATGCTGTCTCGTTGCATTGTGAGTCTACAACGCTGCGCCACGACATGCGTACTGACGATGATCAGTGTACACTCCACCAAACGCAGCCGTCTATGGCTGCAACGTCTTCAACGAAGCAAACGGTCACTCGACGCACATGGCTAGGTGCACGGTGTTCTCTGAGTACGGAGTCCGCGAGGCACGATCTTAGAATGATTCACGTCATGAACGGGTACTGAGCAGATGGTTAGGGTGGACATCTGTCCTCTCCTGGAACATCTACAAAGGTAACGAATGGTGTTTGTGTGGTTTCTTGATTTCTTGTTTGTTGCCTGCGCTGGAATGTCCCGGCAGTCTTAGCTCCGCACACATCCATAGTCGCAATTCAGCTATCCCGCTCCTCCACAAGCCGCAGCTCTCGGCGCCGTTTCTCCTCTTCCACTACTTCTCCACCAGCCACACACGCTGCCGAACTCACGGTACAACATCACATTCTATCCATGACACCCAGAAGCGAAAAACGATAGATTCAACTTCACCCGCCTACCAGGTCTCCCACGCCCCAATCCCTCCCTCTCTAAACGTCGCCGTCGCCCACCCCCATTCCCGTCCACCAGCATACACCCGCGCAGGCCGCTCAAACGGCCGCTCAAACCGGCTCGTGCCCAGCGGACTTACGTCGCGATGCGCATTGCTCGCATTACGACGCGGTATTTCGTTTCTATGCCGCGGCGGGCTGGCGTCGCGCCTCGGAGCATACTTTGCGTGCTCAAGATGGTGCTGGGCGTGGGACTTACCATTTCCGTTGCCATAATTGTGTTGTGAGTACGGCGAGTCGCACGGATCGTATGAAGCGCGGGGTGCATACATTTTTGGTCCGCGACCTCGCGCGACGGGGGGAGGCGGTCTAGGCGGTGCGGTGATGTACGATCTGTCGGGTTTAGAATACTTTGGTGGGTGTGGAGTGTCATAGTAGGACATCTGTGGCTGTTCATGAGGTCTGCGGTTCACTGGCCGGGAAGACGCACAGCCCATGTTTACTGAACCGTGCGGGTGGTTGTTATCTTTCTTTGTGTGCGTGCGCTGGTGCTAGTGATGTGTCTAGGGATGTGTCGCTGTGATGGTCACTGTGTCTGTCTGTTTCAGTGAATGTTCTGTGTGTTGTGAATTGTGCGGGCAATAAGCAGGAGCAACTTGGAGAAGCTTCGATATGCATATTCCGTGTTCCACGTTGGGTGTAGACAGTGTCGTGACGTGACTGCATGCGTTGGTCAGTTGCGCACAGAAAGCTGTTTGTCTGTGTACGTTTATCTTATTGTGCACTGTGGAAGGGGTATTAGCAAACTGCACTTGAGCAATGTAAAATGGTGATGAATATCGATTGATACCAATCTACATTCGGGAGGAAGTCAAAATCCTGTACGAACAAGGTAGCCTGAGACTCTTGCTGCGTGGTATACCGACGTTACTGTGTACAGTCTCAACAAACCCTCTTTGCCCTGCGAGATCCTCCAGCGCCTGTGACTTCCTCCGCGCAGTCTAATGCTGGAAAGGTTAAAACTCACGTATACCCGCCACAATTACAAGCAACAAAGAATGCCGCCTTCCGCTCGTGTCAGCACTTCAGCTCGCTACGTCTGCAATATTCGCAGGCCTAGAAGAAGCTCCGGTCCGTACAGTCCATCTCTCAGGACAATCAGATGAGCAACTCCCGCGCCCAGTAGTCGATAGCCACGAGCAATCCAAGTTTCCTCCTCCTTACACGACCCACTCTCACTACTGAGAAGCCGAAGCCTCACAACGCGCCACCGCTCACACTCGATTGCAGAATCCAAGCGCGCGAGACCTTTTCGATGCCTTGAGCTCCAGCCCCTGAAAGACAATGAGATCTCCTTCAGATTCCTTGGCAGTATTTGCAGAAACCTCGGCTTGGAACAAATGCTCGCTGCATCGATATGAAGAACAAGGAGTCTTTTTATGTCTCATTTGCAGTAGGTAAAGTGGAGCGTTAGCTATCGAAGCGTGAGACGTCTGGAAGACAAAGGTGGCAGATATTCTGCCGAACGCATCAACCGCTCGCGTTCCCGCCAGTCTTCACCTTGATACCACTTGGACGATCCTGGACAAATTTAAATCATTGTAATATGCTGACGATAAGACGGATTTTCGTACAGAGGGCTGGGGCAAACGTTGATCTGTACAAAGCAATCTGACTACAAAATATATGTCCTGAGTATCGAAGAAATACTCCACGGAAGCGGATCCTTTATCAAAACGCGCTTCTACCCGCAAAAGACACAGTGCAGACCCATGGTAGACTGCTCAGCCCTGGAGTAATCTGGGGGCTTTTGCTCAACGTATAGAGCCGTGCTGACAAGTGGAATAATAGCTCATGATGGGACAATGTAACTGCACGATCGCTCAGTCGACGAAGACGCGTGAGCCTCGCGGTGGACCTAGTAGCAACCACTACCACCACACGGTACGCTTCTGATCGCTTGACCTCCTCCAAGAATGGTCAACAGAAGACTCCTGTGGCATCCTCGCATTGACTTCCCCTCTTCTGCACCACTCACGGCGTGTATTTCGGCGGTGGCGCCTCGTATGCCGGTAGCTCACCCCCCTCGACTCTCGCAATCTCCTCCCTCCGCTCAATGACCCTCAGCTCCTCCCGCCTCAGCTCTTCAATCCTCTGCAACTCGCCCCTCTGCTCCTCAATCCTCTGCAACTCAACACTCTGCTCCTCAATCCTCTGCAGCTCGCGTCTCTGCTCCTCCATCCACCCCTCCCCCCCAGCCACAGCTCCAATCTCATCGTCGCCCCGCGACCCTCCCTGCACTGGCCTCTCCGTAGGTGGAGCTGCAGGCCAGTCCGACCCCGACACCCACGTGCCACCGGGTCGAACGGGAGCATGCCAGACCTCGCCTCTCGCGACCGCAGCCCTGGTAGCATCGACATCTAGTTGAGCGTGCGCGCACTCGTCGCGGATGCGTCTGCGCTCTGCAGCTCTGACGCGCTTGGTCTCCGCTTTTCCCGGGGAGCAGAGCGCGAGGCAGCATTGCGCACACCAGCTGTACAGCAGCGCTGCGAGGACGATCAGCCCGATGGCGCCACCGACGCTTATGCTGACGATTTGGCCGGATTTCAGGGCGGGCTTGTCGGGGGTGCCGCTGGACGAGGCGGCTGGGCTTGTGTTTGGCCATGCGGTGGGTGTTGCGGGCATTGTCGATGGAGAGGGGCTGCCGTTGACGAGGATGAGTATTGGGCCCTGGTAGTGGACATAGTCGAGGTACGAGTCGTTAAACCGGCGGTGCTCTATGATGGTGATGTTGATGCTGCGCTCGTTGGCGTTCCCCGTTGCAGTGCTATACCCCAGGTCGAGGTCAGTCGTCTTTCCTGAGCCGGCGCGGTTCCCGCGGGTTATGATGACGTTGTTGGCCAGAATGGAAAGATGAGAGGTGTGGTTATCCTTGTAGTAGCCTGGTGGCCAGTACAAGTCGACTCTGTGATTGAGATAGCAGATTCTGCTGCCGTTGGGTGGCCAGCAGTAGGGCGTTTGCGCTTCCTGTTGGCATGCTTTGATTGCAACGGTGGGGATAGCGCTGATTGAGTAGAAGTCCGGCTCACACGCTTGTGCTATGTCAATGACTTTCCTGAGCTGGGACATGAGAGCGCTTACTATTTTGAATATCACGAGTGGGTAGGTATACCATGATGCCGTGTTTCTAGGCAATTATGGAGGAATATATTCGATATAGTGCAAGAGGGCCTGAGAAGAGTTCACGAACTGCTGCATATCAGTGCTGTCAGCGATTCCTGGTTCCCACAGTACGGGGGTAAGCCAGAAGTATATACCATTCCCCATCACAAGCCTCCCAAGCTCTCAGCCCAACGAGGCTTGCCACGATGCTTGGCTTGCATCCAAAGCCCAGGGCGAGATAAACTTGCCTACAAACCCCGGACCGCCTCCCAACCTGGCCCAATCAGCGCTGCCATAAAGCACCATGATATCTGCCCTGCATACTGTATCGCACAGGCTGATTGGCAGTCAGCGGTGTTCGATGTAGACAGGTGTAAAGCATGACGCACGTACCCAGTCATGTGGTTTGCGTGCGTAAGGCGTTCACTCTCGTTCAGGATCCAATATTGCGATTCCTGGTGTTGTGCACGTACTGACTACGTTCTTGGGTTGTGTCCGGATAAGACGGCAATGAGGGGGGCTGCCGAGATGTGGCGCACCTACGTTGGTTCACCGTGGAGCAGTAACGTTGAATCAAAGGCAGACTCGCTGGGCACGTGAGGTGCGCAAGGCTGAGCAGGCTGAGGTCTAGAGCGCAGTTCGTATTGGGATCATGTGGCGAATGTCAAGTATTGGAAATTACGGCTGTGCATTCGAAAGCTTGTCGCGGGAAAATAGAGCACTATACACAGTCAACGCCATGGGCCCGGGGAGTGCAAAAACAACAACAGGCGCTGCCTGCATTACTACAATATCCAGTCTGGTATCCCTCAGCACGCGCAGCCCTCCTTGGCGCCCTCGGTCCGGGCACTCCCCAAATTCACGCGCGCATCCTCTTGCCTGTTCAGGGTCGTCTGGCCGCCGACGCCACGCGGGCCCTTGAGGCTCGTCTCTGGAATGGCGTTCGCGATGGCTGTGAAGACGTCTGCGACGTTCTGCCCCGTCTTCGCACTCGTCTCGAAGAACAGCAGGCTCTCCTCGTCTGCGTAGGCCTTTGCCGTCTTGATGGGCACTCTCCGCGCATCGGTGCCGTCTTCATCGGCGGCCTCCTCGCCCTCGGCGGCGGGCGCTGCGTCTGCGTCCTCTGAGCTGCCCTCGTCGCCCTCGGTGGCCAGGTCGGCCTTGTTCCCCACGAGGGCGATGACGATGCCGGGCGAGGCCTGGCGGTGCAGCTCGGCGACCCAGTGCTGTGCTTTGGTGAGCGACGAGGGCTTTGTGATATCGTAGACGACGAGGGCGGCCTGGGCGTTGCGGTAGTACATGGGCGCCAGCGAGGCAAAGCGCTCCTGGCCGGCCGTGTCCCAGATCTCAAACTTGATTGTGCGCGTGGGCAGGTTGCATTTCTGTGTGAGGAAGGCCGCTGTCGTGGGTCAGCCATGGGCGCGATATGCGGACCGGCAGGGAGAGGGCTGCATACCGCCTATCGTGGGCTCCTTGTTCTCTTGAAAGTCGTTGTTGACGAAGCGCATAACGAGCGAAGACTGTCATTTCTCAGCACTGCACACCCGTGTGGCTAGTCACCGCAGTATCGCACCTTTCCAACGGCAGCCTCGCCGAGCAGCACCAGCTTGACGCTGCTGCTAGGCTTTGGTTGTGCGGATGCGTCCGCCATTGTGTGTTGAGGTTGCGGCTGGGTCGCGATGTATAGGAAGAGAGCGGCTATACGGCTGCGGTAGCTTTGCTGTTCTCGGCGAATTACGTGGTATACGACAGAAGAGACTTTGTGGTGCAGGCAAATGTCTCGCAGTCGACGGCAGCCTCATGGCACCCTCAACGTTCGTCACCGCCAAGAGCTGACCAAGCCCTCGTTGGTTGACAGCCTCGCCGCGGCTCCACTCACCGCACCACGACAGCCACAGAACATCATTCCGCCAGCTCATCGAGCCATGTTCGAGAGATGGTGTAATTCTCCGTACCGTTTTTGGAGCGAACGCACAGAGTCGTTCCCACTTCCGGATAGCGGGAGGACAATGACTGAGTGCAAACACGCGACTTGATGCTCTCATTTCGAGTTAAGAAGTCGCGTACTACGATGGGTGAAGACATAGGTGAAGACGTGCTTGGGATGTCGTCGGTAGCGCACGGTGATGGATGACGAAGGGGCGTGGTGTGGCCAGCCACGGTTGTCTCAAAGCAGGCTGCCTGTTGATAGATGGCTTGAAGTCCTGTGGTCTGTCACGAAGATGTTTGCAGATCCACAGCCATCGCTTGTGCGATCGGTATAGGGTCACTTTTATGCTCAACTGTCCTCGACAGTTGATTTCCAGCCGAACATTTATCAATCCATCATCTCCTTACCTGCCGTCTAAGCAGATAGCAAGGGTAAGAGATGACAACCCTAGCATGGCACTAGACAGGACGGAGGAATTCAAACAGCAGAAGAAGCAGCCAACTACCTAACCCCCTCGATCTACAATCCCCCAAACACACACGAAGGAGCACCAAAGCCCCCCGTTCCATACCCAACCTATCTCATCGATTCAAACCGCCGATCTCCCACCCGTCTGTCGTCACACCTGCATCGCATCGCGATCCCCCATCCCAGCCACCTGTGCTCGCGTAGAAAAACCACCGCCATCCCCAAAATTCCCCTCTACTACCCAAACTCCCCTCATCCCCTCACCCCCCTCCGTCCCCAAGCCTCTCCATGCAAAACACCCCATCACGGCCCTCCCTAACGGCCCGCCGCACAGTCCACCACCGTGAAGATCCCAATCTCCCTCTCCACACAACATCAGCCGTTACTCTACAAAGTTCAAACCCACACAGCGCGCCAAAAACACCGAAACTACCACTGACCAACCCTCGCGAAGCTGTTGCTAGGGCTCCAGGCTTCTTCTTCTCTTGCGCTACGAGCAGGACGAGTGCCTACGTCGATGTAAATCGAGGCGGGCATTGAGGAGGACCGATCATCGGGTGTACGTACATGACGTACACGGGAAGGGATCGATTTGTCTCGATTGCAGCTTGTGCGATAGCCCTGCGCTTAAACAAGCCTGCTTCGACAAGTCTACTTCGATATCCCTGCGGCGCCGTGGTTGGTATGCTAGACGCGTCACATGAGAAAGACAGTAAGAGATGGTCAAGGTCTTCAGACGAAGCACTGGCATTCATCCTATTTCCTACACTCGTATCCTATTCCTCTGTTGCCGCCCGGCCAGATATACAAGAGGTGGCCGTCTCACCAAAGGTAGTGCAAGCCTGCACACGGCTCCAAGTCGTCATCCCCAAGTCGTGTCAGAAGGTATATCGGTGTTATATCAGTTTCGGTGTAACATGCTGTGAGTTGAAGAAAGAAATATGGGAACTAGTGTCAAAAGACGAAAGGGTAAAGGACTCCGGATGTGCTAGGCTCTCGACGCTAGACGCTGGATGCGAAGGTTTCTGTCGGCCGCGTGGGATCCGCAGCTTTAACCTCAAGAGCTCGACCACGCATACCGAATGTCGATATGACGGACGTCCCTCTCATCGGTACTGCAGAAAGCCGCGGCGGTCAGGCAGAAGGTCTGCGGAGATAGATCGCTAAATGGCTAATATCGTTGTGGTACAGGCCGGGAACAGGAAGATAACAATGTGAGGCGTGGTGGAAAGAACGGTACAACACGGCAAACGGCTACTCCTCCATCCTCCCGAAGAAGGCATCGTCGTCTTCGTCTGCGCGGCCGCGGCTGCGAGAGTTCGACTGGCGGTAGTCCTCCTCGTCGGCAAAGTGGTCGTCGTCCATGTCGATGTCCTTGCTCTCGTGGTAGCGGTAGCTGTTGCGCATGCTGCTCTGCTGCGGCGTCACCGTTGTGTTGCCAGAAAGGGTGCGGGCGTTGTTGAAGTCCATGAACTTGGCAGGCAGCGGCGGGACGGGGGGCACGTCTGCCGGCAGGTTCATAGCACCCGACTTGGGTGTGCCGTACGAGCAGCTCAGCAGGCCAACAGCGGCAGCCATATCCTGATCGGTGTTGCCGTCGTCGGGGTACGAGCCTGCAACGGAGGTGCCCGAGGTGCCCGAGGTGCCCGAGGTGGTGGGCCGGTCAGACACGTTGCTCCAGTGGCGGTAGTGGCCGTTGCCGTTGTCAGAGAAGACGGCAGACTGGTACGACTGGCTGTAGGCGGAGCTGTTGGCCGAGTAGCGCTTGATGGAGCGGCGGCCAAAGTGCGAGTGCGAGGAGTAAGAGCCCACGGCATGATCATCCGTCTGTGGGGGCGGGGTAGTTTCTGTGGAGCTCAGCCCGTCGCGCAGATCAGACGAGCCGGAGGCGGGCGGCGAGGCCGAGTCGTCGCTGTCGTCGCTCGTCTTGTTCATGGCGACGAGGACCGAGGCAGCCTCAAGCAGCTGGACCTGCTGGTGCTTGGAGATGAGCAGCTTGGAGGTGTACTGCCATTCCGGAGTGTGCTCCCAACTAGATCAAAAGTCAACGCGGTTCACGAAACAGGCAGTGCAAGCGGCCGGGTGCAGGGTGCGTCTGCAGGGTGTGCGTGCAGGGCATTCGTCTCGAGCGGTGAAAGTATGTGGGTGGACGGTGGAAGGCGACGGGGTACTGACAGGTGCTTGGTCAGACAGCTGCTGTGCTTGTATCCTTTCCCACATTTTTCACATCTCAAGTCGCTACCACTGGCGCGCTTGCCCTCGCCCTTGGCCAGGCGAGAGGCGCCTTCACTCGCACGGCGCACGCGCGACTTGGAGCTGCCCTGCTCGCTCTCCGGCAGCGAGGCCAGCGGCGGCCCGTCCTGCACGGCTTCGCTCTTGGCGGCGCTGTAGCTGCCGAAGGGCGAGCCGCCGTGCGGCATGCTGGCGGCCATGGACTGCGCGTGCACCAAGCTGGGCCCGCGGAACTGCGTCGCCGGCTTGCTCGGCCGGCGTGCTGGGTTATGGTGGGGCTGCTCGGCCAGCGGCGCGCCCGCGATGCCCTTTGCAACCGCGGCCATGGCGGCGACGTTGCTGCCGGCCGTCGTGCTCATACTCTTGCGGCGGGTGACGCGGTGCGCCGGGTTGATGCTGCCGACGGACAGCGAGTGCGCGTGCGGGCGCGCCTTGGGGAGGCTGCCGGCCATGTGGTTGCTCGAATGGCGCTGCTGCGAAGCCGGGCGCACGTTGATGGGTTCCTGAGCGCGGGCGAGTCAGCGGGCGAGGCGGCGGATTGCGGGGATGCCGGTGGTCACAGGCAGCAACAAATAGAGAACAGATGGGGACACGGTGGTTGAGCCCTGCGTCTACCGACTGCGTACCTTGAGGACCGTCATGGCGCCAAACTCTCCAGACTTTTTTTTTTGGCGAGCTGGCCTTTGTTCTATGAATGCGTCAGGAGCGTTGCACAGCCCCGGACTCCGAGGTCAGATGCGTGGTGCGGCTGATGCGTGCTATGTATGCAGGGCAGCGCAGGGGGGCACAGTGGGTGGCAGGAGGGAGGAGGTAGGTGGTTGTGTGCAAGGTGAGGCAGGTAATTCTGTGCAAGGTGAGGCAGGTAATTGTGTGCAAGGTGAGGAGGGTAGGGACAGGTGCCAGGCGCACGGCGGTTGTTCCAAAACAAAATAAAAATGTTGGCGATTGTTGAGGCTGGACAGGCTGGACCCCACTGCTTGTGCTATCTTGCGTTATGGGCCGAGCTGTTGTCTTGCGATTCCGGAATGGCCATGGGTCAGCCGACAGGCTACCTACGGCCGAGCTCTCTCGAGCGTGGCCTAAATTCTAATGGCTGTTTCGCTGTCTGAGCGTACGCCGTACGCTGGGCCAGGCGCCCTGTCTGCCATTGCCCAGTGATATTGCGTGTTGGCGCATGCTCGAGCTGCACGCCTGCAAGACAGCCATGCACCCCGGTGCATATTTCCTGCTGCCAGAATAATTATTTCATGACACTTTTGTGCCGTTCCTGGCGCGTTCCGCCCATCTCAGGGCTCTACTTAGCGCAGCAGCAGCAGCCGCCCATGATTGGTATTACGTGCTAAATCGAGCAGCACGGTGCCGCTTTGGAACGACCATCATCACCGATCGCAGCAGCCGCTTGGGCCAGGTACGGGTGGACCGAGAAGCGCCGGGTCTGGAGAACTGCTAACGCGCCTGCGATCGTGTGCGAAGCTGCACGAAGTCGCCTGGAACACGTCTTCGCCGAAGGCGGCTCGTTGGCATGGCGCTGCTCGAAACAAAGCAGAAATGCACCTCTTTGGAATCACAACTTCGCCCTGAAACCGACAGCAATCCGCCGTGAGACCAACCCTTGGCGGCATCGCGATCGGACACAGCACCCAGGTCTGTGCATTTGCCAGTCCGTGCGGTCGCTCTTCGCTATAACGCACCATATACCGTAATCCTCACCACCCAATGCGCTTCGCGCACTGCGCAAGCCACCTGCCCACCTTTCCACTCGCAGCGCAAGCGATCTGAGGGGTTTGTCTCGCATGGTGTGGCACCCGGCCCACCCCACATGACGAGCCAACGCACATCGCGAGCTTTGAATGGAGGGAGACTCTTGCCCCTAGGATAACCGCTCGCGCCGCTCCCTGCTGCAAGTCATGGTTGATGGTTCCAGACGCGCTGGATCAGCAGGCCGAGATTCGCGGACCGTCGACGACGACATCGGGACGACCATGGTCAAATTACGGATTTTCCCAAGCAAAGGTCCCTTTCACTCGGCGTTCACGAGGGCCATCGTTGTTGACAGCTGCACAACCATGGTGCTGGACCGTCAGACCGACTCGTTGAATATCGACCGACGTCATCGCTGCGCTTTAAAGCGCACTCATCCAGCAAAGTGTGGGGTAGCCCACCCAGCTCATCCGTGCAGCGGGCACCTCGGACATGTTCTGCTACCGCGATGATCAAATTCCATGCAACCCCCTCATCGCGAATTCACAGCTGCCACTTCCGGACCATCCAGGCCCGAACGCCACCATCTGATGTATGTATCGCCAAGACGGCAGGTTATTGACACCTGTGCAAACACCGCAATCGCTGCGATATTTGCTGTGCCGCTCGCAGAGTAGAGTGGTGCGATAACGTGATAAAACGCCGGCTCACGTAAATACCGCTCTCCGCTCGAGATATTCGTGCCTGATGGCCAATCATGTCGCTGGAGGAGCGGGCACCGAGCACGTGCAGCTAATCCCAGCACGTCTAGACCGGGCTCACCCCATGGACCACCCGGCGGACAGGTGTTCGTCTCAGAACAAAAAGTTGGCCGCAACCTCGCGAGACTGTTTCAGGCTTTCAGCGACGAGTACCTATGACCTCATGTCGGCGGCATTGCAAGGCGCGCCCACTTGGCGTCCGGTGAGGGACCGCAGATAGACCAGATCTCGGTGATACTGAGCCATGGAACTCTGGAATTGCCGTGCCTTACTGCAAGGGTGACTGGTAGCATGTGGGCAAGCTTGGTCTATTGTACTTCGTACGACGGGTAGGGCTGTACACGCGCCGAGTGAAGCCGGGCAGGATCTGTAGGTTGAGCCTCCCCAACATGAGATCTTGCCGCAAATTTCGTGCTCTCAGTGATCTGCTGAGGCGCGGAGCAGACGGCGTGAAGCTCGCTCATACACATGAATTCTACCAGAGCGGATTTTCCGGACCTTCGACGCATTGATAGCTCGCTCCGTAGGTAGGAAATCCAATCATGGCACACCGCACCAGGCTGTTCCTCTTCTGCGCAAAGGATCTGGACATGTTACTGTGTCTCTGTAGTCTCCAGAAGTCGCCTCTTCGAAAGTGCAATGTTGTGTTCTGAAGGTCGGAGCTTGCAACATCAACCTGGCGTCATTGCTTGGCACGGACCCTGACGATCACTCCTTCCAAGTGGACACGCGCAATATAGTTGAACTGCATCTACGCGCACAACAGACGAACTCATGCCATCCCATGGGCCCTAGTCCGATTCCTGCTCCAATGCACCTGGCCGTATCTCGCGTCGCCGAAAATGCCGCTAAGCACCGTCTGCTGCTCGCTCCGCTGCTGTTTACCGTCTTGGGAGCCGTTGGCAGTGTTAACAGCCCTGTCCAGCACTCGCTCCTCGTGACCTCGGCGTCGTGGGCGATACTATGGATCCCTCTTGTATTCCGCGTGGGGCTGCATGCGAATGCCGGAGGCGGAAAGAGGAGCACCAGCTGGCTTGCGGGCGCATTCCTTGCGCTGGCGCACATCTGCGACAGAGCTGCCTGCGACAAGGACGGCATACGAGCGACCAAGGTAGGCACGCAGGAAGACATGGCAGCGCAACTGCTGACATGCAATAGTGGCTGCTCCCACTGCTCGTCGTGCTCGTCTCTGAGAGCGAGCTCCTGTCCAGACACCCTGCCCTGCCCACGCACTCCCGCAGCGACTCGACCAACTCGAACAGCGCCTTCGAGAAGCCCGCCAGCAAGAGGCCATGGGATCTCCTGGTCACCCTCACCATGGCCGCGAGTGCCGCGATGAGCATCTACACCACGTCTCCGACCTCCGCGCTTGGCATCAGCGGCGCCATCTTCGCTGCGTCGGGTCTGGTCTTGTTTGAGACGGCAGTGCAGGGCGCAAGGGACGATAATGAGGGCGGTACGCGAGGACTCATGTCTGCAGACGGCTCGTTCTCGCGACAAGGCTTAGTCAGCAGCAGTCGAAAAGCGCTGGAGCTTGTGGCTTTGCGGGACGTTGCAGCTGCCATGACCGTCATATGTGGCATTGCAGTCTACATGATGGAGCCCTCGGTTATGCCAGGCGCTGCGACGTGGGAGCCGCTGTATCGAGAGTTTGATCGCGACTGGAAGACAGTACATGACTTCAGAACTGTGCGCCAAGTATTCTCCATGATCATCGTTAATGCCGCTTTCAATCTTCTCACGTTTCTTCTCGTAAGTGCTTCATTCCTCGCACTCGCCACAACGCCTCAACACAACATGCGCACATGCACAAGCCCATGCGACTTTTCCATTCGCTGGCACTAAGCTGATTTGTCCTACAGCTTCTCCGCGAGGGCGCTGTTCCTGTTTCTCTATGGGGCCTGTTCTCTTGCATCTGTGCCCAACTCAAGTTTGCCACTACCTTTTCAGGCATATGGTTCACCTGCCTCTACGGAGTTTCTGCTCTTTTATACCTTTACGGCGGATCGCTTCCAGACGCTTTCGTTGACGTTCGGCATTCTACATACATAAGACGCATCTTGTTTGGAGTTACGACATTCTCGGTCTTCGTGCTGCTGGTTCGTCACGCATCTGGAGCGCATCACTACAGACTTACAGCTGAGGTCCCCTCTATCTTCGAGGTGCAATCTTCATCGACGCCTCTTGGCTCTATTCCGATTGACCTGAAGGAAGGACACCCTGCAGAACAGCTGATCAACGCTGCCGAGACTGAACTTCAGCAGCTGCTGAAGAGGCAGTCGAAATCTCTGGACCAGGCCGTTCGCGAGTATCGGCGCAGGAACGGAATAGCACCTCCTCCTCACTTCGACAAGTGGTTCGAGTTTGCTCAGCGTCGAAATGTTGTGATGATCGACGAGTTCGACATGATCAACCAAATGCTGCTGCCCTTCTGGGCACTCGAACCCAAAACGATACGGTCGCGCATCAAGAACGCAATAGGCCATGAGGACAGTGCTTTGATTGCCGTGGCTATCCGAAACGGGGAAGTGGTATCTGTAGGCAACGGCGATGAATGGCAGCAGCAAGCCACAACAGGCATGATGAAGGACTTCGTTGCCTACCTTCCAGACATGGATCTGGGCTTCAACATCCATGATGAGCCTCGTGTGGTCGTGCCGAACGACCTGCTGTCTTCAATGATCGCCAAAGCCCGAGACCAGGTTCTGCCCCGTGCTGCAAAGAACGCCCTGCCTCGCAACGACTTCTCGAAACGACCGAAGGATCTGAATGATGGTAAGCGCTTCGACGAGGTCAGCACAAGCAAGTTCAACCGCTTCGCACATCAACAAACGTGGACGCACTCCCGCCTCTCGTGTCCCACCGACAGCCAGGCCCAGACATATGAAGACTTCGCCGCCGACAATCTGACCTCGTACGCCGCAGGCCCTTTGAACTACGTGTACGACCCGATAGCATTCTCAGACATCTGCAACTCGCCATCATTTTCGTCAACATTCGGTTTCTTCGAGCGTCCCAACGCCTTCAGCATCACCCACGAGCTCACACCCATCTTCTCGCAGTCCAAGGTCTCCAGCTTCCAAGATATTCTCTACCCCAGCCCGTGGTACTGGTTTGGCAAAGTGACTTACAGCAAGTCTCACGACACGAGCTGGGAAAACAAAATCAACAGCCTCTACTGGCGCGGCTCCACAACCGGCGGCTTCAGTCGCAACGGCGGCTGGCGCCGCCAACACCGTCAGCATATTGTCCAGCGCATCAACGCCCCGGACACAGCGCAGATCCTCGTTCGTCCGGTCACCTCCACCGCCCCCTACCAAGTCAAGGATATCGACCGCCGCGCCCTGCGCCACCTGGTCGACGTCAAATTTAGCCATGTCGGCCAGTGCGACCCGGGCGACTGCGACGCGCAGAAGGAGTTCTTCGACGTCGTCGAGCGTGTCGACGGCCACGAAGCCTGGTCCTACAAGCACCTGCTCGACATGGACGGCAACGCCTTCTCCGGCCGCTTCTACAGCTTCCTCCAGAGCCGCAGCCTGACGTACAAGATGAGCGTGTTTCGCGAGTGGCACAATGAGTGGCTCAAGCCGTGGGTGCATTATATACCCGTTAGCTTGAGAGGCGATGAGCATCTCGACCTTGTCCGGTGGTTTAGCGGAGATACGACGGAGACTGGGGGCGTGGGCGGGGTGCAGGAGAAGCAGGCTGGTAAGGGGGGGAATGGGGGGAGTTTGGGGGAGAGGAAGGCGCGGGAGATTGCGGAGAGGAGTACAGAGTGGCATGATAAGGTGCTGAGGAATGCCGACTTTGAGACGTGGTTCTTTAGGTTGCTGCTCGAGTAAGTCTCCCCGTGCCCCGTGTGAGCTTCATAGGATCTATGCTAATCAGTCGCAGATACGGAAGGGTTGTCGACGACAATCGTGAGGAGATAGGATACCCCGGACCGTGATGGAAGCAGACGTGTAGACATTGAGAAATCGCTGCACCTCCATATGCCGACGCAGCGCCAATTCTGTATCTGCCGCCTACTCCGCCCCAGCCATCACATCCCTCGAGTCATCAGCCGCCCTCGGCTTCCCTCTTCCTCTCCCCCCTCTCCCCCCTCGCCCTCCCTTCCCGCCCCGCCTCCCAAGACTCCCCACCTCCCTCTCCCACGCCTCAACATCGACAACAACGCCCTCCGGCACCCTGCCATCGCGCATCAGCACGCCCCCGTCCCTCCGCTCGACGCGCGCAAAGAACTCGAGCGGCATCACGCCCGCCTCGTTGCCCGCGCACAGAACCACACCGTTCTCGGACAGGAAGAAGGCGAGCCCCGCGTCCAGCGCGGCTGCTATGTCGATGTAGATCAGCACCGTCGATGAGCTGCGCATGCCTGAGATTACCCGCGCTTGCTCGCCCGTGGGTGCGCGTGCTGCTTCGCCGGGACCTTCGCCGGGACCTTCGCCGGGGCCTTGGTCAGACGAGGCGGCCGTCCTGAAGCCCGCGGGCAGTCCGGTCGCGAAGTGGATGTGCGTCCTGGTCATGCGGCGCAGGCCGCCGCCTTGGAGGATGAGGGGCCACGCGCGCTCGTCCGTACCGTGGACGACGGTGGCGGGCAGATTGCCTGCATCCCTGGTAATCGGCGTGAGCAGGCCTTCGGTGTCGACTTGCAGCGAGTGGCCCTGGTTCGCGCGGATCACGTAGTCGGCGGGGTCGTCCGAGTGCGGTTGCGATGCTTCACGCGCGGCTGGTGCGTCCGCGTCCGCCCCGTCCGATGCCGCGCCTGCGTCCGGAGACGACACGGGAATCATGCTGAAGCGTTGCTTGTCGTTGTTGGCCACGACGGCCTTGAGCTCGTCAAATGTGATGTTCAGACTCCGCAGCGCACGCGTGTTGAGCGCGGCCGCCACGCTTGCGTACCCGCCCGCGCCCAGCGCCAGGCCCTCCGCGCTCGCGCCGTGACGCAGCAGCCAGCTGACTTTCCGTGAGACCTGGACTTCGCGCGGCTGGTTTGCTGGGTTGCGTGAACCGCCGCCGCGGCCGCCTCTTGCCATCTCTTCTAGCGCTCTGGTGAGCGGACGGGGAATGTTGGCTGGGGGGGTGGAGGTGCTGGATTCGAATTTGAGGGCGGATGGTGCTGGAGTGTGGGGATGGGGATGTGGTGTTGTGAGTCTGGGTTATGGTAGTCAGGTGATGATGTGGGTATAGAAAGGCGTTGATAATCCAAGGGCGAATGTAAGTGTGGCGTAAGTGAAAAATGGGAGGTGCGGCCAATCAACACGCAGCACGAGCGCACCGCCGCACTCATTGCTCTATTGCAACGAGGATGAAAAGACAGACCAGACTGATCAAGTAACAAATATATTGGGTATTCATTCTATCCACACGCCCCTCTTGCCGTCCGACCTTATGCCTCATATGTCCGTGATATACGCTGGTAACGAAAGATACGCAAGCTGTCGTGAAGGGCTGACAACCGCCACACTGATGCAAATCCATCTCTCACAAATATGCCTCGCTCGCCATCGTCAACTCTATACGCAGATTCCCCGGCGTCCCAACCCTCGCTTCGTGCTGTATGGCGTGCCAGGCAGCAAACCCACGGATACTTGGACTGTTCTAAAGGAAAATCCCGACTCCTCTTCAAAAAAAAAAAGTCGACCGCAGCGTCTCACCTCAGACCCGCATCCGCCTCTCCATTGCCACTAGCGCACCACGGATGCTCCAACACCTGGCTGATTGTGATTCGCTTCTCAACATCGCGATCGAGCATCAGCCTCACCAAGTCGATGCTTTCCTCGCTCATAACCCACGGCACGCGCAGATCGTGGTCCATGATCTCGTCAATGCTATAGAACGGATTCTCTTTGTAGATGATGGTGTACAGCAAGATGCCGAGTGCCCACACATCCTGTTCTTTGCCACGATAGGAGCGGCCCGCGAGGACTTCGGGGGCGGCATAGTCTGGCGGTGTTAGCTTTGTTTCAAGCGTGGGATGGAGGGCGGTGACATACCAATGGTGCCAACGAAGACATCGAAAGGCCCGCTCTTGATGTACGCTGCGCTGCCGAAGTCGATGAGCTTAATATTACCGTCACCATCTAGGACTACATTCTCGTCTTTGATGTCGCGATGCACGACCTTGGCTTTAGTGTGCAGGAAGTGCACTGCCTCAGCGACCTGGACGAAGATCTTGCGGCACTCCTTCTCCTCCATATTGACGCGGAGCTCGATGTAGTCGAACAAGTCCATGCCAGGGAGACCATGAGGCACCATCTCGATGTAGTAGTTGACATCGTCCTCGAAGAAGTCGGCCATCTCAACGATGTTCGGGTGCTGGTAGCCGTCTCTGCGTAGGAAGTCGAGGACGTGAATCTCTAGCGGTACAGTGCCGAGCTTACGATCTCGTGTCCATGTGTCGACAAGGATGCGCCGCTTTGTGACAAACTTGATAACGACCTTCTTGCTACTGTTCTTCTTGTAGCGGCATAGCTTAACCTGACCATACGCGCCCTGACCCATCTCCTCGAGTACGATAAAGTCATTGATGGTCTTCTTCTCCGGCGGCGCCTCCTTGACTGGTGCAGGAGGCGCTGCCATTGCATGTGCTGGTGTTTCTTGTGGAGGCAAGGGTTTTGCGGCTTCTTGCAGTTGCTGCGAGAGCAGAGAGACGGGCGGCGTGCCTGCTTTCGACTGGTCAGAAGACTCAGCCTCTTCGGGAATGATCAGATTTGTTTGTCCGGGCGAAGGTTGATGCGGTGGTGTCCCTGGACGCGATATGAGCGGTGTGACTGGACCAATGCCGTGGTTTGTAGCGTGCAGTTGCCTAGAATAGGTCACCCACAACGCGTACACCAGCTGCGGTTTGTCTGGTTGCGCATGTGAGTCACCCTCTTCCTCAATCACCTGCTCATCGAAACGGGGTGTCTTGTCACTCTTTACGACCCTCATCTGCACATCCACCATGATCTCTGATCCATCGCGATGCAAAGCAGGGAGGCCACTGGGCCTCAGGAAGATGGCTGCTGCATCTGCGCTGCCCTCCCGCATGGCGAGCAAAGCTCGCGCACGCCGGAAGCTGTGCTCTGGGATGACAATACCATCCACCAGTTCGATTTTGTCTTCGTCCGTCATAATGTTCAAGATCTTGTCGAATGCAGGTATGAGCTTGCTGACGTGCAGAGTCTCGGGTCGTGGCTGCCCGAACAACGCTTCTGAGAAGACCGAGTTGGAGCTTGTGATTGTGAGGTCGGAAGAGTTGAGTACGAGGATTCCAGCAATGTGTGGGAAGCTGGAGACGCGGAAGGTAGGCTCATCAGGAAGTGCTTCCACCGTGACTGGGATATTGATGCTGTTTGACGTGCGAGCTGTGTAGCTGCGTACCTCAGCAATCTCGTCGTAGTCTAGGGCGCCAGTGTTGGTGCCCTTGAGGCGTGGTATCCCGGGTATCAGGCGTAAGAGATCCATGCCTCTGCGTAGTCTGTCACTACCGAAGACGGCTTCGGTCGCGCCCCAGCCCTTGGAGACGCAACCTACTTCGTCTACATTGATGAATACGACATCCTCAGCTATCTCTTCTAGTACCCAGATGAGGCCACCTCGCTTCTCTTTCACCCATAAGCTTGCTGCACCCGTGGCACCATTCCGCTTCTGGATTGGAATCACATCGCCGCAAAGCAGTACGCCTCTCGAACCCTTCGACTCGTGATTGAGCTTTCCTGTCTTCTTGGCGTTGTAGTACGACGACCCACTGCCATCGTCTGTCTTTGCCTTCCTCGCAGCCGTCGTCCGTGATGAGGGCTTGCTCAACAGCCTTGCAGTCAGGCCATTGCCGACCTTGAGATTGGTTGTTTGCGCCAATGCTGCCTGCGCCTTGGAGCCCAAGTCTGGGTTTTTGAGCTTGCCTTCTAGCCACGACCGCCGGTCCTCTCGAACAACTTCGAGGATGCCCAGCTTGCGGACCTCAGCCCTGGTGACACCAAACACCAAGCATGCCAAGTCGTTTGCGGATGTGATCGTCCAAGGAGCTTCTGCTTCGGTCGTGAAGATAGCCTGTGCCGCGGCAGCATGTCGAGTGCCGTGGCCATGGGGTGCCGGTCCTGCAGAGAGGGGTACCTGTACGCTATGGAAGCTAGGTAGCACAGCAGGAATGGACGTTTGCGATATGACCGAGTTGCTCTGAACCTGATCGCCTACCAGATAAGGCTTGGCCAGGACATCGTGAAGCTGACTCTGTATCGTGAGCGATGCAACGTCGGTCAATGTGCGTTTCAAAGCCGGACGGTTCGGCCGTTGCGGAGGCAGGGATGTGTGTAAGGTCGTGGGACTGAGCGCCGGCACTCCCTGGTCGTCCTTGTCCGTGCCGCCCCTGATGTCGGTCGCGGCTCGATGTACCGGTGGTCTTGCAGACTGGAGCATGCTCTCAGGGCTCGCAGACCGCTGTGCCTCGAAGCCCTTGTCGAAGGGATTCTCGCCAGACATGTCTGCAGGCCCAGTGACGGGACCAAGGGCCCCAAGCCCGTGTGCTCCTGTGCCGTCTTGCCCAATCAGGTTCGCCCTCTGCAGCAGTTCCATCATGCTCTGCACCTCGAGATCCCCGCTCAGCTGCGCCTGTGCGTTCGCAATGCCTGGGTTCGTAGCTGCCCATCCCAGCCGGTCTCGCATGAAGTCTATCGAGCGCTTCAAGACATTCTGCCGGTTATGGATGAACTCGTCGGACTGCGTCGCAAACGAGAACGAGTGTAGCGACTCGGAGGGGAAGCGCATGAGGTCTTCGCCGAAGGCGAGGGTCGGAGATCCCGGCACCGACGGCGCAGCGTCTGAAGGGGGTCGCGAGGCGGGCGGCGTGCTGACGTTCAGCGAGGCGCTGCGCTGGGTGGGCGGCAGCTGCCTCGGTGGCTGCTGGCGGATGCGGCGGAGGCCAGACGCTCCCAGGCCATGCTCGTGCTCGGACACAATGGGCGACCTGGTGACACGGCTGAGCTGGCCCGCATCGAAGCTCATGCGCTTGGTAGTGTCGATTACGGGCGGGGCGGACATGGCGTGAGAGAGCAGGTTCGACATGCTCTTGTTTTTAGTGAGCGAGACATGGTCAGTCGGGCTGCCGAGGGTTGCGAAGTAGGGTTCCTCTGGGAGAGAGCCTGGAGGGGTCGCATAGTTAGCAATCGAGTACATGCAGGCGTACAGCAGGCGCGACCTGGACAACGGGAGCGAAGCAATGCGTGAGGAACAACGGTCAAGCAGACGAGCAGCGGGCAGTGGACTTGGGGGAATGTTGTGCGTGCAGTAGCTTCGAGCACCACTTCTCGCAGCGGGCGGCGGTCACGCTCTCCATATGCTGAGACCGCGCCAGCCGCAAGACAGCTGCATGTGGTCGTCGACAAGCGCAGCCGAGCGGTTTCACTTACCATCCTGTGGCTTCATCGGTTAACGCGGGCACTGCAAAATACTTCTACAGCAAGACGAGAGCTCTTTATCCGAATAAAAAATGCTCGCCGGTCACGGAAAACGTGCGTCGCGGCGGTGGTGGTACTCGATTCAGGGCTCGAGAAGTGTGGTGGGACATGCGTCCAGTGCGGATTGCGGGGGACGCGAGGGTTCAGATCTGGAGGGTGAGACAGGCTGCGAGGGCAGTGTGCGGTCGCTGCGGCTGTAACGCGTGGCTGTCTGCACAATGGCTGCTCGGCGGCGGCGCTGAGGGTCGACTGTGCAACAAGAGTATATGACGATGGATTTCGAGCGTGGCACAAGTTGGATGCGACTCGCTGCCGGGTATCTATTTGAATTGATGTCCCGCGGCAGAGGACCACGCTACTTCGTACTTCGAGCCTAACCATCTGCACCAACACCCCTTCAGGCCACCATGCCGACACGACACAAACACTCACCTCTGTATCTAGCGGCTGTCGATGCGTGAACAAAAGAAAAGTCATCTCTCTGGCTTGTAGCTATCAAGGGTTCACGTCCTTCGTGTCAAGTCTTGCTGTGACTCTGAGCACTGAGCCCATGCCGCCCGTGAATTTCCCCGACGCCTGCGATGCACCAAAACGGCCCTTCGGCGTATCTCGGGGAAGCGAGTCTCAAGGATGCGGCTGCGAGCGTAGTTGAGTGTCAAAGTGGACTGTGCGACTGCGATACAGGGTCTTCCATACTTGGACGAGCGCGTTCATTTCGCGACCCAGAATATTGTTATTGGTCAAGCTCCTGTTGCCGATGCTACCCTGACACTCACACGTGCTGAACTCCGTAAATGCTGGCATGATGTGCTCATGCATAGTCTAGTATGTCATCTTTGGCGCAGCTTGTCCTTGTGCTCATTCCAAAAGTTTCTGCACCCTTGAAAGCAGTCAGTCGTGTTGTCTTGAAGATCAGGAGACGTACCTCGATGCATGTTCACTTGCTCAATCCACCACTCGCCGAAGCTGTCCTCAACTGTCATGTCCACTGCAGTGACTCTTTCGTCTCTCTTCAGACCACACAGCATACACTGCTGTCGCGCAGGTACACCGCCTTCTGATTGTTTTAGAGTCCTGACCGGCATCGTTTCCTGCAGGTCAGGTGCAGGACCCAGAGTGCCCGCCTTGATCTGATTGACACCAGATATCACGTGTCGTAACCTCCCAACTTGATCTTTCCATGCTCTCACAACGTCAGAGGCCTCCCTTTCCTCTTTGCGGTTTTCGCCTTTGTCGATGCCTGTGAGCTTCATGCCAGACGTCGCTCGAGAGGACGCTGGTCCGATCCTCATCCCTTGAGACAGAAGTTGATCCCGCTTCCAGCGCAGCTTTCTCCCTGCGATTATGTGTGCGGCTACGGACGCCAGCACAAGATAGCCATGAAGGTACGCAATAGTACCGGGTTCAGCAAGAAGTTTGTTTCTCATCGGTAGCGTTTGTGCAGCCATGGGTTTGAACAGCTTCTCCTGTGCGTCTGCAAAGAATGACGGAAACAACGAAAGTAGCACACCAGGTGGCGGAACATTGGTGGGCGGCTGTTCACCGGGAGATAACTCATCGATCGCAGAGGATAAGATTGGTGCAGGTGTTGAGATTGTTGATGTCGGTGCGCCTTTCGTGCCTTCTGGCTTCTTGGTGGCTGGAGCCGGTACCGAAGCCTCCCAGTCATCGAAAGTGTCCCAGCTATCGTCTGCAACTTGCGGTGCTGCCGCGGGCACAGGCGCTGGCTTTGGTTGCTTTGTTTTGGTAGCTGTACCAAAGCCTCCAATGGTACTCTTTCTGGCCCTGGCCCTCGGCACAGATTCTGGTCTTCCAATGTCTTTGCTCTTTTGACTAGACGTCACGCTCGCGGGCTGGAAAGAATCTATGTCTCCAAGCAAGTCTACCCATGCCGAGGAGCCCCCTACTGGTGCCAGCGGTGCCAGCGGTGCTTGAGGCGCTGATGGTGCTGGTGTGCCAGATTTCGACTGCGAATCCTCAAAGTCGCCAAAGTCGTCATCATCATCTAGATCTTCTTCTGCGTCGAAAAGCACGCTCGAATCCGTGGGTTTCTTGGCTTTCATGAAAGGAGCTTTGGTCCATGCCTCCTGCGGCACTTGCGGCGAGTACGTCGACTGAAAACCGAACGGATCATGAGTTACCGGCTGACTCCATGACTGCTGCTGAGGCTGGTGTTGCTGTGTGGGCACAAACCCGAAAGGATCATGTTGTGTAGAGGGAGCGGGATCTATGCGACTCGAGCCTCCCTCGAAATCGCCCCAGTCATCATTGTCGTCTTCTGGTGCGGTCTGTGGTCGAGATCTATGGGCCTGCCCAGAACCTTGTGCAAAAGCGGGTGGCTGTGCTCGATGAACCGGGTCAGGCTGCTGGCTGTTCAAGTCATCTAAGAAGCTGAAAACCGAGGCAGACTGCGGCTTAGTAGAAGCATTTGACTGTGGCGCTTGATTCGTACTCGGGGTTGTGCTGAACTCTGCGAAAAGGTCTGCTGACATTGCTGGAAGTGCGGTGAAGAGTGATGCAGATGTTGGTCAGGGAAGTCGCGATCACGCTAGCCGAATGATCCGCCACGCAAACATCGAGCATCTTCACATCTGGTGAGTGAGCGAGTCTCACGCAATGCTGCTGTGCTAAACGATATACAATACACGCTCGCAGTAGCCGTCACGATTAACAAACACATCGTGGATGTGTAGACAAAGAACGACTTCATGCGAGACGGGCAGCGGCGACATGCGAAAGGCCCAAGACACCACCGCCATGGAGGGGCAAAAAGCACACGTCACGGCATCGCAATGGGCACGAGTGGCAAGTGTTCATTTTGTCCATCCTTATTTCATTCAATCGTTGTGAAATCTACGGTAGGACTCGCCTTCATTCCACCAAACCGTAATGCATGTGAATCATCATAGCTTTTCCGAAGCCAACCCGCATCCCCAGAACCAGGTATCTAGAGAATAAGAGAAAGAAACAAGCGACTCAAGTAGAATGCGCTTATTTCTTGGTGGCCTTCTGGGCAGCCTTGGTGACCTTGCCGGCCTTGTCGGCCTTGACAACGGACTTGATGACACCGACGGCGACGGTCTGACGCATGTCACGGACAGCGAAACGACCAAGAGGGGGGTAGTCAGTGAAAGCCTCAACGCACATGGGCTTGGAGGGAACCATCTTGACGATGGCAGCGTCACCAGACTTGATGAACTTGGGGCTGGCCTCGGTGGACTTTCCGGTACGGCGGTCGATCTTCTCGAGGAGCTCGGAGAACTTGCAAGCAATGTGGGCAGTGTGGCAGTCGAGGACTGGGGCGTAACCAGCACCAACCTGACCGGGGTGGTTCAGGACGATGACCTGGGCGTTGAAGGACTCAGCACCCTTGGGGGGGTCCTGCTTGGAGTCACCGGCAACGTTGCCACGACGGATCTCCTTGACGGAGACGTTCTTGACGTTGAAGCCGACGTTGTCACCGGGAACACCCTCGACAAGCTGCTCGTGGTGCATCTCGACGGACTTGACTTCAGTGGTGACACCAGCGGGGGCGAAGGTGACGACCATACCAGCCTTGATGATACCAGTCTCAACACGACCGACGGGAACCGTGCCAATACCGCCAATCTTGTAAACATCCTGGAGGGGAAGGCGGAGGGGCTTGTCGGTGGGACGGGTGGGTGTGTCGATGGCGTCGATAGCCTCGAGGAGGGTCTTACCAGTGGACTTGGTCTTGGTCTCCTTCTCCCAACCCTTGTACCAAGGGCAGTTAGGGGAGGCGTCGATCATGTTGTCACCGTTGAAACCGGAGATGGGCACGAAGGGAACGTGCTTGGGGTTGTAGCCGACCTTCTTGATGAAGTTGGAGGTCTCCTTGATGATCTCGGTGAAACGGGCCTCGGACCACTTGGTGGTGTCCATCTTGTTGATGGCAACGATGAGCTGCTTGACACCAAGAGTGTAGGCGAGGAGAGCGTGCTCACGAGTCTGGCCATCCTTGGAGATACCAGCCTCGAACTCACCAGTACCGGCGGCAATGATGAGAATGGCGCAGTCGGCCTGGGAAGTACCAGTGATCATGTTCTTGATGAAATCGCGGTGACCGGGAGCATCAATGACAGTAACGTAGTACTTGGGGGTCTCGAACTTCCAGAGAGCGATATCGATGGTGATACCACGCTCACGCTCGGCCTTGAGTTTGTCAAGGACCCATGCGTACTTGAAGGAACCCTTACCGAGTTCGGCGGCTTCCTGTAAGGGTTGTCAGCATCGTGAAGACCAGTGTGAAGAATTGGCGAGGAGCGTTGTAGCCTCTGACCGAAGTCGCGAGGCTCGCCATGCAAAATGCAATGTGGGACATGGTGTTGAGGTTGGCGAGTGCTTAAAGCAGACTAGCGCAAGTCCACACAAAGCTCGCACAACCCCGCCAAAAAAACCCTCCTTGAACGTTAAGCCCCAAAAGAGGCCCATCGAACAAGAATGCAGATGCGTGCGGTATTGCCAATGAAAGAAGAGTGTGCCGTACCTTCTCGAACTTCTCGATGGTACGCTTGTCAATACCACCGCACTTGTAGATCAAGTCTGTCCCATTGTGAGCCCTTGTACCATGCTTCCGTTCAGATGGGGTTGCTTACGACCGGTGGTAGTCGACTTGCCGGAGTCGACGTGGCCGATGACGACGACGTTGATGTGAGTCTTCTCCTTACTGCAGGTGTTGTTAGCATGAAGCTCATAATGAAAAAGGCAAATGCATGCAGCCCGTGGGCTGCCTCGCGAGTGCCTGACAGTTTGGTAGTGCTTACCCCATGGTGGCGGTTGTGTATTTGGAGTTGAAAGTGGAGGGGAAAGTATGTCAGACGATCGGAGATTCTCTAAACCATAAGGTTAGCTTTTCTGTATGACGTGAGGGAAGAAAAGTGATTGACGTACCAGATATACAGCTCGTGTATGGTGTGAGAGACGATGGGAGCGAGAGGGTGTGGGCGTGGAAGAGATTATAACGGAGGGGCAGCCAGCTGCCAAGCCAGATAACGCTAGGCCTATTACGTCCCCACTCGGGCGTGCAAATTTTCGATGACAATGCCGCTGCCAGCGGCAACTCTTGGAGCGGTCAAGGCGATCATTGGATCGAACGTCTCACAACACTGGGCCTGCGCTGCATGCTTGCCATAGCATTCTCTGACAAGCCTTCATCATGTTTTGCAACGTTGGCTTTGATTGCATGAAGCGCTCACGTCAAATATACGCGCTGCCGCTGCGCATCGCTGACCTATGCTCTTGCTTCCAAAAATGCACACAAATCTGCTGCGACGATGCTGGTCCACCTTCCAGGGACGTTTGAATAATCGCCACTTGTTTGCCCACAGAAAAAGTTTGGAGGGGTAAATGCATCATTGTCTCCACCATCCATCTGAGCTAGCTCGGGCGCCTAGGGCCATGCCCCCACCGAACAACGCACCCTTGGACTGCAGGTTCATGATATGTTGCAGTCTCTCATGATATGGCCCTGACACGCCGTTACTTGCTTCCATGTCAATCTTCACAGTGCATACTCCTAAAGTCGCGACACTGTTAGTTTCCGGCAGGCATGTGACTCAGGTGGGTATGTTACAAAATGTGCATCGTACTAGATCTCGCTGTGTAGCTGTGTGAATTTGCCGTATGCACGAGAAGTGGGTGGCGCAGCGCATTGTTGCGAAGGCGGGGTAATTGTTCAGGTAGATGAGAGTCTGGGGGGCCCTGCGTTGCTCTAGAACACCTGCCCCTTATAAATACCTGTTCATTGTAGTACAACATATCTGCAAATATGTCAATGCAATCACACGCACGATCATTTTGATTAGATCAGTGATCGGGTATCTCGAATCGACATACTCTGTTGCCGCCGCATGATAAACTGCCAGCTCCAGACGTTTGCTCTACTATACTGCAAGGGTTCAGGTGCTTGTTGGCCTACATTAGAAACTACCAATCATTTCCAAATCGAGAATTTCTGTAAGGTAGGTATTCTCAAGTATTGTTGTAGATCAGTACCCAGCCGTCGAGTCATCTGGAGTTCTTGCGGAACCGGTGCTTCCGTGTGAGCGTTTGAAGGTCGAATATCAGGATTTGGTGCGGCGTCATACTCTTTGCTCTTGAGATAGAGTCGCGCATCCTGTGGGGTGTGGTATAGAAGGCGCTTATCTTGAAGTACATACATGCATTCTCAATATATAACTCCTCGACTATGGTTATTGAAAGAAGCTGTACACAGTCATGCTGCTGTATCTCCTGTGCACCTAAGTATCGCTCAGAATTCACCTGAGTTGAATGCCCCTCACATCGCTAAGACCGTATTCGCGTAAAGTTCAGAAGATTGAGCTGAAAGGTCCTTTGCGCTCAGACGATATTTCAGTCCGTCTCAGCGACGATGTAGCCCACAGTTGCCGGTGACTTCCAACCCAGAACTCTATCCTTCGTATACCCTCTTTACTAATTGAAATCAGTCACTCCATGCTCGGTGAGGTGTTCAAAGTAGTCTTTGCGGTCGCGGTACTGGTCGTCGTCACACCCTGGGAAAAGGCACTGTTGTGACCCCGATGTCAAAGTCGGACATAGTTCGCCCACGCGATCCTTGCTAAACTGATTGTGTTCTCTCAGATGCGCTCTCATGAAGCTGTTGCTTGTCCTCTCTTCAATACAACCTGTAACAGGACAGCTGGGATCGTCTCCAATAGACCGAAGAACGCCTTTGGCTGGGTGTGCATCGATATTGTGGAGTCGGAGGGCTTCCACGTCACGAAAATCGCAGTCGCGTGTGCATTCCGGAAGGTCTCACCGCTTTGTTCACTTGAAAGGGCTTTTCTTTTCGAACTTCTTGTTCTTGTATATGCATGTACCCAGATGCTCGTCGAGATGTTGCGAGTCCGAGGTGTTGGAAGTGCATCCACTCTTTGTGTCATAGTATAGCTGAGAGGTTTTCAGTACACCCTAAGGAGCCGTAGCAGGGGCTGGAAGCCGGAGCCGAGTTGAACATCTTTTCACGGGGAAGTCACAATTGGACACTCCACACAACTCTATTCTTGGCACAACTGCCCCTCATGAATACCCGCTCACGCCCGCATCCAACTTTTCTTCGATCGTCTGATATCATCCGACAAGCAAACCGAGTGATTTCTGTGTGCTTCGTAGGTGGAGGCTTTACCGTCATCACGAACAGGGTGGACGTCCGCGACTGCGCCCATGGGGCGCCCACGCTGCACTGACACATTGTACTGCCTTGTTCGTAGGCAAAGTCGGGGCATTCTTGGGTCATGCGATGAGTCAGAACATATCATTGGCCTGTAAAAAATTGTAGCCATCTCGAGAAATTTCGGGCAACGGTCGCCGTACAGAGCCACATTGAATGCCTCATGCAATCGGGGTAGAAGGCCATACACGTTACCTCCGTCGTAGTTACAGGTCAAGTAGGTAAGATGCTGCCCTCAAATCGCAATGCTGAGCTCCTAGTTGCAAACGGCACGAATCATTCGGAGGTCTTATGCCAGAGCGGAGTAACAGGACTGTACACGAGTGTATAGTACTCAAGACACATGGGCCCTTGGAGCATAAGTTAAGATCATCGGCCTTCAAAGACGTCAATTCTACAAAGCTTGCGGCTGGTGTGCCGCCTGTAGTTCCACAACGGGCACAGAAGCGAAAGGCGAACTTGGTCACGGAGGAATACTTACAGGCTGACACCGGCCCAGATCAGAGTGTCGATCGTCAAGCAGCTAGCTGCAGAGCGAACAGAGGCAGTATGGACACCGACGCGGGCGATTTGAACCTACATGACGATGACGCCGAGTCGGCTGTAGCGAAAGCACGATACATTTGAGCCCTGACTCACCGGAGCACAGGGACCAGTACGCATGTGACACACCGATGCGATGATTCGTGCTGAATGTAAGCGCATCGGTCGAGACCCAAGCTCGGCTCTCGAGAAAGGACGAGCGAAGAACCGGCTAAAAGATGCCACCTCCAAGCAGAGATAGAAAGACGCCTCTCCTGTGGGCAGTTTGTCCCATGAAGTAGACACGGGTACAGTTGAAGATCAGCCACCTATTATCAGTATGCAGTATTCCCCTCTGAGAGGTCACTATAATAACAAACGGCAAGCCGCTCCGAGGCGTTCTAGCACACACTGGAAACGCATGGTGGGAGGAACCTGGGCTCTTTGCTAACCTTGCCGCGAAGTAACGCATTGCCGGCCATTCAAGACTGGCCGAGCTCTCTGCATTGGAAAGTCATGACGGTAGTTCAGCTGTCAATATTTCGAAGCTACAACAGGCTTTGGTAGACCTCGCCAACGAACCTGGCCGGTCACGAAATGAACAGCTGGACCAAGACCAGAACACTCTCGCGCCAGGAACAAAGAACGGGAGTTCTGCTGGCCAGTTCCCGCGCAAAGAAGAGCAAGCTCAACCCAAGTGTTGAGGCTGCGACTCCGTACACACGTGACGCTACGTCTAGGCGGGATGCAACGAGTCCGAAATCATGACTCCCCCAGAAAATCACCGGAGGACTTTAGTCGCTGCACCTACACAGTTCTTGCACACAGGTGCATGTTTGCGAAGCACGGCTGCAACTACAATATCCCATAACACGCCCATCTCAAAGATCAAAGCAGGTCCGCGTGCTAGCGATACAAGACTCGTGTGGCCGAAGGCGTGCCCAATTATCAGACGCCTATCTAAACTTCGAAAGGGATTTCGAAGACGACGAGAGCCCCCGGCCCATGTCGTGGTTGTTCACTCGGCCAAGGGGGTTCTTAGAACGACATCAACTGGACCCCACTGCCCTCTTTCTGGATGCTTGGTCACCAAGACGAGTAACAGCTTCCTCCAAGCGTATCTACGCGATACGGAGAGATTGCATGAAGCGGATATTGAGAAATTGTGCCTGACCCTGGGCATTCTGTTGCGGTGCAAGTCGGTCCTATAGGCCTTGATCGTCATCTCTGTTAACTACCTTAGACTAGCACGTCTCAGGGTATGTATATATGGTCGCCTCCAAGCTAGTGAGCAACCCAGCGCAGTTTTACATCGCTACATACAGCGACTACGTCTGTCGCGACACATTCTCCCAGCAGTGCCCGTTCCAGGGATCTGGTTCTGAAGAGTACTTCGGCAGGAATTGATTCTTCTGGCACTAGACTGTGCACGGCGTTGTTACAAACAGAAGATGGGACTGTACGAAGCAAAGAGTCCCGGGGTACTGTGTACAACAGTCCAAAAGAACTAAGGAAGACTCAGCCAGAATGGGGCACTGCGAACCAAGGATGTCACGAGAACCTTCTTCAGCCTATTCGACCGACAGTTCAGGACCGATAGTTGCTGCGGCTTCAAGGACTGGAAAGATTTTTGGATATTGCTATTAGCGATCTGGTCCTGCGTCCCTTTCTAGCGCATCGCCAGTGATGCTGTATCAATACCGAGCGCACAATGGCACTTGACCTCCGACGGATGAGAGACTAGATAGAGAACTGGTCGTCGAAACAACGCTCCAAGAGCCTTGAGGCCGCTCAAACCCGATCATGCAAGCTCTCCAGCAACGAGCAATCAGCGGGCCTTGCAGTCCAGGCGTCGAGGAGCGTTCTCAGGGCCACGTCGCACAAGAAGGCATCGATCGATACAAGAAGACTTTTGCAGAGAAGCCTAGACGCCCAGACGCCGAACTTGTCCAAGTCCCGTTCACGGCGAGCATGAGCTCCGAGCGCGGACTCGTTGTCATTCTCTGACTCAGAGCCTACGCTTAAGGCCCAATTATCGTCAGTGCCGGTCGAAAATGCAGGTTGACACGCTCCGAACAACACGGTGTCTTCCACATACCACCATGCATGCATGGGGGGAGCAGCAAGACCTTGTCGGGCCCGATCATGCCTGACGAAGCCCTGAGCGCACTCAATGTATCCGAGCTAGTAACGCGGAGGCTCGGATATGTAAGTCCAACGTCCCGGCCGCTAAAGACTATCTAAGTGTGTCGAGGGAGGGTATTGAGACACCTTTGCTGCATTGAAGAAACCCCTCCAGATTCAGTACTCGGAAGATGCAGCTCAGATACGCGGTCTCGTGCGATCCGAAATCGATTCGGTAGGTGGAATGCACAGCTGGAGACGGCGCGGCCGACGACTACTTTGGACTGATGAAGCGATGCAGAACCTCGTGAAGAAATTCACACGCTTGGTGTTCGATTGGAGGAAGCACATACCTTGCTGTGGGTGGAGAGGTTGTGTCCGAACTACATTTACGTGCCTTGAGGAGATGGAGAGGAGGAAGCAAGAACAGGATATATTCCGCAACGAAGAAGACGCCTAGCAAGCGACGCGCCATCGCATCAAACCAGAATCCAGACCCTATTCGCAACCAGCATCTCGAAGTCACGACACGGGGTGTTACAACACTAGCTCCCCATCCCACTGTGCCATTTATTAATCTCAAGAGCGCTCAGAAGCCGCCACGCTCGCTCTTCTCCGACGCCCACCATTCCGCATCTCCCACCCCATTACCTCGTCCCACCGCCTCATGCAGGGCCTAGTGCGCCGGCTGCCCATCCGCGCGTCCCATGCTTCCGGGATGGACTTCAGACTGGCTAATAATCCACCAGCTGTGGATGACTTGGAGATGTTAGCTTGATATCCAGAGCTGTACGAATCGAATGCTGTGTGGGTGTATGGTACGCACCGCCGGGAATCCAGGCCAGGATGTCGAGGCAGATGTTGATGAGTAGGTCGGCGCCGCAGCCGCGTCGCAGCAGCACGGGCAGGAAGGGCAGAAAGATTGCGACGAAGTAGAGAAGCACGTTGCTCTTTTGGGCTTAGTCGCGGACGCGGAGAGGGAGGGGGGTGAACATACTGTGCTGGACGGCATTTTGGAGCTGTGAGGTTGCGCGGTTCGATTCGTTTTTGATTCAACTGGTGGTGTTTGGTAGCGGTTGACTTTGTGGTTGTTGATGCTAGTGTCGGATCTTGACGCGTCAGGATATGTAGCGGGTGATTGGAATTAGCACCAAAACACGACGTTTGTCGACTGTTTATGCACGCGAAGGATATTTCGGCTTTATGACGTCGCGTGATCTTTCAAGGCAAGGCTTGGGTACCAAGACGGGCAAAGTTCCGCTTTCCGGAAGTCGCGGGCACGGTCAGGGTACCTTCCAGCAAGTGTGCCGAGAGCCGATGGCGGACTCGCAAAGAGGCGCAGACTGTGGAGGGTTGATTGCAGAATGCAATGAGGCAGAGCAGGAGGCTGTGTGTTGTAATCTTGGTGTGGCTGATCGCCTTGCGACAGCCCTTGGTACATGTTCTGGTATCCGTACGTGTTTTACACTTGCACAGCAAAAGCAGCGATTTATTTCTCAGTCTCATTGCTTGACTTCTGCGTACTCGAGATCTCCGATACCAGTGGGATCCACAGATGGTGCTTTAAATTGAAGTGAGCGTAGGCCATTCCAAGCGCGAAACTGATCAGATGGACCTATGCGAAGTCAGCAAAGCATCCGTAGCACAACACTCGCAGGACGTACCAGGAACGCAGGCCTGTTACCGCTTTTCGATGCTTGCATCATGTTGTACGCCTGGTACAGGACGAACATCAGACCCCATTCCCTTGCGTCCAGTCTCAACACGAAGAGTGTCGGCACCCAGAGCTTCTCCTTCGCATATGCGATGCAATAGACACCAAAGGCAGCGAAAATAGCACCGCTAGCTCCAACGTTTAAAACGAGGGCCTGTGTCATGTTGAAGCGGTATGCAAAGTGCGTCAGGTAGCTCGTGATGAGCGGCACGCTGACCAAGAATGCTGATGTATGGAAGAGATCGCCGTCGAAGTAGTGTACGACGCCCGGAAGGAGCCAGACCAGCGCTGCCATGTTCAATGCAAGATGCGTCCAGTTCGAGTTGAGAAGAGGGTATGTGAAAGCTGTCCATTTTGCTTCGCCTGTCACGTGGATTAGCTTCTCCCAGATCGGGAGAGGAGACCTCTTCAGCAGATGTATCGCAACGCTCGCCACGACTATGCCAATCGTGAGGCTGTCGAGTTCCCTCCAGCCAGCCACGATGCCTTCGCGAATAACAGTAGGCGTGAGATACCAGGTCTGAGGAAGTTGCGCGCGTTCGGGAAGGTGACTGCCATCCGAGCTCGGTATCCCATTTTTGACGTCCAGATAGGCGAGGGTGCCATACGTGCCAGCCAGTGCGAATAGAGTCCATATGCCGGGCCACAAGACTTTCCTCCTCCTTTCGGCGATGCGCATTTGGATTGCCAGTTCCTTTTCCGAGATCTCGATGGTCTCTGGTTCCTCCACTTGGCCTTTTTCGGACTGCTTAATACTTCCAGACCCGGCTGGTTCTTCATCTTGAATTGGGGAATTGAGAGGATCGAAAACGGGACTTCGTGTAGGTGATTGGACATTCGTTTTGACGTCCGGCGATTGAACAGATTTGCGGAGTGAGTTCAAAACAAGCGATGCTTTCCTCGCGGAGTCAATCTTAGGACGGATCTTCCTTTGCATGGTAGTGTTGTCTGGTGTTGGGTGCTTGCGAGCAGGCGCAGTAGGCTTTGGTGCAAGTGAACGTGCTGATCCAGATCTGAGGCGTGCATGCAGTGTGAAGACAGCATGTTGGTGTGGTAGTATGCACTGCAACCGACAGAATTGTGCTCCGACTCTGGGCATGGATCGTGTGGGTAAGCACGCGGTTGGGAAGAAAGACATTGCGCGCTAAAGCAAGAATTTCAAGAAGCCAGAAATTGAAAGGGAGGGTATATAGCTCCTAACATGCTCTGAAACTCATATTACATGGAAGGGGTATGCAACGCAATGGTGAAATGACGACCTGATGGACTTCGAGGCACAGTCGCGATGTCCGGCGAGAAAGTCGCGATGTCCGGCGAGAAAGTCGCGTAGGAATTAGCGCGCTCGCCAGATCACGTGTTATTCTTTCGTCGTGTACCATGCACGACGTTGATTTGAAGCTTTGACTAACCCTGACTTTCAAGTGATGAGTTCGAGTTGCATAAAAAGCTTATCTAGATGTGCCTTTGCTAGAACCGAACCCAGTACTTCAAGACATTCGGCCTTCCATGGCCGTTGCAACGCTTTTACGGAAAGAGCTTCGGATGCACCTATAAAATGGCACATGGAGCATCTGCTACACAAACCTCCAGATGACTCGAAGACTAGTAATTACCTAGGCCAATTGATTCTTGACTCGACAGATTTCTCAGCGCAGTACACTCCAGCAGTGAACCATGGTTGGCACTGTACTTTGGCTCACATCTCCGCCATGATGAAAACAGTCTCATGAGGGAGGTGCAGAAGGTGTCGTGCTGATGACGATAGGAGAAGGAGTTGTATTACGCTGTGATGGAGATGACGACCTGAGAGAGGAACAGTCTGAAAAGACGGCGAAGATCAGAAAAGAGCCAATGCAGATGCGCCCATCGCCCAAAGTGTCCAGCGGAATGCCGTCACCCCCGTCGAAGACCCAACAGCAGCGCTCGGGCTTGCTGATGTGGGACTCGCTGACGTGGGACTCGCTGACGTGGGACTCGCTGTACCCGTCGCCGTCGGATTGGTCGAGTTCAGCTGCTCCAACGGCACCATGACCGCGTCCAATACATGCATAAGCCCATTGTGTGTGCTATCACGATCAGCCCAGATGCCCAATACACTCGGACAGAGAACAACTTACAGAACATTCGCGTTAATGACCTTTGCGTTGTTGAACCATATCGTCCTGTTCCCCTCACTCTCCTCGACTCTGACCCGCACGGTGCTGTTCTGCAGAGTCGTAAACTCCTGCCCGTCCACGAGGAAGTCGCTGTACGCTACTCCCGACAGCGTGTGGTACAGCAGCGCACCCTTGAGTGTCGTTTCGTTGAGCGCCGTGTTGGGGTTGCCCGCCGCTGCGAACGCGGCATTGCTTGGGCCAAGACAGGTTAGGTTCTTGGTCCCGTCGAGCTCGGGCCAGAGCTTCGTGCGGTTCAGCGCGCCGTCGAGGGAGGCGAGGCCTGCGGTCCGGATGGTCCTTGCGCACGTCTGAGGGAGCGTGAGTAAGCCGTCGACGATGTGGAAACTACCGCCGTCCCATGTCCCCTGATTGGCTTCGAGGGCGCGCAGGTTCACGGTCGAGGCGAGGCCGGACCGTACACCGGCGTTCTGCGGCGTGGACTGGCGGCTCAGGAGGAACGTGTTGGGAGACGCTGCGCTGCCGGCGGCTTGGATGAAGACTACCTGACCGCGGGCGCGCTCTGAGCCGCCGAACTTGGCGGCGAGCGAGACGCCGGTGGTGCGGTTGTTGTTGGGGGAGTCCTTGAGCATGGTGGGGGCTGTGATGCCTTTTGTGCCGGCGCTGGTGAAGTTGTCTTGCCTCAGGTCGGAGACGAGGGTGTGGTATTGCACGAGCTGGAGCAGGACGGCTGGGCCGACGTCGAAGAGGGAGATATTGTTTCGCGTGTCGTATGCTGTGAAGGCATCGTTGCTTGGGGCGAGAAAGGTGATTGGGTAGCTGGACTCGTTGCCGAAGTAGGCTGCGGCGAACGCTTCGTTGTTCTGGTAGAAAGTGGTGAAGTTTGATAGCTCAGGGACCTTGGATAGGGCCTCGAGAAGTGTCTGGGCATGCACAGTGGCCAATGCTGTTGTCAGAAGGAGAATGTGTCGAAGCATGCTGTACAAAGTGAATGAGATGGGGTAATACGACGTGATTGAGAATTGATCTTTGCAAAGAAGAATAGTGCGAGATGAGCCAGGCGGTCAGACTCGAGACTACAGTCACCCACAGGATACGAATCTCAAGAAACACAGCACCTTATAGTCCAGACTGGACGCGCAACCCCGCATAAGCTGACCCTCAGCCTGCGGCCCTGCAGTGCATCATCATGAGCGAGGAAGCCAATTGCGCTGGGGTTGAGCAGCCAGCTCGCTAGCAAGGCGAACGCCACGAAGTCTAAAGATACCGAGTCGCATCTGTAGGTGACGACAGCACAAGTCTGAAGACAGCAGATTGACAAGGCCAGCATCGAGACTACCTTTCGAATACATGGAGAGTGGGTGATTGGTGAAAGAAGCTGTGGCTGCAGCTACCAACACGACGGTGCTTTGTAGACGGTGCCTTGTAGACAGTGCTTTGTAGACAGTGCCTTGTAGACAGCGCTTTGTAGACAGCGCACGGTCAGCCACCTGGAGATGCAGGTGTCGTGCAGGGGTGGGGGGCAGAGGGGGGTGAAGGTCGGCCGAGTTGGCTGGAGAGCTGCGAGATGGATCGCCAAGCGGCTGACGTACCTTACCGGTACCGTACTTCGTAGCGAACCGCGTGAATGTCGAACCACGACCAAAGCCATGTACAGCCGCACAGCCGGCGGACAGACGCTCTAGCCGGGACGCGCAGGAACATGTCCGCCCTCCAGAGGCTGCAGAAGCTGTCCGAAGTGCAGTGCGTGCTGCTGGCCGCCCAGTATGCCACCGAATCGAACGTCGCCGCGCTGCGGGCCCTGACAGCACTGCGCGAGGCCGAGCTGCCGCTTGCTCTGGTGCTGAGGGTGCTCCTCACATTCCTGCCCGAGGGCGCAGAGCCCACAGCATATGTCGAGTACCTGGCCGAGCTTGCGACGGGCGCGCGACACGCTGGCGACGACCCCGCCGCCCATCTCGACGTGGCCGCGGTCGAGGCGCTCTCCAAGTCGCAGGCGAAGAGACGGCGCAAGGAGATGGAGCTGCTGCCGCTCGTGCACCCGCAGTACGACGGAGAAGAGCTCGCGCTCGACCCCTTTAGCCAGTTCCTGATGCACCGCGCGCACCGCATCGACGCCCAGACCGGCCTGCTCGACATTGTGCCGCAGCTCCTCGTCCCCTTCCTGAGCCGCTCGGAGTACCTGCGAAGGTGGTTCATCTCGACCGTCCTGCCGCTGCTCCGCCTGAGCTACGAGTACTACCCGCAGGGCAACCCGCAGTCCCTGGACGAGTACGCCAGGCTGAGGGGGAGGCGCGGGCTCGACTTCAATCTCGCAAACCTCCGTGCGGCAAGGAAGGCTGGGGCCGACACAGCAAACGCTGCGAGGGACCTGAGAGGCGTCGTGTCTCCATGGCTATGTGGAGCCAACGACCGAAAGAGGCGGAAGCTCTCGGGTGAGAACCGCAGAGCATCCGTCGCAGAGCAATGCGCGCAAGAGTCGACCGACTGGGACTCGTTGTTCCAGTGGCTTCTGCACACCTCCAAGGAGGACTTGCCCCTAGTCACGGCTGCCATATCCGAGTGGGACGGGCCTGAGGATATGGACCTCGGTGGCTTCGAGGAGGGCCGCGACTATGTGGATGAGGATACACAGCGCCGTCTGGAGCTGCAGTACGCGCAGACAGCGCTTGCGTGTCTCTACCTGGTCGAGGGAAGCGATGTCAGCGCATTGCAGACAGCCCATGCCCTGCTCACCCGCATCTGCAACCTCCTCCATTGCGACCCACCACCACATCTCAGCATCGGCGTCGAATCACTACCTTCATATGATCTCGAGATACCCATATTGCAGGACGCGACGTCTTCAAGCATTCAGGAGGACCGACTCCTTGCATCTGACAACGATATCACGAAACCTGGGCAGGACACGCTCCGCATTATCGAGCTGGTTCTCTTCTCCGCCTGTGTCCTGATAAGCCTGCAACATCCCGTTTCCCCACGAACCATGGCCAAGATGTCGTTGCGCGACGACTACGCAGAGCAGTCTTCGTTACTGCAGAAGGTGCTCTACACATTGAGCACCGGCCCTAAGAAGGACGGCGATCAGTGGCGAAGCATTCGAGCCAAACTGCTGTGGTTATGGAACTGGGGCACGGATACGCACGACAACGATCGCGTGGGCCAGGGAATTTTAGGGATGCTGGAGAAGACGACAATCGAAACGGCGATCCTGAAGTCGCTCATTGAGGGCAGCCACTTCCCTCTCGCCGTGCAGGTCTACGTCAAGCCAGCGTTCGGCGAACAGCCTCTCCTGCAGTCCGACGTCGAGAAAGTCATCCTGGCAGCGGCCTTGTATCACTATGACAACGCTAGCAACGGCAACCGCAACAGAGGCGGCATGAAGCGTTGCACGGAGATCGTTGCCGCCTTCGCCCCACACTTTCCCAAGTCGTCACGCTTTCAGCGCATACAGGCGCTGCTCTCAGCGACACATGCCATGTCCTTCTATTCGTTGATCTTGCAGCACGGTGTGCCTTTTCAGCCCGTGAGCATCAGGGTCAGCACAGATCCGCTGTCACTTATTCAGAAGCTGCTATCGCAGAATCCTGGTAGCTACACCAAACTTGATGACCTAATCTCCATTGGTCAGAACCTGGTCGTATCGATGCCATCGACCATCATGGACGATACCAAGGATGTCGGCCCGCTCGATGCGACCACAGTCGAGAACAAAAAGACTGCTGCTGAACACCGGGTCATTGGTATGGCTATCGATGCTGCTCTAGAGGAGGGCGACTTCGAGACCGCATACTCGTACGTCGTGAACCGCCTGACCCCAACGGTCTCACCGTCGCCAGCAGTCTCAACATCATCACAACGCTTCTCCTTCGACTCCAATGCCTCAGTACAGCCGACAGACGATGCGGACAACGTCGCATGGCGCGCAGCCCTCCGTGCCGGACGCTTCAAGCCTGCCCTCTCCTCCTCGGGAACATGGTTGCACGCCTCCACCGCACGACCCGACCTCCGCCGCCTCGAGCAACGCATGGAGCTCCTGTCGCAAGCGCTCCTGCTCGCCCCACCTCCCCAACTCGAGGAAGTCCTGGACGTATGGCAGCAGTGCGAGGCCGAAATGACGGAGCTCCTTGCACTAGAATCCGAGGCAGAACAGCGTTTCAATGATGCCGCTGACCGCAAGCTGCCTGGCGCCTTCGACACGGGCTCCCTCCCCACCGTGCAGCCGCGCCGCGAAGTTGGTCGCGGTGCAGTCGAAGAGTCGCCCATGGGCTTGTTTGACGTCGCGAGAGGCGCCGCTGCGGCCTTCTCCAAGACCGCGTTCCCGCTACGCAGCAACACGACGTCATCGAGACCCGAGTCGCGCGACACGGGACGCGTCAGCATGGACCTCAGTGATTCCGACAGTATGTACGGACACGAGGAGCGGGTCAGGAAGAGAGACATGCTCGCGAACACGGCGACTGGAGCGCTACAGTCAGGCCTTGGCTGGATGTTGGGTAAGTGACGAGACCTAAATTGGTGTTGCGATTCGCGTTTGCTGATGCTGTACAGGTGCCAAACCAGTGAATGACCAGACTCGATAGGCAGAGCGGCTTGTAGCAATACATCCACCGACATGCCCCTCTCAACAAGACCATATCACAATTGCACGGCAGGTTCGGTGGTTCTGGGGTCGTGGGTGGAGACGGTGCTATAGAGGGGTGGATGGAGACCGCGCTGCATCCTGCGGTGGCCTGCGTGTTGGGGCCAGCGGCTGTTGGGGGTGAGCTGACTGCGGGCGACTGTTGGATGGTATCCGCGTGGTGCAGATGCTGGACCCATGTCAATGGCGGAAAGTTAGTTCACGAGCGTCATACATGGTACAATTGGTTTCACGAGTCCATTCTCGTCGATGCCGTGGCAATCGTTCTTCTATCTTCCCTTGCATCCGTCACGTAGCCGTCCATATCTATCCACGCTCAATCCGCATCAGTTAAGAGGGGCGCTAAAGCTGTCAAGAAGCGGTCGTCGCGGTGTCGGGTGTGCAAGGCGTCATACACTCTGGGGAGTGCGCATTCGGGGACGAACGCGGTGACGCGCTTACTGCTCGGTCTGGAAGTAGTTGAGGAGGATGGAGCGCTCCTGCGACTCCTCACCCCAGTCCTTGACGACAACGCAGGAGCAGTTGACGACCTTGCGGGGGTTGCCCTCACGGTCAATCTGGCCTGGACATGTATTAGTACTTTCTCTCATCCAAGCGTGGATTCGGGCGACGTACAGAGACCGGCCCACTCGCCGAGCTGCTTGCCATCGGGGACCTTGATGAGGGGGATCTTGTGCTCGGAGCAGAGCGCAACAACGAGCTTCTTGTAGGCCTCCTCCTCGCAAGCCTCGTTGAGGACGCACATGTGGGCCTGGCGGCGGTCGAGGGCCTTGGAGGCCTCGCGCAGACCGCGGGCAAGACCGTCGTGGATGAGCGCGAGCTTCAGGACGCCCTTGAGAGCCTCAAGAACGGACATCTGGCCCTTGCCGGTGGAGGCATCGGCGCTGACTTCGACCTCGGCGGCCGCGGAAACCTGGGACTTGGTATCGTCTTCTCCGTCCGACTGTGGCGTGTTAGTGATGAGGTTCGAGGATTGGCGGGCGGTGCATGGCGGGGCATGTGCAGGTTGCGTTGAAACGCAGTCCAATTACATGCAGCATCGCAGCGGTGCGGTGAGCCGTACCATGATTGCTATTGATCTATCGGGGTTCCTCGAAGAGTTTCTGGTGTAGATGGATGGGAAGAAGGTTTGGAAGTTCGCACTGCTCAAAATTGGCGGTGGGCGCACGGGCCCAGTTCGCTTCGCGCTAGCCGTCGATGCAAATCTTGGCTTAATGAAGCTCAACCCACGGATTATTGATGCTTGGAAAGGGTTTGAACATGGTGTCTATGTCTATAGCGGTTGTGCAAACGGTGTGTTTGCTAGACGCAATAGAGCGCCTGCTTAAGCGTACAAACGACTACTGCCCGCGACCTTGATGTCCAATGATCATGTAACAGATCGCTAATAAGCAATGAAATCTATACAAAACTGTCGTCTTCAAGACATCTCAAACGTCCCTTACATTGCGTTTTGGGATCTCCGTCTCAACCATCTCCAGCCCGCTCAAACTCGGATAGCGCTTGCTAAACGCATCGACATCCCATTCATCTCTACCTGCAGCATCACCTGCAACGGCTGGAAGCGGCTTATCTCTCACATTGACACTTCGTATCGAAGCAGGCTTGGTGGGCGAGTTCTGGGTAGATGGAGGGTTCGCCGATCCTCCTGTCTGCAGAGCTTTTGGCTTGGGCGCACGAGGTGGAGGTCCAGATGGCGCGCGCAGACTGATCACCGGCGGTGCGGAGGATGATGGCACTGGCGGTGGCAGGTTCGGACGACCCGACGGTTTGGCATATGTGAGATCTTGCTGCGCCGCAACATTGACTGGCTTGCGCGCGATAGGTGGCGGGCGCATGCCACTCTGTTCTTCCGGCCTGTTAGGCAGCGGCTTTCCAGTGTCCGTGTACTTGCCATACCCGGCAGCAGTGCGATTGACTTGAGCCGGCTTGCTGCTCTCATCGAGTAGATTTTTGACACGGTTCTGTATCGTGGAAGCCTTCGAAGGTGCCCTGGGTTTGCCTTGTGCTTGTGATGCGATGCGTTGCTTGTACTCGGCGGCAGCAGCTTCCACCCGTCGCTCTTCTTCGCTAAGCTTGCGCCTTTCGAGCTCCCTACGCACCTCGGGCGGCAGATCTTGCGTCTCGTCAATGGGTCCCCTGTCATCCTCGGTGGGGGCCAGCGAAGCAACAGAGCCAGCGATGGGCGTAAGATCACGATGGTTGGACGGGTACTCGTGGTGTTGTTCGAGCGGTGCTATGACTGGTTCTGCGCGTTCCTGCTCAGGTGTCTTGTTGTTGGTCTCGAATCGACGGAACGCGTCGCCGAATCTACCTTTCACGATGTTTTTCGTGTTGCTTGTGATCGATGACAGGCTTCCAAGCCGAGTATGCTTGGACTGCGAGCTGCTACGGCGATGCTTGTGTTTCTGGTCAGGGTCCCCCTCGATCTGACGAAGGAAGTCCACGCTGGACCTGACGTTTCTGGTCTCCGAATCAGAGTCATCAATGGCACTGGAAGTGGTGCGGCGTATCAGTGAAGGCGCATCAAAGTTGCGACCTGGCGCCGATTCTCGCTCTCGGAGGAAGTCGAGGTTCGACTCTACGTGCATGCTTGCTGGTCTAGCATTCGAGTTTGCAGATCTGGCGCGATCAATCGTGCTTCCAATGTCCAGCTGGGAGGGACGGGAGCCCTCCAGTGATGGTCGAGAGGATGCAGGAGATTTGGGAATGCTTAGGTTGGACATGTGAGATCTTGACCGAGAATCAAGGGAGGGCCTGACAGGCAATGCAAACTCGGAAGGCCTAAGCGATGGACTGCCTTGTGCCTTCTCGAACGTTCGTGGCTGACTTTGTGTCCGGTTGTGGTGGCCGGACAACGGGACTTTCCAGATTGGACGCTTGGTGACATCTGGGTACGGTGAAGGTCCTGGCGACGGCGCAGGTGAGGTTTGGACGCCAGTGGAAATCATCTTGCTGTGCTGAGGTACTGGCTGTTGTATCGCCGAGCTCGATGTCCGAGGGCTCTCGCTAGCCTCGTGAGGCTTTGGCTTTTTGATGGATGCTGTTCTTGAAACAGTAGTTGAAGGCACCTTAGAAATTGGCTTGGTTCTAGGTGCTGAATCAACCTTGGAAGCAGGTGGCAGAGCGAATGCGTCGTCAGCAAGCGCTTCAGTGACACGCTTGTTCAGCGGTGCGCTGGATGGCGAAGGCTGACTGAACTCGAACTTCTGACCACGGTCGTGAAGCAAAGAAAATTCATCTAGAGATGGGAAGCGCGAGGCAAGCTCGTCCGCAGCCGCACGTCGAACTTGAACGTCCTGGCTGTCCAGGGCCGCGAAGGGGTCTGAAGTCGTGCCTCTCATCGGAGAAGCACTAGGCTTTGCGCCTGGAGGCGCCTGTGCAGGGCCAGTAGGCCGTCCTCTTCTCATCGGGGTGATATCCGGGATGTGCTGCACCTTCTGTACTGGTGCGACTTTCTGGATTCCAATCACCGCCGGCGGTGAGGATATTTGGGGTTCTGCTGCTGGCAGCTGCTGATTTCGGCGAGCCTCGGATTGTGTCCGACCAGAGTAGATCTTGTGAAGTCAGCAAGTGTATTCCTGAAGTTACTGCTGTACATACATCCTTGATTGGACATGCTCGATGGCGCATGGCGCACGTCTCAGCCACTACTTGATAGATGTTGGGACGCTGCTGAGGGCTTTCGCGCAACATCCATCCTGCTCATGATTAGTTCATGCTACTTCCCGCAGATGATTCCCCATACCTATCAGCGCCTTGATCCTGTCCGAGAACGGGGGGTAGTGTGGGTACTTGAAGCTTGCGTTCAAGATAGCCATCTGCCCAACTTCTTCGAACGGTGTCGTGTAGTAGCACAGCTTGTACAGCAATACTCCCAGTGCCCAGATGTCACTCTTCTCGTCGATTGGCTGCTTCCTATACACGTCGATCATTTCTGGACTTCGGTATTGCAGGGTCGTGTGCCGTTGGACGTCGTCCTCGATCAGCCTCCCCTCTGCAGCTGTAGTAGCAGCAGGGCGCGGCGGCGCAGTAGAGCCAAAATCGCACAGCTTGTAAATTGTGTTCCCTCCGGCCTTCGTAATGAGGACATTCTCGACTTTGAGATCTCGGTGGAGCAGCGGCGGCTTGAGGTAATGCATCGTCGCGACACCCTCAGCAACATCAGAGAAGATGTGCAAAATCTCAGGCTCGGTGAGGCGGTGCTGTAGTCGAGTGTTCATAAAGTCGATCAGTCCTCCGCCAGAGCAGAACTCCATCAGCAGGAAGACTTCATAGCCCTCACCCTTCAACTGCGAGGCGTGCGAGTCGAAGTAGGTGACGATCTTGTGGTGCCCCTTCAGCTTCTTCATGGTCTCTACCTCCGTCCGCATGTTAGCCAGCGCCTCCTTATCTGCGCAGGCCACCCGCTTCAAGACGGCAGTCTCTGGCGTGTGCCCATCGGTCTTCGGTACGCGGACCAGGTAGACATGGGCGAAGCCACCCTCCGAAAGGTACTTCTCGATGACTACGCGGTGGCTGCCCACCTGGACCTTTGTCCCCGGCACAAAGGTGCCCGGTGGGGCATTGGAGACAGCGACAGGGGCGGGAGCGCGGTATGCGGCCTGCTGGGGCATCGAATGGGCGGTGGAGGGGGCATAGCGAGCGGAAGACATGCTATCGGGAAGGGAACCTGCTGCGATGCAGGAACAGCATGCGTTCTATAGGCGGTGCATGGGAGGGGAGGGGAGAATGCAGCTGTCAGGCCTCAGGGACAATGGGCAGGCGGAGGTGTCGTGTTCAGGTCGAGGTGATCATGCCCAGGGTCTATGTCCACACGGTCCCTCGGTGGTCACAAGCAAAGCCACCTACAACGTCACAACTTGCATTTCAGCAGAGAGGCCTGCTTTGCCTTGGGTCGCATACGACAGTGCTTGAGGACGTGTCTACTTGAATTTGGATTCGAGAATACTCGGCAGGACCGCTGCTCAAGTCAGAGCAACCATCCCTCATCTCTGTGGCTGGTGTCCGTGTGGCGCAAATCTGGGCGCCTCGCTTCTCCGATTGGCTCCGCGATTTCGAGACAGCCTGTTCGCAGCAGAGTCGAGGCCAAAACTGCTGATCATGCGGCTCTCAAGATGCCTGTTAGTATGTGTCGCAGAATTCACTTGGACGTATGCCTCTTCAAGCTTCAGTCCATTTCTGGGCGGGACAATGCTGGTAGTGTCTGCCTGGCATACGAAGTATTCAGAGGACACCTGGACCTTGCGTGCCGTAGATTTTGTATGAGCGTGGACTGCTAGCTTCAAATCACTCGTAGCGTGTGGATTACCTCTGGTCGCCATGTCAAATTTAGTAACTGAACAAAGAGCGGTCTACAGTCAGCGCAGATATATGCGAAGGAACACTCAGAGATGTCTCCTAAATCAATCGAGTGCGTCTACGTTGAAGATCATATTTTTGAAAATGGCGTCGGGTAGTTTCCGACGTGGGCGGAACTGCTAGCCTATATAACGGTGGAAGACGTCTCGAGCCCTCATTGATAGCATGAGCGTCACAGTAATTGCTTCCTTGAACAAGCAAGACTTCGATGCAACGCTCTCAAGCTGGCTCTGAAGTCTACACATGCACACAGCCCCGCGTCAAGCTAGGCTCGGGCAACCGCAGCAATCACAGCAATGGAACTTGGCCATACAAAGATCACGAGCGGCTGTGATGTGCGCGCGGCCTCAGCAGTAGCTGCTACATAAGGCCTAATGTCGGTGGTGAAGAGGCCGTGTTACCGATGGTGCAACTAGAAGCGCATCTACGGAGCAGGTTGTTGTGTGAAGTGGCGCTACAGTATAAAGTCTGGGGTTGACAGTGTTGGTTGGTGCTGCATTCTTGCGTCTCAAACTGCAGTCTGCAAGCGGTTAATGCGGACAGGGTTGCGCCTGCAGAGCGGTCACAGCCAGAAGACAGCACAGCACGCCCTGCCTTCTACATTGCTATTCCTCCTCCTCTCCGCTACCCCTCACGATCTCGTAGGCAAGTGCGATTGCTCCATTCATATCCTCGTCCCATCGCTGCACCGTGTTGCTGTACCGCCGCATGAAGCGCCGTCCCGCGTCATAGCACTAGCGAGCGTCCGTCAGCCCTACAGTCCCCTCATCGCCTGTGCTAGAGCGCGTTTCTTGGCCGACACCCCTCCCTTCACTTCCTGCTCGACTGTTTATGTTGGTCCGTCACAGGAAGGCGCCTTTTACGCTTGCCTAGCCCTGGAGTGAACCTGGAACCGCTTGTCGCCCATCACAATCCTCACAGCCTTAGAACAAACCCTCTGCCTACCACCGCCCGTGTGCTTCTCCGAACAACTCTTGCTGCCACTCTACGCCGGGCGAATCCGCGCGTGAGCCTGGTCTTCCGTCCTGAGTACGATAGACCCTAGAAGCACCATCCAACATGGCGCGCTCCTGCAGACAGAATCGAGACGAGAGCAGGTCCCGCTCCGACACCTCCGCATCCACCTCGCCAGAGCGCGGCTACGATGATGACAAAGACTCGATCATGCTGCAGTCTAACGACTCGCTGTCGTCCCTTGCACCCTCCGTTTCTCCGGACTCCGACGATGAAGCCCGTCGGCGGGCCATCGAGGAGCAGAACCGCATCTCTCCAGTCTCACGCCTACCCGCCGAACTCATGATCGCCGTCTTCGCAAAGCTCGCCTCTCCTAGCGACCTCTTGCACTGTATGCAGGTCTCGAAAGACTGGTCCAGGAATGCTGTTGGACTGCTGTGGCACAGGCCGTCGACGAACAAATGGACGAGCGTCAAGAGTGTCATCAAGACGGTCAGCACCGCAGCTAGCTTCTTCGACTACAGCAGTCTCATCAAACGCCTCAATCTGTCGGCATTGGCGAGCGAAGTCAGCGACGGCACTCTCATGTCGTTGCGCACATGCAAGCGCATCGAGAGATTGACTCTCACAAACTGCACCAAGCTCTCAGATCTGAGTCTGACAGCGATACTGGAGGATAACAGAAGTCTCCTGGCCTTGGACGTCACGAGCGTGGAGTCTGTAAGCGATCAGACAATGTACGCTTTGGCGAAGCACGCAGTCCGGCTGCAGGGATTGAACATTACAAACTGCAAGAAGATCACAGACGATTCGCTCGAGGAGGTAGCCAAGAGTTGCAAGCACCTAAAGAGGCTGAAGCTTAACGGATGCTCCCAGCTCAGCGACAAGTGCATAATAGCTTTTGCTCTGCACTGTCGCTACATCCTCGAGATCGACCTCCACGATTGCAAGAATCTCGAAGACGACTCGATAACAACGCTTATAACAGAAGGGCCGCACCTGCGAGAGCTGCGATTAGCGCACTGCTGGAAGATCACGGACCAGGCGTTCCTTCGTCTTCCAGTCGAGGCAACTTACGAGAGTCTGCGTATCCTGGACCTGACAGACTGCGGTGAGCTGCAAGATTACGGCGTTCAGAGGATCGTCTCTGCAGCACCGAGACTGCGCAACTTGGTCCTCGCCAAGTGTCGCAACATCACAGACAGAGCGGTGATGGCCATCACTCGCTTGGGCAAGAACCTGCACTACATACATCTCGGCCACTGTTCGCGAATTACCGATACTGGCGTTGCACAATTAGTGAAGCTGTGCAACAGGATCAGATACATCGATCTGGCTTGCTGTACGAACCTTACCGATACTTCTGTCACGCAGCTGGCCTCGCTTCCTAAGCTGAAGCGGATAGGTCTGGTGAAGTGCGCAGCCATTACAGACCGCAGTATACTGGCACTGGCAAAACCAAAGCAGATGGGCTCTAGTGGACCGATCCAGGCTAGTGTTTTGGAGAGAGTCCACTTGAGTTATTGCACCAACCTCACTCTTCAAGGCATCCACGCGCTCCTTAATAATTGTCCCCGTCTCACTCACTTGAGTCTGACTGGCGTACAAGCCTTCCTTCGCGACGATCTTCTTGTTTACTGCCGCGAGGCACCACCAGGTGAGTGAACTTTGTACCTGCCTTTGGTCACACCGCTAATGTCATTCAGAGTTCAACGAACACCAGCGCGACGTCTTTTGTGTCTTCAGCGGCGTCGGCGTTCAACGTCTCCGTCAATTCCTCAACGCCGACCACGATGCCCAACACCGACAGACTTCCTTCTCCGACAACGAAGGAACCATGTACGAAGACGGCGAGGAACCCGATGTCATACTCAATGTCACCGCACAGGCTAACGGAATGGTGATAGATGAGGACGAAGACTTCGGTGACAGCGAGATGTTGGGTCAAGACTAGCCGCCTTGGTTGCTCTGACACAGTGCTTCGGCAGCGCTGAGCGTAACGTTATGTTGTGACGCGCATTGGTCTCTGAGACATTTCTTTATTGCATATATGGCGGCGTTCTTATCACTTTTACAATCCCCATCCTCTTAGCGGCATACGGCGCACGTGTTCATGGGTAACATGAGCTCGATTCTGGGGCAGACGCGGCAAATACGATACCCTTATGTCTTTCTTACTGTGCGACGCTGTCTTCGCCGTCTGTCATGGTAGTGTACCTAGGTAGCAGCATGTACATCTTATCACAACACGGAGGGTGCCCTGTGACTCCGTCGTGGCGCACCTTCCATCCAACTACCCAGACTTTGTTCTTGGCTGCGTCGTAAGGTGTGTTCTAGGTTTCTTACCTGGCTTCTGGTCGCTGGACTGGCTCGGTTCAACCTTAAGGAGCTCCGCTTTCCACCTTACTGCGCTCCACGAGTATTTTGAGGCTAGATTGAAGCCTCATGCAAGCCGAACAGATGCCGAAAGATCTTCGGGGTGGCCGAGGTAATACACGCGATTGGCTGCGCCTTTTTTTACATCTGAATCGGTACGCAGCTTATGCGCATTTCGATGAATCCGCCAGTCCTTGACCGCTGTGAGCCGTCTAGATTCATGATCTGGATATCTGGATATCTGGATCTGCAGCTTGCGCTGCGCGGGTGTGCACTATGCACATGGGCTGGTTGCACTTTTTGGAGTTTCTGGAATTCGCCCGGACTGGACTGATGTAGCCTTGAAGCTCTTGCGTCGTGGACCGAGGCGGATTTGCCCACGCTTCTCAGCCTGACGCAGCCTCAAAAGGCATACAGTATTTGCCATGCATTGCGACACAGTGCCCGTTCCGAAGAACCTGCAATCCATTATGGTCGTCAAGCGAAAAGGATAATTGTCTAACCTACGATGTACGGCATACTTTCCAAGCGTTCTAGTCAGATGCTTACCGCCAATCCTGCAATTTTGAGGCTGGCTGAGGCTGATCTGTTGCCTTGCAGGGCTGGGGTATTCACCACGTCACTTGGGCTAGCTCGCGCCTCCTCACCACTTTAGGCTCAGGCACAACGACTTGCAGCAGCTACACGCCCAATTGCCCCTCTCAACAGGTTCAAGCCCGGGAAACTAGCAAGGAGATAGTCAGCTCTGCCCCAAAGCCGAAGGCTGGACGCTGAAATGGAAGGAGTAACAACAGCGAGCTTGTACGATTGAGTCTGCGGCTCGCCTTACCGGTATCCGTGGCAGCGCCAGCTACCCTCTGGTAAGATGCACCAAGACTATTCTCCCGCGTCTAATGCTCACACCAATCAAAGTATCCCTAACACCCTTTCAGCTGCTACCGTCAAGCCACTACCTTCGTCAAGCCGAGACAGTCACGGGTGAGGATAAATCTGGGTTCTCGATCAACGCCTAAACAGGGGACCGGGTTGGATCTGCGGGGACGACACATGGACTTCAGCTGTGATGCAGCTCTCACGTTGTCGCCGGAGGTCATCGAGAACCATGGCTGAGTGAAAGCATATAAAGACGCGTTGAACGTCTACAGAGGCTCGATATGCACTTCGCTGAGATACGATCCAAGGCAAAATGCACTTCTTTACAGTCACCGCCCTACTGGCCTCTTTGGCTACCCCTACTGTGTATGCAGCTGCGACAACCAAATCATTCGTTGCTTGTAGCACTGGCTATGGTCCCAAGTCAACCTCTTCCTTGAAGACCGTTTCCAAGATCTTGACGTTACCTCTCACGGCTACTCGCATCACAGTAGTCATACCCAAGGCGACTGTCACGCCCAAAACGACCGTCACCTCCACCTCTACGGCGACTTCAACAAGTAGCGTACGTCATGCTCATCTGGAGAAGGAGCGATTGACTAACTTCGCACTAGACAACGCTTACGCTGCCACAATCAACTTCTGTTTTCACGGAGACACTGACGAACTCGTTCTTCGAGACCAAAAGCGAGACAGTAACCGTGTTCACGACGTCGACTACCCTCACGACTACAACAGATACTGGTGGCACGACCACAGTTGCAGCGTCCGCCGGCTTTGTATCGATTGAGTCGTCTATCCCAAATTCACAGAAGAAAAGGCGCGCTATTGCTGGCAAGCCGGTAGATGCACGGGCTGAAATGGGCTTGGTCGACCGAGCCGCTCCGAAGAAGTACCATCTTAAGTTCCTTCCTGGAGGAGGAGTCACGGTTTCCCCTGCGTTTTATCCGACTGCTGTTGGGTGTGGAGGCTTCGTGGCTGTGATTACGACCAAGTTAATCACGAAGACTGCAGCTAAGACGAAGACTCTTACGGCTCCTCAGCCTACCTCCTACGTTACAAGTACCTCCACAGAAGTTACGACTGCCACTATCACACCCATAGTTGCCTCGACGACCGTGACAGAGATTGCTTCGGTAAGAACAAAGGCGCCCCCCCCGATGCAAACATACTGATTACCCATCTAGACCACGCAAACTACCACGACCACCTTCTCAACCACCTCCACTGTCAGTGAGACAGTCACCGTCACCGAGAGCGCGCCGCAAGCAACTTTTTACGCAGGATGCGCCGACGACAACATCATCTTCAGGGTCAACAACAACTACATAAACAACGCGGACTTCTCCTCAACCTACGTGTCGTTCGACACGAACAACGCGTATGACTGCTGCGTGGCGTGTATGAAGAATCCAAAGTGCGGCGGAACCGTAGGCAGAGCCTCAACCCGACAGTGCTATCTGCAGATACAAGATGTGTGCGCACCCGCCAACCAAGCGTGGGGGCTGTTCACAAGCTCGCTCAACAACGGTGGTATATTTGCCAGCAACGGGAACTGCGGACAGGATTATATCGTTAGCTAGTGTTGAGTCCTGAGTGACGATGCCGTAGTCTTGCTCTGAATAAAGCTCGTCTCTGGATATTCGCGCTCTGTGTAGTCCTGAAATGTGCGAATTTGAGTTCTGCTTACGTGCAAAGGTGCTAATTAGTACTTTCTATTCTATTCTGCAGTAGTATGAAGTAAATGGGCAGGTCTTTTTACATATGAGAGAAGAGCAGCGTGAGTATATTGTTTTTCGATTGGACAGCGTGACTGAAAGTAGGGGAGAGAGAGGGGGGTATCTCGCGAGCCGTCTACAGCAAAACAAACACAGTTGCACATCTATATCCCGTCCGCCTGAGCGTGTGGGTCTATACAAGGACGTAAAGCGCGCACATCTAGTGATCATCAGCCGTGAGCCTGTTTGACGAAGTAACCGACTTACCATGCTCAGCCCCAGCACCATGCTACACCAAAACAGCACGTTGTTCAGCAGCGTCCTGCCCTTGACATACTTGCTCCTCTGCACCATGACAATCGGCATCTGCAGCATCATAGCGCAGAAGCCGTAGCCGCGGAACTTGCGCGTGATGCAGCCCATGACCAGCTCGTGCGCCAGCGCCGAGATCAGGAAAGTGATGAGCGTGGCAAGAGGCCGCGAGAGGTGGTTCTTGCTTGCCGAGTAGACGTGGCGTCGGAAGAAGTGGTGCACGGGTATGTTCCACTCGCGCGAGAATTCGAGCCAGTCGCAGGAATTCCACCAGTCGGCGTAGAATTGGCGGTCCGCAAAGCCTGTCTTGCGTGTTAGCTGTAATTGCACTCGTTGCGCTGATGGTTGGCTTACGTGTGATCTCGGCAAAGGCGCCGAGGATGTATTCGAAAATGACAAGGAAGGTGAGTAAGAATGTGATCATGAAGGGGAATAGCAGGCGCCCAATGGTCTCGGCAAGGATCAGGCTGAAGTCCAGTGCGCCTTTGGAGTGATACAGGGCGATTGCTGATTCGTCTAGGACTGGGAGGATAAACTCTTCGGTTGTGATGACCATCAGGAAGATGCAGCCGAAGACGGCCAGACCTTTGTAAAAGACTTCCAGCGGGCGGATGTGGGTCACGCGAGGGTATTCGAGCTCGTAGCAGAGCGTGGGGCAGAAGATGTAGTCGACCCAGTTGTAGAGGTTGAGGTTCTCTGGGTACGACACGCGGCCAAGGGGTGACGAGAGCTCAAAGGCAAGATCTTCACGAAGCTGGCGCAGAGACTCTTGGTTTGCAGCATCAGGGGTGCTCTGACTTGGCGATTGTGGAATCTCGTGTAGGTGCGTGCGAGGCTTGGGGTATCGAACTGCCGCAGCTTTGCTGGCTTTCTCAGGCGTGTCCAGGTCGTTGAGGCGGCGGAGCGTCTCACTCAAGTGGCCGTTGTAGAAGCTGTACAGGCGGTGAGCGACCAGAACGCTCGCGTCCTTGGTTAAACTCACGCATAGGAGTGCATCTTCATGAAGATTGCAAGCAAGTGCAGGGTGAAGAAGACCTGAGCAGTCCAGCTCCAGTCGCGAATGAAGGGATATCTGCGCAGCGTCAGCTATTCTGCTGCTGTCCGTAGGAGAGCATACATACGTGCACCAAAAGGAGAGCCAGAAGGCCTGGTATATGCTCTGGATCGCCATCCCCAGCTGACTCCACCGCAGTGAACCCTTGCCGTTCAAGAACAGCTTCTGAAGTGGAAGCGCCAAGGCTGTGCTCCCCACCATTGCGCCATCGACTAGCCCCAGCTCCCACACCTTCTCTCTGAACAGATTCCATTGTCGTATCTGGAAGGGGTAGCCGGTCTCCTTGACCTGGCGCAGCATCGAGGTGATGACCATGATGGCCAGGCCGATCCAGAAGAGCACGAAGAAGCCGTGGAAGTCATGATAGTCGCTGTCTGGGTCGAAGTGCGAGACGCGACCCACGTAGTCGATGGTGGGAAACATGCGGCGCTTCTGCTGGGCGCGGATCTGGCGGCGCGCAGAGGACGTGGCTTGGACGGAGGGAGGGGCATCGGCGGGGATGGGAGTCGTGCTACCGCTGGAGGGCGTCAGTACATGGCGTGCGGGGCAGAACAGCTCCGTCAGACCTCGAGATCCCTGACGCCGCCTCCAAGTGCTGCTTCACAGACTCGTCGCTGAGCTGTGGCTTGAGGAAGTCGATGCGCGTGGGCTTGCGCGGTCGCGGTGAAACATGTTCTGTATGGCCGTTGTGTGGGTGCGCGTCAACAGAGGTAGACTCGGCCATGATGGTCCAAGAAAGCGTGCATAGCAGGAGGACGAAGGAGAAGACTAGAAGTGGCACTACTGGTGGACCGCGACATGTGGTGGTCAGCCCGTGATCTGCGACGTGCCCGGGTCACTCGGTGCTGTCAGAGGCCTCCGAGACAGCCGCGGTCTGTGACTGCAGCGGCCCTGGGGAAGCAGTTTTGCTGCCATGGAGCCAAGTCAGAGCCAAGTCAGAGCCAACATGGCGACTAGATCCAGCCTCACGCACAGTATATACGGCGTAAACAGGGCGCTTGGGTAGGCGCGCCGGGGTTGCATGCACGATGCTCGATGTTGACATCAGCGGCTCCGCGAGTCAGGCTGCGACAAGCTCGGGCTGCAGCGGAGTCGCGAGTCGCCGTGCGCCGACCCTGGCTCGCTGGCTGTAAGGCTTACCTCACCGTGCACCACGAATAGTGCCAACGTAGCCAGCAGCGCAAACAGCAGCACCAAGCGACGGCAGCCCACATCCACGCCCCGCGCCCTCGACGCCTGCACGCGACTGCTCGATCCTCTCCCGCGTAATTCCTGGGGTGGGGTCCCTGCGACCGTCACCATGGCCTCGCGTACGCCAAGCATCACACCCCCCAGCGATGCACGCATGCTAAGGAAGCCTAGTCAAGCAATTCATTCGAAATGTGCGAGCCGCGAAGACAATCGCCGACGAGCGCGCTGTCGTGCAGAAGGAGAGTGCCGCCATCCGTGCCAGCTTCAGGGAGGAGAGCCACGACTCCAACGTGAGGTGCGTTGCAATGCAAATGCCATGTGGCAGCAGCAGGAGGGGCACAAGTTGACGGTGAAGCAGGAGAAATAATGTTGCGAAGCTCTTGTACCTCTTCACTCTTGGCGAGAGGACGCACTTTGGACAGATTGAGTGTCTGAAGCTGCTGGCATCCCCGCGATTCGCCGACAAGCGTCTGGGTTACCTGGGCACCATGTTGCTGCTGGACGAGAACCAGGAGGTCTTGACACTGGTCACCAATTCTTTGAAGAAGTTGGTTGCCCTGGCACTTGACAGCCTGGAGAAGCTGACCCCCGAACAGCGACCTGAACCATCCCAACCAGTACACGGTCGGTCTCGCGCTCTGTACCCTTGGCAACATCGCCTCCGTCGAGATGGCCCGAGATCTGTTCCCCGAAGTCGAGACGATAATATCTAGCGCGAACCCCTACATTCGCCGAAAAGCTGCCCTGTGCGCCATGAGGATATGCAGAAAGGTCCCTGATCTGCAGGAGCACTTTCTAGACAAGGCCAAATTGCTGCTGCAAGACCGCAACCACGGCGTGTTGTTGTGCGGCATCACGCTAGTCCACAACTTGTGCGAGGCAGACGAGGCAGAGGACGATGAGAATGGCGTCAGGGACATTTTCAGGCCCCAAGTCCCCGCTCTGGTCAAGATCCTGAAGGGTCTCTCCTCATCAGGGTATGCGCCCGAGCACGACGTAACAGGCATCACGGATCCTTTTGTCCAGTGCAAGCTCCTGCAGCTGCTGCGAGTCCTGGCGCGCGGCCACGTCCAGGTCAGCGAGCAGATCAACGACATCCTCGCCCAGGTACGTGTCCAGGCTACTCTAGGGAAGCCACGGCTGACATGTGTAGGTCGCCACAAACACAGACTCATCCAAGAACGTTGGAAACTCGATCCTGTATGAGGCCGTACTCACCATCCTCGACATTGAAGCAGACTCTGGCCTTCGAGTGCTCGGCGTGAACATTCTTGGAAAGTTCCTCTCGAACCGAGACAACAACATCAGATACGTCGCACTCAACACCTTGAACAAAGTCGTTGCAGTCGAGCCGAACGCCGTTCAGCGCCACCGCAACACCATTCTGGATTGTCTGCGCGACCCTGACATTAGCATCCGCAGACGTGCGCTCGATCTCAGCTTTACTCTAATCAACGAGAGCAACGTGCGCGTGCTGATCCGCGAATTGCTTGCTTTCCTGGAAGTTGCTGACAACGAGTTCAAGCCTGTCATGACATCACAGATTGGAGTCGCAGCCGATAGGTTTGCGCCGAACAAGAGATGGCACGTCGATACCATGCTGCGTGTACTGAAGCTTGTGAGTGTAAAACAGCTTACTCTCTTCCAGCGCTAATCCATGTCTCAAGGCCGGCAGCTACGTCAAGGAGCAGATCCTCTCATCATTCGTTCGATTGATCGCCACCACCACGGATCTCCAAACGTACTCTGTACAAAAGCTCTACGCAGCGTTGAAGGAAGATATCACACAGGAGGGATTGACTCTAGCAGGCTCTTGGGTCATTGGCGAGTACGGCGACGCCCTTTTACGCGGTGGGCAATATGAAGAGGAGGAACTCGTCAAGGAAGTCAAGGAGAGCGACATCGTCGATCTGTTCGAGACGATTCTGAGCAGCAGCTATGCTGGCCTCATTGTCCAGCAATACATCATCACAGCCTCGATGAAGCTGACAACACGACTCAGCGACGCCGGTCAGGTCGAGCGCCTCCGCAGACTGCTGCAAAGATACGGCTCCAACCTTGATGTCGAGACACAGCAGCGAGCGGTCGAGTACAGCAACATGTTTGGACATGACGCCATCAGGAGAGGTGTACTTGAGAAGATGCCACCCCCAGAGATCCGCGAGGAGTCTCGCGTCCTCGGCGAAGCCACGAAGAAGCGACACTCCAAGGTCATCAGCAAGAAGAAGGCTGCTCCGGCAGCGACAGAAGATCTCCTTCTCGATCTCATGGGCGACTCTGCCGCACCGGATACAAATGGTGCAGCCAGTGGCTCTCAGCAGAACCATGACCTTTTGGCGGACATCCTCGGTGGAGGCGGAACATCCACAACTTCACCACCCCCTCACACGACATCGCCTACACCACAGTCGAACGTTGCAAACATTATGGATCTATTCAACAGCGGCTCACCAAGTTCATCAGCACCTTCACAATCGCAAGCACCATCACAAGCAGCATCGATGGACTTGCTCGGTGGTCTGGGTGGCATGTCATCGCCACCACCCCAGACCTCAACCCCTCCAGTGGCCTCGGGACCGCCCGCACACCCAGTCTACAGCAAGAACGACCTCGCCATCACTTTTCAGCTCAAGCGTGACGCCAACGCCGTCCAACTGCTTGCTCGATTTCGGAACACAGGAGGCATGGGACAACTGTCTGCAGTCAATCTGCAGGCCGCTGTACCAAAGAGTCAAAAGCTGCAGCTGCAGCCTATCAGTACCAGTGAGCTAGGTGCAGGACAAGATGCGACACAACAAATGCGAGTCACATCTGTCAATGGGGTAAGCCTGCGTATTTCCTGCGTCAAAAAGAGACAGACTGACACAAAACCACAGACCCCACCGGCGAGACTCAGACTACGACTCAAGCTCAGTTACGCAAGCGGCGTAGGTCCAGTGCAAGAGCAGGTTGACTGGTCAGAGCCGACATGATTGCTGGTGCCGCGGAGTGAAAGAGATGGTCGACAACATAGACCAATGGAACGAATTCGATGTCCGACTGACCTACTACATCACCATTTTGCAGATGACCTAACAGTGTTGAAGCTCGAAGTGAGAATAGGATGCGGGTGGCGCGGAGATTAATGCACGGCTACATTCCCGGCGATACTTAATTAGCTGCAGCAGTTCCCCGCACCCAATAGGTAATGGCGCATATGGTCAGGCACGCAGCCCACCCGACTGGCTTCCCTTTCAGTCCCCTTCGTGAGTACAGCCAAGCATTCTGTGGATAACTGCACCGGCCAGGATTCCGATGCGCTTTGCAGTATCGATGCCGAATCGCCTGTGTCACTGACAGAGCCTGAGGAAGTAGCCCGTCGCTGAGGAACGAAGATCAGAACAGAAAGCAACGACATGCAAGGCTGTCGGAGCGGAGTGATCTACAACACATGCTAGATGGACGCACAAGATATTGGCTGCACGCGCGCCGTATGACAACACCGTCATTTCGGCCTCGCACCTTCCTCAACCGAAACCCAATCACGCGACAATAGCACATGCTTTACCATTCACCTGGGACAGCATGACCTTATTGGCGCACAACCACCACCTCCATGTCGATTGCAATCACAACGTCGAGGCAGACGGCTAGATGATTGTTGCTGGCCAACATGACCATTATTACCAGATGAGTTCCTTGCAAAGGCTCACTAACGGTTTAGACGGCATTAGTCTGTGTGTATATTGGCTCACATTATCACATCGTTCCCTGCCTTCCCCCGACCAAGCTTCTGTATAAAGGAGGGACCAACCAAGCATTCCGCTCGTTTTGCTCTTCGCAATCATAAAGTCCCTCGATTAGACCCTCAAGGGTCAACAACAGCTTGCAATGGTTCGTCCCCGCGTTTGGGCGCTCAGTGCTGTCACACTGACTGTTGTCGCTGCGCTCCCTGCAAATGCACCCGAACATGGTGCCTGGGGTAAACGTCAATATGCACCTCCAGTTGATCGAGCACAGGCTGTCATCGACACGTTCAGGTTGAGTTGGGAAGGATACTATCAATATGCGTTTCCCAATGACGAACTCCATCCGGTCACAAACACATACGGGAATTCGCGGTACACACACTCCACTGAATAGCTACAACCCGACCACTGACACATATCCAGTAATGGCTGGGGCGCTTCCGCCGCCGACGCGCTCAGCACGGCGCTCGTCATGGGCCAAAAGGACATTGTGAACCAAATCATCGCCTACATCCCCACCATCGACTGGTCTGTAACCTCGAGCACGGTGTCGCTCTTCGAAACCACAATCCGGTACCTTGGCGGCATGCTGTCAGGCTACGACTTCCTGTCCGGCCCGCTCGCCCACCTCGCCGACGACCCAGCACACGTCACCGCGTTGCTGACGCAGTCCATCAACCTCGCCAACAACATGAGCTACGCCTTCAACACGCCCAGCGGCGTGCCCTACAATCTCCTGGACTTCACCTCCGGGGGCGTGAGACCCGAGCCCAACGGCCTGGCCACAGTCGGCACCCTGATCCTCGAATGGACGCGGCTGTCGGACCTCTCAGGCGACCCGTCGTACGCGGCGCTCGTCGCGCGCGCAGAAGCCTATCTGCTCTCCCCTTCGCCTGCGAGTGCGGAGCCGTTCCCAGGCCTGCCGGGCATGAACATCGATCCGACGACGGGCGAATTCCTCGACGCGTACGGCGGCTGGATCGGCGGTGCAGACAGCTTCTACGAGTACCTGCTGAAGACGTACATGTACTCGCCATCGCGGTTCGCATCGCTGCGAGACCGCTGGGAGCTCGCCGCCGACTCGACAATCACCTTCCTCGCGAGCCAGCCGCTGACGCGGCCCGATCTCACCTTCGCAGCCATGTACAACGGCACGCAGGTGTTCCGGACAAGCGAGCACCTCGCGTGCTTCGACGGCGGCAACTTCATCCTCGGCGGCCAGACGCTGGGCTCGCAGCGCTACATCGACTTTGGGCTGCGCCTCGTCGACGGGTGCCGCGCCACCTACGCCGCGACCGCGACCTCCATCGGACCCGAGGTCTTTGGCTGGGACGCCGCGCGCGTGCCCGCCGACCAAATGGCTTTTTTCGCCCGCAACGGCTTCTACATCCTCAGCCCGGGGTACCAGCTGCGCCCGGAGGTCATCGAGAGCTACTACTACGCGTACCGGGCGACGGGGGACGCCAAGTATCGCGAGTGGGCGTGGGAGGCGTTTGTAGCCATCAACGCGACGACGCGGGTGGGCAGCGGGTACAGCACGATTAACGACGTTAATGTGCCCGGCGGCGGCGGGTTCGCGGATATGATGGAGTCGTTTTGGTTCGCTGAGGTGCTCAAGTACAGCTACCTCATCCAGGTGGACGACGATGCGCCGTGGCAGGTGGCGAGAGATGGGAATAACACGTGGGTGTGGAACACAGAAGCGCATCCTATGCGGGTCGCTGGGGCGTGAGGGTGTTGGGGAGGTGGATTATTGTGGAGGGCGGTGCGGGGGTGTCATTGCTTCGTAACGAGTTTTGCATCGCTGGGTTTGAGCGCTTGGGGGGATTTGTGGGCGACGGCGTCGCGGGTATGTCATGCATATGATGTCGCTGTGCCAAATGGCCTGGGTGCTACTCGAAGAAGCCTCCATCGCTGTCCTCATCTGCTTCTCGTGCCGCTGCTCTTGCCTCCCTCCTGTTCGCCGGCACGATAAGCGGCGCGTATGTCTTCTTCTTGGGCGGTGCATCCTTCGCTGTCGGTGTCTTTGTCTTCGCAGACGTGCTCTTCTTCGGTGGCGCGCCGGGTATGTCTTCCCTGCTCTTACTGTTCCGCAGCGTCTCCAACGTGCCCTCCTCCATGGCTTGCTCCACCATCTTCCACACCATGACGTCGCCTTTGGGTCCATCGACCTCCTCTGGTTTGCTCTTTGCTTCGTCGCTGTCGTCTGTCCCGGCGTTCTTGGACTTTGGTTTCTTCGACGTGGGATATAATGACGAGTACGGCTTCATGAGGGGGTACGATATGGCGTAGTTGACGTCAACCTCGGCGTTGTGTAATTTCTTCTGCAGAATAGTCTTCTCATCGTCGTCTGCGGCCGTGGCGAGCTCTTTCTTCAGGCGCTTCATGACGCGGGTCGCTTTCTGCCGATCTGCAGCCGTCAGTATGCGCCAGCCTCACGACACCGACTGTTGCTGTGCCCTACCAAAGAACCGGACTTGGTGATATTTCCCAATCATTTTCTTCCTGTACTCGCTCTCCCTGGCTTTCATCGTCTTCTCCTCGAGCTCGTGCTCGCACGCCTCGAGTTCGCGCTCCCTCTCGATCCGCGAGCTCGCCGACATCTTGTGCTTGGGGACGTTGTCGACGTGCGCGAGAAGGCGTTTCAGATCGCGTATCCGGTTCTTGAGCGCGTTCGCGCTGGCGCCGTACTCCGAGTCCTTGTCTTTGGCGGCATTGGGCCGCTTGTGTCGCGTCTTGCCGGCGTTGGGGAACGAGCGCGGCTTCTTCGCCGTGGCGGGCTCGGCGGCTTCGACGTCAGCGACGTCTTCGTGCTTGCGTTTTTGCGACATGGAGGCGGTGCTTTGGTGAGGTTGGCAGAATTGTAGAAAAGTTCGAGATGCTGGCTGGTAGGAAAGTTTTAGCGGGGCGGCACTTGCCGTTCTTATCGATTTGGGAGGAGCGATAGGGCTGATGTCACGCGTCGGTTGCATTCACCCTTGGCCCCTCCGCGTCTCCACTCGTCGTTCTTTCGATTGGACGCGGATGAGTCCAACCCAATGACGCTTGCCTGTAGTCAACATATTGCTCCTCGACCGCTCCTCGACCGAGGTTCAATGAGTCCTGCACGAGCTAGATTCTGGTACTTTCGGCACAGTGGTACTTCGTCCTGGTGATTGGCAACATGGAAGCTGCCATCAGGTGGTCGCCGCACTCCACGCGCTATCAGCCTCGCTTCTTGATCATCGACGTTGCAGGCAACCGGCTCCGACTGTGTGAGATCGAGAGCTTCTCGGGGTCCAAGGTCAACTATCGACAGATTCTGATACGCGATAAGCTCCCCAACTACACAGCTTTCGACTGGTCCAAGAAAGATCCTGATGTCGTCGCTATTGGCTCGGCTTCCGGAGAGGCACATATTGTGCAGCTGGACCCTACCAAGCCCGAAGGCGACTTTCTGCACGCATTTCCTATCCGGCATCAGAGGAAATGCAACTCCATCGCCTTCAGCCACAAGAACCTTCTGGCGACCGGTCTGGACAGGGTGAGGAACGATGTCTGCTTGAATATCTATGACATGAACGATGCAAGATTCACGACCAAAGACGAGCCATACCGAAAGCTCGCAAGCTCAGAAGCCGTTTCCAGCATCAAGTTCTTCAGGGATCAGCCCGATACGCTTCTTGCAGGCGTTCAGAGACAGTACGTCCGGCTATACGACCTCCGAGGTATGTCCAGTAGCCAACAGCAGCAACCTGTGCCTTTTATGCTGACACCCGGCAGATTCTGGTACGCAGGGTGTGGCTAACATCCAGACTAAGCAAGTGCACAGCATTGCAATAGACCCACTGGACGAAAACTACTTCCTCTCTGCGGGAACCACTGGCGACCCCACCGTGACCGTTTGGGATCAGCGCATGGTGAAACAGCGCAACGATAACAACGGTGCAATTCTCGAATACAGATCTATCGTCGACAACAGTCAGCCAGCGAGCATCTGGAGTTTGCGATTTTCTGGTACCAAGAAGGGAACATTCGGAGTCCTCGCCAACACAGGAGAATTCAAGATCTTAGAGCTGTCCCAGCACTCGCACCGTCTGGAGACACTCAAATCAACAACCGACACCACGATGGCACGTGTTTGGTCATCGCCACATTATACGAAAGTCTCTCATCATTTGCGCCACCCGTGGCACAGCAAGGACTTTCCACAGAAGCAGAAAGATCGTGTAATGGCGTATGACTTCATGGCGGAAGGTAGCCCACTCGACGGGCAGTGCGCACTCGCGCTGCATGCCAACCGAGAGGTGGAGGTAATCAAGGTGCCACCTCCTGCGCCGCGCATCAATGTGAGCGCCCTTGAGGAGATTTACAAAGATCGCACTACCATCGCCCGACCAACGAGCCGCCATGGAACTGTAGCGGAAGATCTCTCTGCCTTACAGAACGAGGCGATAAGCAGAAAAGGCGGACATGGCCCTGCAGATCTGTCCGAAGACTTTGACAAGCTCAGCATGACCGATCATAACCAGTCAACCACGCAGAAACGTGAACAGATTCTACGTCTGGCATATCCTGACACCAAAGTATCGCTTTCCGATTACCTCGCTTTCCTGCAAGGTTCCAAGCGTCGCTGCCAGGAAGGGTACTCCCTCGGATGTGCACAGAATAAGGTCATTGTATCGAATGATCCCTGGCTGGCAGATGTATGGGACTTCGTTGAGCGAATGGACACCCATGCGCGTGGAGATGGCATGGTTGGCAACGGTCTCGAATTGAATTACCTTGGTATCGAGCCCATCTGGAATAACAATCTTGAGATGTACGATGAACGACGCATCGATCCAGATACAAACACGAGCCAGAACATGTTCCTGGATGCAGTGAAGGAGATAGTGGAAGCCAAGAACTTTCCGCCGTTTGAAGGGGCGGACACAAAGTTTCCAGAGAACAGGCAGCTCTGCCTTAGCCTGTGTGGATGGCCGCTCGATAAGAAGGGCGTGCAAGACAACTGCGAAAACCTCATCGCAGCTGGAGAGCCTCTGAAAGCAGTCGTTCTTGCAGTATTCCAAGGCTATAAGGACATCGCTTTGGCGCTGCTACGCACCGCACTGCAACAGGAAAAGCTGCCACAGGACCACATTGGCCTCGGTGCCGTCATCGCCTGTGCTTCTCCTTCCTCCGGCGTTCCTGTCGAGCAGCGCGAAGCGTGTGCATGGATGGCTGAGATGACTATAGACCCGTACCTGAAGTCGCTGCTGACATACTTCATAAGCGCCGACTGGACCGCTGTCGTAAACATGGCCTCGCTCGCCCTCGCCGACCGTGTCGCCCTCGCCCTCAAATACCTCCCCGACATCGCCCTCTCCCACTTCCTGTCCGACACAACCACATCGCACGTCCAAATGGGCTCCATATCCGGTCTCCTACTCACTGGCCTAACAACACGTGCCCTAGATCTCCTCCAAGTCCACATGGCCTCGCACCCCTCGGAACTGCAAACCGCTGTCCTCCTCCTCTCGCGCGCTTGCCCGCTCTACATCCAAGATCCGCGCTGGTACCTCTGGAAAGACATCTACCTGGAGCAAATGCAGGTGTGGCGTTGCTTCCTGGAGCGCACACGCTACACAAAGGAGCACAACGCGCGGTCCATAACGCGCGATGGCAACGCCCGAAACAAGCCCACACAACCCAGCATCGCGATCCGCTGCGCACAGTGCCATCAGAACCTCGCCTTGCGCAAAGAACAAGGCAAGAAAAGCAGACTCGTCCCCGTCATCGGCGCACCCTACCACGCACAGCACCCTGCAAATCCCAAATCCGCAATCCTGCACAACAAACCCGCTGGGAAACACTCAACCAGCTCCCCGGCGCTCGCGTGCCCTAACTGCGGTGCCCAGATGCCCCGCTGCGGACTGTGCATGATGTGGCTCGGCAGCCCGGATCCGACGAAGCCCGGCGGCGCGGAGACGCTGAAGGGCGAGGATTTGGAGGCGAGGCTGATGGTGTTTTGTATGAGTTGTGCGCATGGGTTCCATGGGCATCATGCGAGGGATTGGTTTGCGAGGCACGCCATGTGTCCCGTGCCGGATTGTCGGTGCATGTGCGGGCTGTTGAAGTGAGTGGTGGGGCAGTGGGGTTGTTGACCCGACGCCTTGGATGGGTTTTGAACGGAAGCAGGGAGGGTGTGACACTGGATTCTGGAGTCTTGCGGGTACAAAGTCGCTTTCACCATGTGCATGGTACCGCTCGTTGCGTCCTGGTCTTTGGAGCAGATGACACTCGCAGATCAGGTCAAGCGTGGAATTCGACGTGTCACGTTTCAAGCTCGATCAGGAAGCAGACTGGCAAGCTTGTACTTCTGCGTTCCTCGTCGCCGGAAGAAAGGTCAGAGTCTTACTTCATCCGCGCCCCTCGATGCGACAGTGGGATCATCGCAGTCGATTGCGATCGTGTTCAATTTAAGAATGAAGCCTGTGTTGGATGAATGCCCATTGGAGCGAGGGGCTTTTATGTGTACACAAACAGAATAAAGAGATCTAGATGCAGCTGGACATGTGTGTTCTTGTAGATACGAGGTTTCAGCCCTGCGCTCGGGCTGTCTAGAGAGCAGTGTTGGTTGCGGAAGGAGAGCCTGCAGAGCGAAGGCCGCAGTCTGTATCCATGGTTGGCAGGATTGCAGTGCTCGCTGGTAGAACCACGCGAATTTCTCGGTGTTGAAGGGACTGGAAACGACCGACCACATGTCAGGACCATGATCCTTTTGGGCTGTTTTGAAAGCAGGGATATACGGTGAAATAATGTTGTTAAGCTTCAGAAGACCAGTTTTGGGCAGAAAGTCAATAGCCGTGAAAATTGTGAGCACCTCTCTGCGACTTTGGTCTCGAAACAGCTATGCACGACTGACTCCCGTGGAATCAGACTAGAAGGAAGGTAGTGTCTGTTAGGCCGAGGCAGACAAGCAGAGCCACATCTGTCTGAAGCAACCGTCTCTCAATTTGGGAAGCAGAGACGCACATGAACTGATTCTTGATCTTTTTTTATTCTGACGAAGGGAGGGGTCATGCATTCCGCTTTCGTGCGTCTTGAGTCGCAGTCATGCATGTTGACGATAGGCAGACATGAAATGCGCGTTGTTATAGAAATTTATGCAACTTTGCAGACATGGCAAGGTCTTCGATGCTTTTGAAGAGCTGACTACTTTGGAGTGGTTTAGGTCGCGCGCTTCACGGCAGATTCCTGGATGACGTACGACAGTGACTTCGTCGGCAGAGAGTGATTTCGTCGGCAGAGACACGACTGCAAAGGCTCGAATTGTGTCAGCCAGCACCACACGTTACTTGTGCGGCAAGGCTTCATGTATCTTTTTACAGCCCTGTTACGCTGTAGTTCTCAGAGTCGAATCACCCATGCGAGTCGTTGTTTACGTTGTTAGCGGAGCCAGCCAGGTCATTTGCATTGGGTATCAAGCCTTTGATCGCTCGATGGAGTGCGTTTCATAGTTCCGATAAAGCTACTGGAACGGACAATTGCATGTGCATACATACAGCTGATTCGACTTTTGCGGCACTTGTTTGACTTTCGCCGACCGGAGCTTTCCTTGGGAGTGAAGCATGCTTGAAGCTGGGAAAACACACATGTATGGCCTCGTGCTGTCTTTAAAAAGTATAGCTAAGGTAGAGGACGAGAAATCGTCCCAGCATGTGAATGAGAGCGCTGGGTTTTGAAGTACATTCAGGAAAAGACAGATTGTATGGAAAGGGATTGGACGATGAGGGTGACATTTATATTGACCACAATGTGAGACTGCAAGTATACAAGAGTCCAAACGACCTCTTTGAACATCTTATGTGAGCACACAGGACAAGCAGGCATAGTATGACTGTCGTGCTACTTTGTTGCAGAGAAACAATGTACAAGTTGTACAACAGTCTTGAAATATTTCGGAGGAGGATTCCAGTGGTGTCTTAGAGAAGAGTGCGTAAGCAAGATATCGGATGGTGGCATTTTGATTTTTTATCTTCGCAGAGCAATCACATGATGAATTGCCACCATCGCTTTCAGTCCATGTCGTAACTGGCTTGCCGGAAAGGTAAGAACAAATCTGGAACTGGAAAAGCATTTTGATCCAGGAAGAAACATAAAAGGAGCTCAGATCCAATTTGATTCCACCGGCGTCAGGAACATCCGCGAATTTGAACTTTGTTTTTTGCATGAGAATTGTGCGCAGAGGAAAAGAATATAGACCAGTAGTTGGCCAGCGTTTTGCCCTCCATACAGCAGAGATATCCGGGCCTTCGTTGCTGTTTTGATTTTGAGGGAAAGGAAGTGTCAATAAGCAGACAAGGTGAGGAGAAACAGGTATTTATAGACAGGCCAGCTGAAGATCTCTAAAAAGGGAAGAGCAAACGGTCGTGACAGGGAGCAATCACGTGCCGCGCGTAACAAGCTGTCGATGCCATTTTGACACGACTAGAGCGTCATGTTTGTGTCCCGGATTGGGCGATAGACATACGAAGAGAGTCATTGGGCTGTCTGACCGGCGGAGAATTGGGGTTTTTGGTAAAGATTTTGAGCGTCCGGACGTAAGAGGCCAGCACACTGCATGTTATCCTTGCTTTCGATGTCCAGATTTACATGTCGCAGAGATCATGTTCGTTCCTCTTCTGCGTCAGTGTATGCAGTTGGAGATATTGTGTGTGAAATCGCAGCTTTTGAACATTAAGTGAGAGCAGGTGTAGCCGAAGGAATCCCAAATGCGAGTTCTTGAATATTCATCAGGTTGTGGTGGTAGCGTGGAGTTGTGTATAACCATGTGCCATTTGCGAGACCAGAGAAGCGGGGACATTGAAGACCAAGCGCAAGGATCTGATTACTGGATTCCGAGCAGAGAAAAGCCAGACATTCATCTTCTTGTTGCATTTTTTGAGCTTTAATTGGTCAAAAGAGGCGAAACCAGCATCGCAATTTTCCGTTTTCCAAACGCGAAGCACATGGCCTCGTCACTGCTCATTTAGGACAGAAAAGTTGCTCGATGTCTTGGTAAATCCTTTTGGTTTCGGCTGACAGTCGCATGAGTTGTTTGTCGTGTGGTTTCAACATCCGCAAAAGACCCGATCGAAATAAACAGAAAAATCACAGTGACAGCAGACTTATATACCACCCCGACTGCACCGTCAAACATGGGGCGTTGTGAAACAGGGTTTGAAGCGTGCAGACACAGAAGCAAGATGTTGGAACCATCACGATATAGCAGCCTGGATTTTGGTATTCGATTTTGGAGCAAAGAAGGGGACGGACATGAATCCGTGCCTTTGGCTTTCGATACCTCGCAGAACAGATATGGTGTGTGGTTGTTCTGTTTTCGAATCTTGGGTGATGGCGGATATTATTGAACACAGCAAGACGTGAGTAGATTCGGGGTTTATATAGCCATCTTGCGGGGTACAGACGAACAGTCCAGGATTGCCATCACCTTGCATATCGACTGGTGAGCGCTCGAGATGAATGGTCCTCCTGAGAGTATGTAGTCAACATGCTGACTGCCGTATGATACGATATGATGCTCACACTGATACGGTATTACAAATTCTAAGCTAGACATATAAATGAACAATGATGCTGGCTAATCATGACCAGCCCGGAACGCCTTGTCAAGCCTATGCTGCGCGATGCAGAAAATTCCACGAGTTATACAGTCTATAACCGGACCCTGCCCTCCTCAGCTCGCCCGCCGAATAGACTCAGGAACCCGTTCCCGCTATCCGCCCCCCTCGCTCTTCGCCCGGCATCGACCTCGTCATCGCCGCCCATCCATGCCGGCCGTGTGATCGTGAAGTCCGTGCTGTCAAAGGTATTCTTGACACGATTCGCAAAGTTCTCAAAGAAATTCCCTGAATCTTCATCGTCCTCGACTATCGGTCTGCTCCTCGCCGGTCGTGTCCGTGGTGCCGGCGCATTCGACACCATGTCTGCGATGTTACTTGGTCCGCCAGCAGCCGACACTGTGTTATCCGTATACCGCTCACTCAGCAGACTCGTGCTCGCGTCATTCCGACTACTCAAGCCCAGCACATTCCCACTGCTGCCCTGGATTTCACGCTCGATCAGCGCGCGGCCCTCGCGCCATGAGCCACTCCCCGCGTACGCCCCGGACTCATCTTCCTCGTCCTCAAGCAGGTCGCCGAAACCGCAAATATTCCTGACCTTGCCGTACAAGCCGAAAGCAGTCGCAAATACAGGAACAAGGATGAAGATGGGGAAAAACGCCGAGAAGTTCTTGCCCAGCGGGCTCAAATCGATGAGCCGGCCGAGAAACTTATGGAACATGGTCTCGCTCCAGATCGGCTTGTCTGTCATGGTGAGGAAATTGTAGCTCAGCGGGACTGTGAGCTTGGCGACCTGGAGCCCGTACCATGTCGCCGATTCCTGGTACGTGTTTCGCCGAACAAGAGCGCGGTTGCCCCAAATCTTGACCTCGGTGAGCGAGTAGAAGGCGCAGATGCACATGTAACACAGCCAGGAGGCGGCGATGACCTGGCCGCCAAAGCCGATTTGCGATCGTGAGGACGAGGACCGGTGCACGACAGTCCAGCCGATTATGGACAGCTTGTGGCCTCCGATCTCTTGGATTTCGCGCACGCATTCCGACCAGACTATGGATATGGAGGCGAGGATCGTGACGAACCAGGTGAAGTAGGTCAACGCGGGGATGATGTGGACGTGTAGGATGTAGCGGGTGTATGGCGTGAGGATTGAGAGATGGGAGTGCCAGTGTTGTGGAGACGGGCATGCCAAGCTGTTAAATTCGAGGCGTTGGCTACCTTTGGAATCGAGGATGGCTTGCGTACGGATGGCGTTGCGGACGATGATGTCCCATTCGTTCTCGAAGCGGTTCTTGGCGTGTCGAGCTCTCTTCAGCTTTCGTGTCAAGTCTGCCAGGTACCGTTCCGTGATGACAGGTGGGATCGTTGATGCGCTCGAGTGGCCGACGGTACCAGCTCTGCTCTCCGGTAGACTGCCCTTGTCGGCCAGCTCATCGATCCACTCCTGGAACTCTTTTGCGGTGCTGTTCTTTCTCTGTTTGAGCTGCACAACCTGATGTTCGCACTGATCCAGCTTCTCCAGCGCCTCAACAAGCTTCTCATGAAGCTTCGGTGCCTGACCCTGAGTCTTCTTGAGCCGTCCGCTGATGCTTGCATATCTGAACAAGCTCCGCGGGAAAGCCACGAGTCCATGCCCCATCAGGTAAATACCGAGAATCAGACCCCACGTGTACGCCAATGCCATAGCCAGCGACTTGAACGTGTCCAGCTCGAACCCGTTGTACCAGATCAAATACACAGATCCAACAACACCGCACCCCAGCATAATAGCCCAGTATCGACCATTGCTCCTCAGTGCATATAGTACTCTCGCCCTAGGCTCACGATATCCAGAATCGCAATACTCGCCCAGCAGCGGCAGGATCGCCCATGTCAACGCGAATGTGAGCCAGTATACAATGCGCCATGATTTGTACACAACAGTATCGGACAACCAGATGCCTCGTGCGCCATCTGTGTCCGTCCCCGCGCTGCTGGCGAGATCGATGGGAAGCAGCACTACAATGCTAGCCGGAAGCGCGATGGCGAGGAACACGGGGACGACTACGTGCGCGGGTGTCGTGCGGAGGGGGAGATAGTAGCGCAGGAGCAGGAGGACGAGGCCGCATATCGAGAGCAGTGAGAAGACGAAGAAGGCCGTAGAGCCAGCGGCCGAGGACGTCGTCGAGTACGAGGGGTCTTCGACGTGTATTGGCGTCGCCATGGTGGGCGGGCGCTTTGTGAAGAAGGAGAGATAATCTTCTGGTGCCTGGCCGACTTGTCTCCACGGGCCTCGCAGCTGATGAAGCACGCCGGGAGTTTCGGAAGGGAGGCGCACAACGCGTCGCTACCTCTCGCACATGGTCTCGATATCACTGAGCTCTTCGTGTACACAGACAAGCTTTACCGAGCCTCGTAGCCGCTCAGGAGATTTCGGCAGCTCAACACGTTGTTTGCGCTCGACTTCTGGACCCTTTCGTCATCTGCAATGATTAGAGCTGTTTGGGCGCATCGTCGACGATTGCGGAATGCCGCCACTCTGCCAAAACTGTCTAATAAATGCACTCTCTTTTAAGCACGTCATACCACAGGTTTCATTGCAGCTGCGGGGCGCGCATACAGCACTTGACTAATCACCACCACCATCACCATCTAGATTCCAAATCACCCTATACATAACCGATACACTCCCAAGTCTCACTCCCCAACCAGACTCCCAAACCGTACGTCAAATTCTTCCCTGCACCGTTCTTAACCCCATGAATCCTCGCCCGACTTTGCGCAATCAGCTCACACACGCCTAGAACTTCCAACACCGCAACCATTTCCTACTTCATACGCCGCTTCTTCGGCCGCGCCCCCAGTCCCACCACCATGTCCGCCACAAAGACCAAGGTGCAATCCATCATCGACGAGAATCCAGTTGCCGTCTTCTCAAAGTCGTATTGCCCCTACTGCCGCCAGGCGAAGCAGCTTCTGAGCGACAAGGGCGCCAAGTTCTACGCCATCGAGCTGGACCAAGTTGGTACGTCTATGACTACGTAGAAGCCTGGCCTTAGAGGAGAGGATGCATGAAGAGCACCGGCTAACAATTATCAGATGACGGCTCAGCCATCCAGTCCGCTCTCGCCGAGCTGACCGGCCAGTCCACCGTGCCCAACATCTTCATTGCGCAGAAGCACATTGGCGGCAACTCGGACCTGCAAGCCAAGAAGGGCGAGCTGCCCAACCTTCTCAAGGACGCTGGAGCCGTCTGACTAGATGGCGCCAAGGGAAAGCTCTGAGCTATAAGCTAGCAAGCCAATCATACAAAACTCTGAATACACGAACATGTACGCCAGCATGCAAATGCATTGAACACGTGATACTTGGAAGAGATATATTTGATGGCCGACTACCACCGACAAGGGCTCTTCGATCCCTATTTGCTACAAATGCGTGCATCCCTCCACCCAAGTAAGTTAGCCTAGGCTTTGCGACGCTTTCTATCCATATCATTACCTGTACGTGAATGCTAGCCGTGACCTCGTTACAAGACCGAATCCACCTTCGGACACGGCACCGCCTAAGTCTGCATGGCGTCCGTGAAGCTCTGTGCTGCCGTTGTCGCGAAATACCTGACGTCGACATCATCATCCTGCTGCAGCTTCTCCAGATTCGGCAGTATGCTCTTTGTGATAACCTCTGTCGCCTTCTGACAGCCTTGACCGGGTGTACCCGCCTTCTCCAACGCAATCACGGTACCCTCCTCGGGCAGTTGCTTTAGTGTGTTGACCAATACACCGTATGACTTTGCAACGTTGAACCGGATGTTGGGGATATCATCGTTGACGAGCTTGTCCATCATGGGAATAATCGAGGCCTCGATGACGTCAAGGCTGAGAGCGGGTGCAAGGGTCTAAGACAATTAGCACGAATGCATGCAGTGTCGCACCGACGAGACTTACCGAGACGGCAAAGCAGGTGGTCATCCGGTACAGGTAGTTGGGATGCTGACCCATGGCCATAACCTTGGGGACAATCGCCTCGTTGGCCCACTCAACACCGAAAACTTCTGTGAGCTTCTTCAGGTTCTGAGTCGAGGCCTCACGGATGGAGAAAACGGTGTCACCGAGCCAGCTCATGCACAGGCTGCTGAGCTTCTCGTCAAAGAATTTGACGCCGAGCTGCGAGGCAAGGAGGGGAACGTATTCGATAATAGCGAGACGGACACGCCATTGCTTGTCTTCGGCAAGCTGGACGATGGCGGGAAGGAGGGACTGGGAGAGAAGCTCGATGCCAATGACTGTTCGGATTAGCGAGTAACTCTACCGTGGCGAAGCTGGTACATACCATTGTTGACAGACTCGAGCTTTGAAATGATGTTCAGACGAACGTCAGGGAACTCGTCCTTGAGCATCTGGAGGAACATGGGAAGGAGATGCGAAATGGTCTCATCCTTTCCAAGGATGGGTGCAAGACCGCTGATCTGTGTGCCGAGCGCAGCGCGAACATGCTGTGACTGATCAGAGACCAGCTCCTCGATGCTAGGCATGACCTCGTGAAGCAGTGTCTCGCGCTCGAGAAGCGCGCAGAAGCCGGGAATTTGCCCAGCGATCGCGCTGCGGACCTCCGCCTCTGTATCCTTGAGAAGCTTGACGAAAGCTGGTACAAGGTCGCGGTTGACAACCTCCTCATCAACAGCCTTTGCAATCTTCTCAAATCGATCCGCAACCATGTAGCGCACCCTCCAGCTCTTGTCCTCGAATAAGCTGCGCAGAGCAGTAAGCAGGACACCGTGACTCGACTGTTGCTCCTTGGGTACTGCCTCTGCGATCGCAATGAGAATGTCGACTGTCAGGAGCCTGACGCTGTCCTGGTCGTCCGCCGCAAGGTGCTGGAACAGGGGGATCATCTCTTCGACAACGATCGAGTGGGGCATGGCCTTGATGAATTTCGCGAGGTTGTTCGCCGCTTGCCTTCGGACCATGGGGGTATCATCGTGCACTAGCTGGCCGTAGTGCTGTCTGAGGGCTTCCTGAGAAGGAGGTGTCGCACGGGTGTAGGGTGTCTGGTAGAGACCAGTTGCAGAGATCTTCGAGGTGAACCAGTCTGCTTTCGAGAGGCGCATGACGAGAGGAATGAAGGCGTCCTCGACTTGCTGCTGTGAGAGCTCCTCGCAGATCTTGTTAAGCGATTCGACAGCCTGTCCTTGTTAGCAAAGGATTGATTCTCGGAGTCAAAGATTTGCACACCTTCTCGCGGACGAGAGGCTCCTCTATCGCGGCCAAATTCTCTAGGGGTGACAGAAGCACATGCGCGTGCTCTGCGCCACCAACATACTCGACAAACTTGCCCAATTCCTCGCTCAACGCAGTGAGTACCTCATCCTCATCCTCAACAGACTCTGAACTAGCTGTCAGCAGAGACACAATCTCCAAGATGTGTCAACGCAAGCTTACCATCGAGAAAGGGTATCAGCTCATCTCGTGTGCGCTCAGCGCCCAATGCGAGAGCTATGGTGTTCAGACGGTGAATTGCGTTCAGTCGCAGAATCACGTCATCATGCTTAAGCTCGTCAATGAGCACGGCGATCGGGTAGAGCTCGTCATTTTGCGCGTCCATGGTGGGCTGTGAGGGACGGGCTGCGGAGGGAGGTGTACGGGGCTAGGGGTCGACCAAAGCGCTTTTGGGAGAGGGGGCGCACGTGCGATAGTGAAGGAGACCCGGCGGTTGTTACGTCCTTGTAAGGCGTGAGCTTGTGATGGGCGGAGTGGGGGTCGCTCAGGCACGGAGTCGTGTTGACGTACCTGTGTTGGCAGGCAAGCGAAATGGGAATATTAGAGCAGGTGGGGCGACAGCACTTGCGGCAGGCGCAAGAGAGGACTGTGTGGATATGAGAGCTGTCTACCCCTCTTTCGATCTGTTTCGGCGTAGGGTGTAATTCGATGTTTGGGCGTGGGTTCTGGCGTGGTCTGGGTCGTTCTTTGGTGTTGAAGACCGTGAAGCATCCCACTTCGACGCCAAGAGGCGGCGCATGGGGAAGTGGCAGCCCAGCCACAGACATGGAGGCATTTGAGCAGCAATGCGATATCGCACGCGTGCCTGAATCTAAACTTCCTTCGTCATATGCGCGCGTTGCTGCACTTCTCACACACTCTATTCTGAGCAGTAATTGCCTTGTGCACCAGTATCTCTTTGTTTGCAGCTTCTCTGCTCTCTCAGCCGCAGCATGAGCGCCATCCGTCCCGAGGGGTCGAATGAGGACCACGCACCAAAGCCCACAGCAGAAGCCGAGCCACTTCTGGGGAGACGATCTTCAGCAACATCTCACAGTGCTCAACCGTCTACCAAGCAACTCACGACTCGACATGCGTTTGCGATTCTTGTCACTTTGCAGATCGGCAGTGGTATTTTCGCCAGCCCTGCCCAGGTCGACAGCAATGTACCCTCCCCTGGAGCCGCATTGCTTGTCTGGATTCTTGGAGGCTTGCTCTCATGGGCAGGTGCAGCCTCGTTTGCCGAGCTTGGTGCTGCCTTGCCGTTGAACGGGGGCATGCAAGAGTACTTGCGTTACGTTTTCGGTGACACATTCGCATTTCTCATGGCATGGGTCTACATCATGGCTGTCAAACCTTCGTCGATGGCCATTCAAAGCATTGTGATTGCAGAGTCAATTGGCTCTGTCAGCTCAAGTGAGCCACTTCCCGGCTGGTTACTGAAGCTCATTGCTGCCATAGCCTTTGTGTCCATGGTTCTGCTCAACTCCTTCAACACCAAATTCACACTGCGACTGAGCGAGTCTTTCACAGTGTTCAAGATCTCCACAGTAGGTTTGATTGTACTTGGTGGCTTCATCGCAGTCGTTGCGCATCTTGTCAATCCCCACTCGTCGCTTTCTGGCACATCAGATTGGTATTCGAAGAATTGGTTTGCAACACGACCAACAATCTCAGAGGGACAAATCATCGACTGGAACGCAATCAGTACCTGGGAACGATACGGCCATTACTGCGCAGCAATCTACGGAGGCTTATGGGCTTACGATGGTTGGGATAATGTGAGTAATCCTCGCCCGAGGCTTCGAGACACTTCTGATGGCTCCGTGTAGGCCAATGTCGTCGCCAGCGAGATCCGTGATCCTGGTCGCTCCTTACCCAAAGCCATCAAAGCAGCGATGGTAGTCGTCTTGAGCTCATTCGAGTTTGTCAATATCGCCTACTACATCCTTCTCTCGTGGGACAAGCTGAGCTCTAACAATGCCGTGGCTGTTTCTGCCGCGACCTCACTTTTGGGTCGACCTGCAGGCATGCTCGTCACCATACTTGTTGCTGTATCGTGTGCCGGCTCCGTGACAAGTAATGTCTTCTCTGTTGGTAGACTCACTGTGGCAGCCTCGCAGCGTCACTACCTGCCCGCTTTCTTCAGCAAGCGAGGTCTGCCCATGCTGAATGACTCAGCCGACGATGATTCCACTGTCTCCAGCTTCGATGCTCCTATGTACGTTTCTCGCTAACGCCGTAGAAAGCACGCTAATCGGTTTTTAGTTACGCCAACATCCTCGCACTAGTGATCACTTTGATCTATATCTTGACGGGCAGTTTCAGAGCTCTTCTCACTTTTGTCGGAATGGCCGAATGGGTCTTTTACGTCAGCACTGTCATAGGTCTGTTGATTCTTCGTCGTCGAGAGCCGCAGCTCGAACGACCCTATCAACCTACAGTCATTCTGCCCGTGGTCTTTGTGATTGTTGGTACCTTGGTTATTTTGCGCAGTGCAATGTTTGCCCCAGTGCAGAGCGGAGTCCTTGCAGGCCTGCTAGTCATGGGGGCCGCAATCGGCATGTTGCGTTCGAGATGAGTAGGCTCGCAGGCTCGAATCAATACCAAGGTACTACGAAGAGGAATCACTGGCGGTGAAGAAGGTCGAAGACCTGGGTTCATGGCTCAGCAAAACTACTCAAGCACGTTACGTGTGAGGGTATTTGCGCAAGTAAACTTGCACCGCCAAGCGACGTCTCCACAACTGTCAACGCTGGTATTGCTCCGTCTACCGATCAGAACCTTCCCAATCTGACAATGCGACAGCGGTACAGCGATACAGAAAGTTGGACTGCTCAAAGTCAGCTCCACTCGTTCTCGACTTCCTTCTGATTGTAGCTAGCTCTGTCATCGATTGTTCGTTATTGGGATCATACCTGCATGGTCTTCACATGGCAGCGCCGCTTGTGCACCCTACTGTCAGTAAAGCGAAGGCATGCGACTGAACGATGCCGGCATACGGCCGTATGCCTTGCAGTGTACTTGACCGAATGCGCAGGAATGCGTCCTTTAGACGGCATTCAAGTATACTATTATCACAGTATCACAGTATCACTACCCGCACCTTACGGAACCATCAAAAAGCTGCCGCTTTGACTCTCTTCGTGAGCTTGTCAGATCACTGCTCGCGTGCAAATTTCAGAACCATGGGTCGCGTTGTCCAGATCACGACTGCTGTTGCCACATCGTTCGAGTTCGTCCTAGCAACTTGCCTCCTTGCCGTCTTCGCATCTGCATACCCTGATCGATACCGCACAGCACTGTGGCACGAAGGTGGAAACAAAAGCTTGAACTCGGATCCTAGCTACCGTACATACTTATGGGCAAACTACAAGGACGTACCACCGATGCCGATAGTCTGGGATGAAAGGTACGTCTTGCCCAAGCCATGTCAAACCTCTGCTAAGCACGGGTATAGGTCCACACAGTATAGTCTCTGCATTGCCATCATCACCATGGTCCTATGGTTCGTCCGACTCTGTATCCGAGGACGGACCCTAGATGTTTACGGCGCGGTCATGTGCAACATGCTGTACGACCTCATGTTGATCACACTATGGTCTTATAGTGCTGTCATTCAATCTTCCGGTGATTACTCCGATCCAAAGCATATCGCACTGCACCCCTGGTATCTCGAAAGTGGATGCGCAGAAGCCTGGCCAAACAACAGAGCTGGTTGCCGCGCTGCCAAAGCTTCTCTTGGCCTTGCGGTCTTCGCAGCGTAAGTGCACTGTCCATTCCATCAGCGCTTCTCAAGCTAAACTGTTGACACTTTCAAGTCTATGGTTCGGTGTTAGATGTACCACAACTTGCATGTACGGCGCCTATATGTACGGCAAAAGCTCCAAGGACGCAGACGTCGTCAATGTTGATATCGAGAAGCGCTGCATCTGGCTTCCATGTAAATGTACTTGAAACAACCCCAGCCTTGGCTTCCATCCGCCATGCACCTACGGCGAGTTCACCGCTTGACTAGTGCTGTTGGAATTGCGAGAAGCCCAGCGTTTGTGCCATCGGCCCTTTGGACTTCCATCGAAGCATTCGTTGGATTTGAACTGTCAATCAACTCACCACTCGTAGGGAGGGACCTGCACGCTTGATGCCTTTACCACACCTGCTCTTCTCGTCCGAAAATGAAGTGGTCAGCTCTGGGACCAACCTCACCCATGAGTACACAACGCACAGTTGAGTTGGCGCTCGCCTTCCAGGCCCTGTTCTTTTTCATGTCGACTCGGTTCCTCGTATCTGCGGCGATCCACAGACCTTTTAGGCTTGCTTTCGGACAAGCAAGGGACAGGCGAAAGCGAGGTGCCGCAACGAAAGTGCCGAGGCGCGGCTGTCAATTCCGGACCGCTACCGAACGGCTCTTACGACCGCAAAAAGTGGAGGTGTAGCTCGGAGATGTAGTCGCTTGAGTAACGCCCCTTGTTTTACAAATCTTGATCCGGTAACATTTTCGACCCACTGTTATTGCCGAACCACTAGTGGGAGGGTAGGGTAGATATTGAATTTCATGAATCTTATTGAAGTCCACGAACATGGTCGGCAGGCACTGTTTCGAAACACCCATGAGCAAGGCTGATGTTCCGTCCGTTTTGATTAAGGTCTATGCAGATTTAAATTGCCAACGGTGAGGGGCACGGCCTTGAGCTAGATTCACAATGTCTCTTCAAGCCTCTACAATTTAGACTACAAATATCCGAGGAGGTCCACGGTATTTTCTTTTATCCTACTCACCTCAGTCTTTCATTCATTATTATATTCTTCATTCATCATGAAGTTCTTCGCTGTCGCCGCACTTGCCAGCCTAGCGCACTTGGCAAGCGCAGTTGGCGTTGTTGGCACGGCTGAAGGCTTTGCGACGGGTGTTACTGGTGGTGGTATGATTGACATAAAGTCTACATTATCAGCTGTAATGATGCTGACGTTGAATGACAGGCAGCGCCAATCCTCAGTACCCTAAAGACATCACCGAGCTTGCTAGTTGGCTGACTGACTCGACCGCGCGTGTCATTGTCCTTGACAAAACCTTCGACTACACCACTTCCGAGGGAACGGTGACTGGCACTGCTTGTACAATTCACCCTACTACTATCATGTGGTTCTATACTAATTGAAGCAGGCGCAAACTGGGGAACTGGAGCCGCGTGCCAGCGTATCTTGCAGGACACTTGCGATGCCGGTAAGGTCAAGGAAACTGTCACCTACTACAAGGCTGCAAAGCAGCCCATCAAGGTTGGCTCCAATAAGACCATCCTGGGTATCGGATCCAAAGGTATCATTAAGGGCAAGGGCCTGTCGTTTGCTGGCAAGAACGTCATTGTCCAGAATATTCAGGTCAGCGACTTGAACCACAAGTACGTCTGGGGTGGCGATGCACTCTCCTTCGCTGGAGCTGATCTCATCTGGATCGACCACGTAACAGTAAGTGTTCGCATATCCCTCGCTGAACCAGATGACTGATAGTGTAACAGACTGCTCGTCCTGGCCGCCAGCACTACGTTTTCGGCTACACGCCTAGTACCCGTATCACCCTCTCCAGCAACTTCATCAACGGTCTCTCCGATTACTCCACCGGCTGCGACGGCTACCACTACTGGGTCTTCGAGATGGTCGGCACCGGCGACACAATCACCATGAAGAACAACTACATCACCAAGACTGCCGGTCGTGGCCCCGCTCTCAGCGGCAAGACTCTTCTCCACGCTGTCAACAATGTCTGGTACGACGTCAAGGGACACTTGCTCGAGGGTGGTGAAGCCACCGCCCGCGGAATCTTCGAGGGCAACGTCTTCAACAACGTCCAGAACGTTGTCGCAGACTACAAAGGCAAGCTTTTCGGCTCTCCTGACGCTACGACCAACAAGCAGTGCAGCTCTGCTCTTGGCCGTGACTGCCAGGTCAACCTCTTCCAGGGTACTACCACGACTGCCAGCAGCTTAACCGGCAAGAAGGATACCAGCTTTTTCAGCGAGTTCAGCGGCAAGAGTGTGGCGAGTGCTAAGGCTGCGACTGAGATTACGACCAGAATCCCCAATGGAGCTGGTACTGGCAAGCTTTCCGCACTTGCCTCAAGGTCTGCCTCTGCCAAGTTCAGGGACTAAACCTGTCGCTCTCGTATTCGGCAGATAATTCGTATTTTTCCAGGAGGATCCTGAGGCTTCAATTGTACATAATTTGACAGTAATTATTCGAAAAACGGCAGGGACCGTGACATATATTGCACATCCTTTCAGGGATTGACCGAGATTTATTCCAATGGGGCTCTGATCAAGCAACCCATCGTGACGGAAAGCCAGCACGGCCGGCTTACTTGTTGTAGGTTAGAGCCACCAGTATACCGTCACAGCCACACACTACATACTACCACCAGGTACGAGTCCTCTGGAACCTTGTGATGCACAGGAAATAAATCACAAAGTCGTTTCGAGACTGACCCAGGTCTTCTCAGCAGTTGATATGGCGAAATGTAAACACCGAACCCTCCAGCCTGCACCCTCACCACTCGCAGCATTGGCAGGCTATGCACAGCCAACTCTTGAAGAACTCATCGAAGCTACGGCCAGCGCAGAGAGCGCAGGGAGAACTATGTCCAGCACCAAAGATCCGATTTCACCTCTTCCTGCCCCGTTGGTGCTACTACCAAGCAAGTAGATGTGGCGTTATGGTTGTGCGTCTTGTGTGAGCTGAAGTAGCTATGGTACCTCCTAACTAACCATGCCCAAAGGCAGTTCAACGCCTTCGACCGTACAAAATTATACTTCTCACTCCCTCCCTGTCTGCCTCCACACCAGCTCTGCACCGACACGTTGACAAAATTCACGCACCGAGCCGCTCGCTGGGAGTGTTTAGCGAAACGTAAACATCCCGAATTTCAAACGGGTTGTACTCGCAGTGCACGGCGGAAAAGACTCGACAGCAAGTAAACACACGATGCTGAGATGGCGGACAGCCTCGTTCCAAAAACCACAGATGAGCCAACATCGACCTCGTCGACCGCAGAAGCGCCCCATTGCAAGCATCGCGGGTGACGGTATTGCGACGTTAGACGACAAGAATCGGAGCTGGACGATCTGATCTCAGCGACTGGCTTCGCTTCCATCACCGGCGCTCTCAACGCATCGGAACACGGTGAGCACGATCCTCCTTCCGCCGGCAGCGGCAGCGAAGAAAACGAGCGGACTATCCGGCCTGAATATGGAGGAGCGGGTTGAGAGTGCGGTGTCGATGAAATAGATCGGTCGGCCGGGGGAGAGTGCGGATGGGGTGTTATATTCGGCGGGTGGGTGGAGCAGTTTTGTGACGGGATCACATTGGCGAATACTGGTGGGTGGGTGTATGTCGACATGGTGAGGTGAGATGCAGGATGAGAAGAATTGACGTAAGCAAGGATTGAAAGTACAACGAAAGATGGATTATATCAATTAAAAAGCCTGGCAGTCCTTCGAACCCAGCACATTGGTGTCGAGATACTCGACGCTGCTATCGCCCGCCACGATATCAAACTGCGTACTGTAGGTCTCAGGCAGCTGCTGTCCCTTCATCGTGACCAACTTGTAATCACCAACCTCCTCGCCAACTGTGCCCTTCCACTCCTCGACCTCAATGCCCGGCACAAGCGTGCCTTGCTTGGGGAACTTCCTCGCCACCTTGGCAACAACCGAAGCGTTCACGCTCTTCCTCACGGCGGCAACAATCGTCGCGTCATTGTCAATACGGCAACTTTGTCTATCTTGGTAAAGGACTGTATCGTCGAGAGGGTATCCGTGGCCGGCGTTGTCGTACTGCGTAGTAGCGCCGGTGGATACGCGCGTCACAGTAGCAGTGAAGCTCTTGATGGAAGTCGAGACGGGCAAGGCGAGGGAAAACTCGTGCCATTTGAACAGCTCGCCGAAGATGCCGTTGCTCAGGCCGCTCTTGAAGCTCGCGGGGTCCGTGGCGATGGTGGTGTTCAGCGTGCTGTTGCCTGCCGGCGCGGTGCGGGGTGTGTATGTCAGCGTGACGCGCTCGTCTTCGGATCGGTCTGATGAGGTCAAGAGACGGATGCGGCCGGTGAGCGTGATGTGGGTGGCGTTTGTGAGGGTGAAGGAGATGATGTAGGGTTTCAGCGGGGTAGGCTCGAGGGGTTCAGTGAGCGTGACGGTCGAGGGGACGGTGTCAATCATGCGTTCGAAGATGTCGGCGCACATGGACTGGAAGGTCTTGGGGTCCGAGGCGAGCGCTTTCATGGTGACGTTGTTGTCGGCGGCGAAGATGCGCTTGTCGGAGTTCAGAGTGTCGTTGTGAGCGACGACGAGAGGATTCTGCGTGGTGCCGTCGAGGTACTCGGTTGCGACCTTGGGGTCAAATGTGGCCTCAGTCGAATCGAAATGAACCACGTTTGACTCTGTGTTGTTCTCGGTGATCTCAGGGAATGTCTTGCCGTGGACTCCTCCCATGGTGTGGCCGCAAGCTACCATTGCGATCATGTCCTCTGATGTCCCGTTAGCAAAGACCTTTGACTTGTTCATTGAAAGTGGTCGTACCGGTACTGAAACCCGCCTTAGCGAACATCTTCTTGTGGGTATCCAGATCCTGCTGCGGCTCCGGCACACCCAGAACACCACCTTCAGTAGCGTCGACTCTACCAACACGCAGCGGGATCTTAGGCCCACCGCAGTTACCTACAGCCAGGACCGTCGAAAGAGCGATAAGATCCGCAGCTGAAGTGCGAATGCTGTAGTAGTTGTTCGTGAAGCCAAAGGTACCGTTGAAAGCGTCACCGGCATTCTCAGCGCGGCCTGTTTCGAACTGGATAGAGGCATCTAGACCGCCAACTCCAGTGGCGTTGTCGAAGGTCGCCATGTCGTGGAAGGCTGTTCGGATCCACTCTGCTGCGGTCTGGCGTCCTGGGGCGCTGGGGTTGCGTGTGCATGGCGTGATACCTAGGAAGTGTAAATGGTCGGCCATGATAAGTTGGGATAGCAGACCTACCATCAATAAACCCCTCGCGGATGTAGCCTCCTTGCAAGACCAGGAGATCCTCCATTGCATCGTGCTTGCTTGGCCATACGTACTCAGCCGTTGCCGGCAGTACGTTAAGCAAGCCCACCTGGGCTACGGCGAGTGCGGAAACCTTCATTATATATTGAGCGAGTGACAAAAACGAATGTGTATAGTGAACAAGCGAAAGAGGAAGACTGATGAACCTTTGAAGCCGTCAAGGAGCCCCTAAGTATTTGCACTGTCCAAGCATAGCGCATTATAATTGCCCTCATGGCAGTGGATCTCAGGACCAAGATCACCGCCCGCTGAGCGTACCCTGCATCATCCACAGAGCTCGCTGTGGAGCCAATGGCAAGAACGAAATTGATGATGACACTTGCTGTTTCAGGAAGCCGGAAAGTCAGATCCTGGCCGCTGTACGACCGAGCCCATTGACGGTTACACGGACGACCTTCAAGGTTGGCAGGCATTGCTATCCTTTCTCGTATTGATATCGAAATCGTACACTAGACATCAGAGGCAGCATCGGCCGTGGTCCGTAAATAGATTCGCGAGGGTCCTACGGAGCCGTAGCGGTTGTGGCGGTGACAATGCCCTAGGCACAGCCTCGGCGAAAAGTCGTTTCGGCTCCACAGCATCTTGAATTGCATCTCGAATTGCATGCTCAAACGAAAATAGACAGCCCCGTGAGGATAGGCAGCCTCGTCTGTAGTGCCGGACTGGTGTTCTGTCACAAAGCCCCGCTGTAACATAGCCCTCTTCATCTTGGCTCGAGACGTCCTCCCAATCAAGCTGCTGCCATCTGTGCTCGTGGTATCGTCACTCGTATCCGTGGTATCATTTACTGCCTCAGCGTCGATCTCTTGCCGCTGTGCCGTCGCACGCCGTCTGCTGCTTCGGAAGCCCGCTGGAAGCCCGCCGGAAGCCCGCTAGAAGCGACAGTCCGCTCATTTACTTACGCCCCTCAACCATAATAATATGATACCCCTCGCTGGTCTTGACCTCTCCGATCTTCGGCGCCCCAGTCGTCGAGGGCTCGAGTTCGTATGCAACCTTCTCAAAGTCGAGCATCAGGCTTCCGCGCACTTTCCAGCCTAGAGAGCCGCCTGCGAGTGTCAGCGAGCAGAGCAGAGTAAACGAGGAGAGCATCGTGAAGCATCGTGAAGCATCGCGAAGCAAACATCACAGCTCCGTATCCGCCACGCTCCAGAACGAGACATAGACCCACCCTGACGAGCCTTATCCTCACTACACTCGCGCGCGACATCATCGAAGCGAGCCCCAGCCCTGATCTTCTCAAGCGCCTCTTCTTTCTTACTGTGTTTCTCGCACAGGATGTGGCGCACGTTGATGCTGGTTGCGGGCTTGAGTTTGCCCTTGCCCTTGTCCTTGTCGCCGGTGTCCTTGGAGGCGGCCGAGGACGAGGGTTTGCTTTTGTTCTTTGGCGCCATGGGAGGGGATGGGCGGGGAGTTGGCTCGGGGAGAAGAGGAGGGTGCAGTGTGATGGCGAGTATGTGGGATGGCGAGTATGTGGGATGTGTGTTGCGGTTGGGAGCTTCGCGCGGGGCGGTGGCTTGGGCGGTGGGGCCGAGGCTCGTTCGAGTCGGGGCAGGCGCGACGAGGACAGGAGCGCAGCTCGTTGAAGAGTGTATGATCATCAAGATGATATTGGACGCTATGTACAGGTATTGGTGGCCTTATCTGCCCGTCTTCCCCCGTTGGTAGGTACAATGAATCAGAAGACCGATGCAGGGACACCTCTCCTCCAGTCCATCCCAATCGTTTCCTGTCTTCGTGATGTCGACCTGCACCTTCTCATCCTTCCACTCCGGAGGCGGATCCGCTCGAAGCGGCGAGGTGGCGTGCTGCCTTGCTGGCGTCATGTGTTGAATGTCCATCTGACGACGATGAATCTTCACCCCTTGCTGTTGACGGTGACGCCGTTCAGCTTGTTCTGTGCCATGACCATGTCCATGAAGCTCTTCCTGGGCTTGTGCTTCTTCTCCATCTTATGTTCATCGAAGTCGACAATATGTAGACGCCTTCTCTTGCACTCGGACCTGACGTCTTCGAGCAGAGGCCGCAGAGAATCAACCTTTTCAATCTCGGAGCTAAGAAGCGCCTCCTCGACCCAGTACAGCCCTTCCATAGCTAGAAACTGGTTCTTTGCCTCCTTGATGCTTTCTTGTATCTTGACGTAGTCAAACTCTGGCGATCCTTCCATCGGGAAGCGGAAGTCTTGCGCCAGAAGAGCAACGTCGTACTGCCGTAAAATAGCCTCTCGCTGCTTGCGCGAAACGGTGATGCGAGTCCAGTCCGAGTACGGCCCGGAGAGATGAGCGAGATCGAGCTCAGGCAGACCAAGGATGCCAACAACCTGGAACGAGCAGACGTAGGTCTTGTCAGAGGTGGCGCTCGGATCGCGAAGGTCTTTGGCTGTAGCATATAGGAGCGGAAGGAATACTGGCGATACACCCAATTCCTCACCAGAGAAATGCAGAGGTCGGTCAGTGCCCAACTCACACGCTCGTCGTAGTGCTTTGGGAAGCTTTGCGATTCGTACTTGGCGGGCTGCAAGCTCCTCTTGTCGTTTGGCTTCGTCTTCGGCGAGCTTGCGGGCAGTTTCCTCTTCCTGCTTGCGTGCAGCCTCAGCTTCCTCAGCTTCGCGCTTGACCTTGGCATCCGCCTCTTCTTTCCTGCGTGCTTCCTCCTCCTCTGCTGCTTTACGAGCGGCCTCTTCTTCTTCAGCTTTACGGGCTTCGGCCTCTGCAGCTTTGCGCTTCGCTTCTGCTTCCAGACGCTGCTCTTCCGCACGGCGCTCGCGCAGAACCTCTGGAGTGGCAGTCCGTTCAGGAGGCGCAGGTGTGGACTTTGCGGAAGCACTGGGTGTCCTCTTGGCAACATGGCCGTCTGTGGATGCATCTGAAAAACGTCGCTTCTTGATCTTGTCTTCGATCGGCCGATACTTGATCTTGTTCTTGAGAGGCTTGCGTTCGTCCGTCGACTCGACCTCGGGCGTAGGTCTGGCGCTTGCAATCTTTTCAATCTTCTTGTGGACCTTGACCGGTGATAGTTTCTGATCGTTCTCCTCGTCGCTGTCGTTCGATTTTGCGCGTGCTGTGCGTTTCGTGGTTTCGTTATCATCGGAGCGTGCTTTAAGCGGCTTCTTAGCAGGCTTGCCCTCCTCGCCCTCGCTGTACGACCGTTTGGCTTTCCGCGTCGGAGCTCGTACTTCGTCCTCGCTCTCATCCGAAGAAGACTCGTCGCTCACGACGCGCTTCCGCCTCTTGACTTCGGTGCCAGACTTCAGCCGCCTGGCCTTCTGCGGTGCTGAGATCGAGTCCGACTTCTTCAGTTGAGTGCGCTTCGCGTCTGGCCGAGGCGAGTGCGAGCGTTCTCTTCTGGGAGAGGGCTTGCGCTTGAATCGTGCAGCCGCTGGATTTGGCGCTTCCTTCTTAGTCCTCCTCGGACTTCTGTGGGTCGAGCTGTAATATTCGCTGGCTTGTTTGAGCATATCTCTCTCTTCCTCCCACTTCGGGCCTCTGCGTTCTTCGGCAATCTCCCAATAGGCCTTGCCTTCCTTGTTACGCCTGGTGGGGTTGAAATTGTCCTGCTCGAGTAGCAAAGTGACAATCTTGACATGACCTCGCCCAATGGCAACAGTCATGGGCGTCTCAGGGTGCTTCGAAGGGTCCGGGTCTGCTTTGAGGCCACTGGCAAGCAAAATACTGAGTATGTCGTAGTGTCCGCCTCTTGCAGCTGCAACACCACAGGTAATGTTTGGCTTGATGTTGCTGTTGATGAGCTCTCCGACGGCAAGGATGTCGCCGTCTCCAGCCTTTTCGATTAGGGTCTCGACGTTATACTCGTTGTACAGGAGTCGCGAGGCGCTCTTGGCCTGTTTCTGCGACGATCTCTCGCGTTGCTCAGACGTGGAGGTGTCTGTCTGCCGTCTCATGGCTTCCTTGAGCTCCTTCTCAATCTCCTCGCAGTCTTCGTCTTCGCGGTCCAGGACATCGATGGCGCGTTGACCCTTTTTGTTTTGGTGGTGTGGATTGACGTGTCCTTTGGTAAGAAGAATCTTGACGACATCCAGATGTCCATTCTCCACGGCATCAATGAGCGGTGTGTCCCGATCGCCAGATTCGCAATCTGTGCGGCAACCCTTCTCAATGAGGAACTCGACCACTTCGGCCCATCCATTCAGGGCGGCCTTTTGCAAAGGCGTGATGCCTGCGAAATCGGCTTGGTCCAGCTCGCCAGTGGCTTCCTCGTAGGCCGCCCTGACGGCATCCAGGTCGCCCTTTTCGCTTTCTCTAGCCAGCCGCGTCGCACCGAACCTATCCGTCTTCCGGCCATGGAGCATGCTCCGCGCTGGAGAAGTCATCGCCCTGCCCGTGCCGCGCTTGACACGCGTGTGTGGGTTTGCGTCCGAGGCGCGTGGAGAAGAGGAACGCTCAGAGCTGGAGTCTGAGTAGCGTTCGATTGAAACAGCCAGGCCCGGTGCCTCCCTGCGTTTGCGTGCTGCAGCACCAGAAACAACGGATTGTGTCGACTGCGAGCGCTTGTGTTGGCGGCCAAAGGCTCCCTGATAGAGAAGTTAGCCACAAACCACATGCACATGAGCAAACGCATAGCTGGCAACCTACTGTCGCAGGTGAGTTGGGCTGTGTGCGGTCCTTCAGCCCCTCTGTCTTGGCCTTTTGGCGTGGAGGCTCCAGCTTGCCAAACTCGTCGCGTAGCTTGCGCTTTCGACTTTCGACCGTGGAGGCGCTACGCCCTCGCGTGGTGGTCTGTGTAGGAGACAGCATGGGATGGGCGGGCGAGCCAGGCGGGCTGGTGTCCTTGGTCTGTCTTGAGCCTGTGCTGGGAGACGTGGGCACCGGGCTCTTTGCGTCGTCAGAGGCATCTTTGGCGTGGCCGTTGGACTTGACGTCTTTGACATGGATGGACCGGCGGCGGCCGTTCTGCGGCGAATGCAAGTGCGTGCTTTCCTTGATGCAGTCGAGCCTGGCGGGTTCGTCTTCGTCGCGCTCCGTCTTGATCGCCTTGGTCTCGTTCGAATCGTCGTCTCGTGACAGCACGACCGTCTCGGCCTCGGACTCGTTCTCCTCGTGGTCGACATGCTGCGTGGCGGGCGCGCTCTCTTTGCTGGAGGGCGAGGCGGCGTCGCGTGCAGGCACAGCAGCGTCAGCAGCGTTGGCAGCGTGGTTGCGCGGGCTTCGAGGGGCGTCGAGGGATGCGTTCAGGTCGCCATTACTGGTCATCACGCATATATGGGACAGGACACGGGAGTTCCTGCCTCATGACGGTCGGCGGCGTGGTCGGCGGCGTGGGCGGCGGCGCGTTGTTGTGATGGGCGAGGCGTGTGGAAGGTGCTGGGAAGCGAGCAGGCGGCGAGCGCTGGACGGGCGATAGCTGCGGATAGTAGGCAAACGCTGTGGGCCACTCAGCGCGCCGCACCAGCGCTGGCCTGCGCACCGGTCCCAGCGGCCCAGGCCTATCCCTGCACGCAAGCGTGGCTCCGTCACTGCGGTTTCCATGTATTGCTCTTCTCGCAGCCAGAAGACGCGAAAAGGGCAATGGGGAGGTGGGCGAGAGAATTGTTCATGTATGTGCCGTCAGCGTGTGTCCTGCCCCTATCTGCTCTCCTTTGGCGACCCTCGGCGACCCTTCGACCAGCACCACAACCACCGTGGGCGAGGCAGCCACTTTGCCGCTAGCCCACGATCGGCGCGTCAATTAACCGCATCGGTGCAGCCTGCATCGCAGCCTGTGATCCTGTGCTGCGCTGCAACACGGGGCAGAGATGGGCATTATTGGTTGTTCCATGTTCCAGAAATCAGATTCGTCCCGCTCAGAGAGGCCCAGCCATGCCGTCAGAACCTCGCGGCGACGATGCAGCGGCGGCTGCGCCAGTCACTGCTGAGTGTGGCAGAGCACCCGTCGACAACATTCGGGCCTCGAGGAGTGGACATGGGCCCCCGCTAGCCTGAAACGCCGCCACCAAAGCAAGCAGCCCAGCCAGCCATGATTCAAGAATGCATCACTCTTTCATCACTCGACCTCCCCGCACGCCCTGGCCATCTACATAGTACCCTCACGAGTCGTGAGCATTTCCCACCATGGCCTTGTCAGTGCCTGGGAGTCAGTCCGACGCCCTCCTCCACCCCGCAGTCCTCTTGCGCGCCTTCTACCTAGCCGCCTCTCTTCTTGTACTGCGACGCCCGCCGGCCTGACTGCGCTACACTGACCTGCTCTGCTTACTAGATTGTTGTCATACACACTGTCCCTGCCCTGCGCTGCCGCTTTCTTGCCTACGGCTCTCGTGCGACCTCGCCGTCTGCTCAGGAACCCGCACCGCGTCAGCCTGCCGCCGTCACCCAGCTGCTGGATTACGCTGCAACTATCCAGGTGCCACACAACTACTTCACCCACTTCTATGTCCTCTCAGTCGCGTGCTCGCTGTTCTGGGCATGGCAGCTGCGCATATGGGACGCCTCGGCGCAGCTGCAGGTCGTGTGGGCGCTGATGCTTCTTCAAGGCGTGCGCCGCGTGCTCGAGTCCAGTGTCTTCACTTCGACGAGTAAGAGCAAAATGTGGTTCGCGCACTGGCTGCTTGGGCTCGTTTTCTATTTCACCATCAACATCGCCATCTGGATAGAGGGGGAGGACTCTGCTAGCGTCCTGGCAGATCGAGAGACCAAGATCTTGGTCCCTGCAATCCTCACTGCCCATGCACTCCAGCACTCCTACCACGCCTACTTGTACGAGCTGCGCGCCGAGAACAAGGGTTACCGACTTCCCACCCATCCAATCTTCTCGAATCTGCTGTGTCCGCACTACACCTGCGAGACCGCCATATACCTCCTGCTGTCTTTTCTGGCAGCTCCTAGTGGCCAGATTGTCAACTGGACGCTTTTTTGCGCTACCGTGTTTGTGGCCGTCAATCTTGGAGTGACTGCCATCGGCACAAAAGAATGGTACATGGAGAAGTTTGGCAAAGACAAGGTAGGTCCGAGGAAAAGAATGGTACCCGGAATCTGGTAGGCGCTGTACCATGGCCAACGTGGGATTTCGATTCGGATCTAGCATGCCCAACGAAGTTTGATAAATACAATATGACGTTCCTATTCCGGCTATTTCGAGTCCCGCCGAGATCGAACGGCCCTGATCCCCCGTGCAAGTGCTGCAGATGTCGGAGCTTGAGCTGCAAGCCACTGCTCACTCCCTCTAGGATGCCATACCCGAATCGGCTAATTGCCAAGCTCTCCCGTTGATGGTGGGGCATGGGCGGGACATCTTGCAGCGAAGGCTGAAGGGCGGGACTACAAATGCGTAAGACCATCCACTCTGACGTGCGCAGTCAAGCTTTGAGGGTCATAACGGACAGTCGAGAGCATTTCCCAAGCTCGCACACCCAAATTCCACATCGCAACTTCCCGTGCCTACGCACAGCCTGCAAGATGTCTACCAATGTCCCCAAGGACCTCCCAGAAATGGAGTACCGCTTCGTAGGCAGGAGCGGTCTCCAGATCTCCGCCATCTCGCTCGGCGGCTGGCTCACCTGTTCGTCATGCATTCTCTCCTTCCAATCGCAGACTGACAGTTCAAGACGGCGGCCACGTCGGCGACGAGAACACATTCGCCTGCCTCAAAGCCGCCTTCGACGCGGGCATCAACTTCTTTGACGCGGCCGAATCCTACTCGGGCGGCGAATCCGAGCGCGTCATGGGCCGCGCAATCAAGCACTTCGGCTGGAGCAGGAACGACATCGTCGTGTCTACGAAAGTACCAAATCTCCGCCTCGCCGTGAAGCCACAGTCGCTGACGAGGCCAGATCTACTGGGGTACACACAACTCGTCGCTCCCCAGCCCGCGCAACAAAATCAACAACCTCGGCCTCTCGCGTAAGCACCTGATCGAGGGCACCGAGGCCGCCCTCGAGCGACTGCAGCTGACCTACGTCGACATCATCTACGCGCACCGCCCGGACAGACACACGCCCATCGAGGAAACAGTCCGGGGCTTCAATTTCCTGATCAACACTGGCAAAGCACTGTACTGGGGCACGTCGGAGTGGCTTCCCTCGGAGATTGAGGAGGCGTGGGCCGTGGCTGACAGACTGGGGCTCATTGGTCCGGTGGTCGAGCAGCCCGGGTACAGTCTCCTTCGGCGGGAGAAGGTGGACGATGAATTCCGGAATGCAAAGCTGTTCGAGAGGAGAGGGTTGGGGTTGACCGTCTTCTCGCCACTGGCCGGCGGGCTGCTGACGGGCAAGTACATCGACGGCGTGCCAGAGGACTCGCGCCTGAACACCTCGACCGATCCGTACATCCAGGGCGTCATCAAGACGGTGGGCACGCCTGCGTGGACCGAGCAGCAGGGCAAGATCCGCGCGCTGATGCGTGTCGCAGAGTCGCTGGACACGGACGTCGCGACGTTGAGCATGGCGTGGGTCCTGAGCAACAAGCACGTCACGAGCGCCATCACGGGCGCGTCGAGGCCCGAGCAGATCTTCCAGACTGTCCAGGCGCTGCATGTATATCGCAAGTTGACCCCAGACGTGCTGGACGAGATTGAGCGCATTTTCAAGAACAAACCTGCGCAGCTGACGCCGAGGTTTGGTGTTTGAATCTGCTGCGTGTAGAAGAATGAAAACGATTGCATGCGACCAATGCGTCGACTTCAGACCGTGTTTTCAACGCTGCTGAGACGTGTACTTGGAGAGAGGGAGAGAGAGCACAATCATACTAACAGCACTGCGCGGACAAACTCTCTAGTGAAGTCGTCTACCTGTGTTCCAGTCTTGCTCGATTGAAAGAGACTCGGTTCTTCCGATCAATTCACTAGTGTCAACAAGCCTTCCATACCCGTGGCCGTTGGCTGGGTGCGGGGATTCTGCGGGCCCAGTGTCACCCCACTTTTCGGCCTTGCTCGCGCAATTATTAGTGCGCCCGCATTCTGTCTTGGATTCGTGAGAATATTAATCACTAAGTCAGTCACTCATTCATCAACAGCAACAGCAACTTTGGCCGAGTGGTTAAGGCGTGTGGCTCAAGAGATCTTCTCTTGCCTTCAATTGAAGGTTTAGCTTTCTCATAGACTTTGTCTGCGGGAGTTCGAATCTCCCAGGTTGCAATATCTTTTTTGCAATCCTCCATTACAGTGGCCCAATTTTCCCTGACTCACTGGCTTAGCTTTTTTGGGGCTGCTTTTGCAGGGATGTGCACGTCTGTCTGAGATGCTGTAGGCACAGTTGGGTCTTTTGTTGATGTTGTAAGCTTGTAAGGGTGCAGGTCGTAGACACGTGGTATCGTGAGGGACAGCAGGAACAACCGCCTCTATGCGCAAGGGACTTTGAACAACACGTCTGAGAGAACCATACTGCGATAGCTTGCTTCTACTTGTAGCGACTCTTGTTCCCACGTTCCGTTGGCGTTGCATCCGGCTAGCGCTCCACGTGAGCCCGCGTGCGCGAAAGTCCAAGCTCCCGCGACTGCCTGGCAGGCTGCATCGCGCTTCCTGATTTAGTACTACGCTCTTTGTCTTCGCCCTTGCCGTCTTTCTTTTCAGGAATTAGCTGCTGTCTACCTTGTCTTTATCGTCACCAGGAGGCTTTGCAGATCAACAGATTGTTCAGCAAGCAGTAGCGTAAATAGCAGTACGCGCAACGCACGCGGAAAGAGCAAGGAACTGCAATCGACTGCAAAGATGGCGGGCAAGGAATCGACCATCTACATCGTCGACCTCGGCCGGTCGATGGGTGAGACGCGCCACGGCCGCGACCACACAGATCTTGATTGGGCGCTCGACTACGTATGGGACAAGATCACAACAACAGTATGCAGACGTTCCTTTGGTGATTTAGTGCGTGGCGCAATGTGATTGCGTCGCGTTGAGACGAGGCTTTGCGGTCGTGCGAAACGAGGCTGACAGACTGCAGGTCGCGACGGGCAGGAAAACGGCGCTAATGAGCGTTGTTGCGTGTCGCACTGATGGGACGGACCTTAACGGTGTCATGGAAGAGGCGGAGGGCTACGAGAATATCACCGTGTTCTCGGAATGTAAACAGTGCGGCAATACTGATCGACGACGACGAACCTGCTGACGAGGGTAAGGTACTTGCTGAGCGACATCCGGAGGCTGCAGAAAAACCTGAAGCCAAGCAAGACAAATGAAGGAGACTGTAAGCTACGTCCCTTCCATGTTATATCGCCCACTCAAATGTGTAGTGGTCTCTGCACTAGCAGTCGCTGTTCATTTGATGGACAGTGCAACCTCGAACAAAGCTGGCAAGCCGCTGAAGTTTGATCGGCGGATTGTCATCGTAACTGACGGGAGAGGTGAGATGGATGCCGATGATCTGGACGCTATTGCGATGAAGATCAAGGACGAAGAGGCGCCGATTGAGGTCACGCTGCTCGGCGTTGACTTTGACGACCCAGACTACGGCTACAAGGAAGAGGACAAAGATATTACGAAGGTACTAATCGTGCTCCACTGACGGTATCATAGCTGACATGGCGCAGTCTAAGAACGAAGAAGTCTTGAAGAGCTTCGTGGAGAGCTGTAGCGGCAACTTCGGTACACTCGCTGAAGCCATCGAGCAGCTCAGCATCCCCCGCCTGAAGCAGACACGGCCAATTCCCAGCTTCAAAGGCCAACTTACTCTTGGAGATGCCTCCAAGTTCGATGCTACACTCACTATCGATGTCGAGCGATATCCATGCACCATGCTTGCCAAACCACCAACGGCCAGCTCATTCGTCGTTCGCACAGATCTCGGTGCAGCAGAACCCAGTAACGGAGAAGCTATGGAAGGCATAGTCGGTGAGGACCATCCAATGAGTGACCTGGCGGTGGTACGAACCCAGCGAGGCTACCAAGTCGATAACCCGGACGAACCAGGTGCTAAGAAGAATGTGGAGATGGAAGATCTCGAGAAGGGATATGAGTACGGCAGGACCGCAGTCCACATCGCCGAATCCGACATGAATGTTGTCAAGCTTGAAACTCAACCCTCGTTAGAGCTTATTGGTTTCGCGAGAGAAGAAGAGTTCGGACGCTACCTACCAATGAGCCGAACGAACTACATCGTACCCCAGAAAGCAAACCAGCAAGCTCAGCTAGCGCTTTCCTCGTTCATACATGCGCTGTTTGAAGGTGGACTGCATGCAGTTGCGCGTCTAGTCACGAAGGAAAGCAAACCACCCTTGGTCATTCTGCTTGCGCCATGGATCGAGCCGGACTTCGAATGCCTGGTCGATGTAGAGTTACCTTTCGAAGAGGACATGCGACGCTACAAGTTCCCACCCCTGGACCGAAAACTTACAGTGAGCGGCAAGGTCATCACAGAACATAGAGACTTGCCGAATGCAGATCTTACTGCTGCAATGGACGCTTACGTTGACGCCATGGACTTGTCTACATTCGGCGAAGACGAAGACGGCAACCCTGATGAGTACGCAAAGCCAGAAGATACATACGCACCGCTCGTGCATCGTATCAACCACATCATCAGGTGGCGGGCTACACATCCTGATCCCACTCTGGTCATCCCTGACCCGCCTGAGATTCTCAAGAAGTATTCTGCCCCACCATCAGAGCTCGTTGAACGCGCAAACAGCACGCTCGAGTCTCTCAAAGCCGCAGCAGATGTCAAGAAGGTACCACCCAAAGTAAAAGGACGGGGCAAGCGCAACCGCGCTGAGCGCGAGAAGCCGATCTCCGGCCTTGACGTTGATGCGCTGCTGGGCAACCCTACACGAGTTACGATCGATCCAGCCAACCTCGTGCCGAGCTTTAAACAGGCGCTCGCCGTCACTGATGATTTGGCCGCCATACAGTCCGCTGCAGACGCCATGGCGAAAGAAATCCGCAGCCTGGTGAGGAACAGCGTGGCCGAGAGCGCCTACGGGCGAGCACTGGAGGCTGTCCGTGTCATGCGCGACGAACTGACCGAGCTCGAGGAGCCAGAAATGTACAACAGCTTCGTGAGAGTGTTCAAGAAAGAGCTGCTTGAAGATGCGCTGAATGGAGACCGGAGGGAGATGTGGTGGAGAGTACGGGGGAGCAAATGTGGTCTGATCGACCAGAAGAGGTCGCTGGTGAGTGATGTCACGGAGAAGGAGGCGGACAACTTTTACAAGGCTTAGGTGGCCATCAACGTAATGTGTACAATCAGAGGCTGAACTTTTCCACGGTGGCTAGCTGCTGGGTTTGCCGCGATACCATCAAGGTTCTCGTGAACCTTTGCAATCAGTGGGTCAGGAGATCTCATGGTACCGCTCGAAGGGTCAGGGGTGCCTGAGGATCCATGCATCCACAACAGTGGATCACGTAGGCTTTCACCTCGACACCGAGGGTATGGAACGCCTCCAGATGCAGCAATCACCTGTCTTGATCGTGTCCACATATTCACAATGATCTTTCACTCATCCGCGAGGCGCAAACGAGGCTCACTGCTAGCTGATGACAGAAGCCATACTTGCAGAACGACTGTTCTCGAGACCCATCCAACAACGCATATCAACTTCAACTGCGCAGTCTTACACAATGACCAACAGCAAGACCCCTGAGACAGATCTTTGCCCTGACTGGATCTACTCCGACTCCTCCGATGTGCAGTAAGTCTCCTTTCCATCCACACTCTACCTTTATCTTGACATCGAACAGCATCGCCAAAGACCGAGCGTGGTTTACTTCTTACCACGTCTTTCCGTCCCATGTCACCTCGCTATACGCCATCGGCGCCCCCATCCCGGTCCTAGGTATCGGCACCATCAAGCTCCCCGTCAAAGCCACCCGTGGCTCGTTCACATCCTACGGCGCCTCACCCATCGAGCTCCACAACGTCCTCCACGCACCAACCTACTTCTGCAACCTCCTTGGCCGCCCCCTCGGAGCCATCTACCAAATCAGCCTCGGCGGCTCAGTGCATGAAGGCGGTCGCCCAAACCGCGGCGGCCTCGCTCTGAACGGAAGACAAGTCACGCACTTCCAGCCCGGCCCGATCAGCTTCTTCTCACTCGCCGTGCTACCGCCCCCAGGAACGAGCTTCGGACCGAGCGCGTTCAGGACCGGCGGGAGTCGGGCGGTAAGCGCGCACTGGCCGCACGCAGAGCGGTCGCGCTGGCACGCCATCCCAGCCCACGCCGCGCTCGAGCGCGACCCGCTGCCAGATCAGCCGCCGTATGCACTGCATGAGATGGAGTTTGTGAATCGGCGGTGGGGGAGTGAGTTTCGGTTTCTCGCGCAGTATGGGCTGGGGCTGCTTGAGGAGAGGGATCGGAGCGAGGGGAGACGGATTGCGAGGGCGCTTCTCCAGGGGAGGGATCCGGAGGTGAAGGTCGGGGTGTAGAGTGAAGTCGAGGGGAGGCTGGGACATTTTCTGCTACCGGATAGTGGGATGGGTGCGAGGCAACGGATGACGTTCTTTGCGCAGGGTTGGTAAGGATGTGGAGTGTACCTGCTCGCTGGTGTGTCAAGTGATGGCCGTATTGTAAGTGACTTGCGATGGCAATTGTCTTTGTACGATTATCAGAAGTAAAGGGATATTTGTATCATTTGTAACTTCAGGCAGTGTACGGAGCCGCTTCAAATGTCCTTCAGAAACGAACTTGTCGAGGTCACTGGGACAGGTACCTTCTTTCTGCATATATTCGACTCCCTGAATTATCCCTAGAAACCAATCTCGAGCTCGAGAACCGGAATATATGCCATATGGCAGATTCAGTCTTCGATAAGGCCATGTCATCTATCTGTCTTCGATAGGCGAGTGATATGTCAAATCTCCCTGATCGGTCTTCCTCGCTGCAGTCTTTTTTGGTTAGCGTAGAGACACTCGAGCTGATCACTCGGGGGTTGTCACTTGACTGCATCCTGTTCATGTCATTATGGCTCGAAAACATATTTGCAGCAGACGCATGACTTTTCTTCACAGCACCTTCCAAGCTTCCTCAACCGCATGATCATAGCCTCGAATAGGCATTTCATCCTACACTTGAACCTTCAGTTGCCGTCCGTACCTTTTTGAGTTGTGTTGCAGAGGGCGGACATGTGCATCTAGCGAGGCTGCTACACCACTATGCGGGCTTGGTTTTACTAAGATCAGAGAAGTCGACGCCCAGCGTTGATGCACGTCTCGCAAACCCCTCGCTTATTCAACACGATGGGCCCAATTCCTCAGATATGCTATCTGAGAACTGAAAGATTCTTTGAGATACACATAGTCCAGTCTTTGGCTCGCTTCTGTGGGACCTTCAACGGCTTCTCCTGTGAAAGCGAGTGCTGCATTGACCGCAACTCCTCGAAAATTTCTTGATGGCTTTTTGTCCTTTAAGATTGGGTCATGCTTTTGAGGTAGAGAATTCTAAAGCCAACTTTTGACAGAGAACAAGGAAGCAACTACATAGCACGTAGCTGTGGCTATGGTCCCTATGGACCACTGTTGGTGTAATCGGCATTTCGTAGTTTATAACAGCCATTTTAGATTTTGGAACGGACTCGAGCTAGCTGCAAAGCCATGTGTGTGGCTTCCAGAAAAATTTACAAGCCTCCATCGTCATCGTACGTCTATAGGTCATGATGCCTCGATGAGGTGATTGAGCTTGGTGTTCTGGACCGGGCTGACAAAACGGAGTTTCTTGGAGAACCAAATAAACCTCTACATCTGAACGCTGGAGGTGCTCGGATTCCCTGTTGGTAACAGAAGCAGGATTCACGACCTGCGATGTTGCCGGTATCCGGAAAACAGTCTTACAACGATTTGGCCATAGAGATACGTGAGGTATCAGCAGCAATTTGTGGTCACCAGATTTCACAATAACTCCACATTTGATAGATAGAGTGCGATCGTGCGCATGGCCGTTTGGGTTCCCATTGGAAGCGTCGGTACGTCAAACACGTTCGGAGCTCGCGCATCCCAGTATAGGGGTTGAAATCGTGATCATGCATCTCTTGTCACTGCTTGTGTTATTGACGCTTGGCAAAGCTCCGCTATCCTTGGAAGACGCGGAGAATGCGGGACAAGAGGCCAGTAATCAACCACGTCACAGCGCACATCTAAGGCCTCCGTGCTCTTGGAATGCATTTACAAGCCATCAACCGACAGATTCCGTCATCGTACCTAATTGTATCTTCGCATCCGGCTGTGGCGGTGCCTCAACAGCAGTTGGCGTAGCATTCTGTGATCCACGCCGGTCGACGATGCCGTGTTAGAGAACGGGTGCGCCACGACGCGTGTGCCTGAGAGCTTATGACTGATTGTGATTTGCTGCAGCTGTGTGGTTCTAGGGGGCCCCAGGTGAAGTTTAGCGTTTGAAGGCAGACCTGCCAAGATGTGACTTCACGCAGCTCCCATCCTGGAAGGATGTGCGTGGTAGAACCCATACGTATGCGCCACGTGCAGAGTAAAGTGGCTTAGCGAACACGGTCACACGATAGCGGTGCGTTTTGGTGTTCGCCAGGCAGTGATGACAATACCGTTGTCCGCGTGCGCGGCCGTGATGTGTGTGAGCGACGAGTTGAAAAATATGAACGACCAGTTAAGGCTCAATATAGCACCCTTCCAACCGCAGTCGCGACAGCAGAGCCACACTCTACTTAATGTCGATAGGGACGGTGACAGACTGCAATCTCCCCAAGGTCGTCCGTTAGTACTTCTTGGTGGCGAGAAGACTGCTGCTGGATCGATTCATATATTGGTATGGCGTAATTCTTGCAAACAAGCGAATGGGAAGATCCAAACCAGCCATGCGGATTCTCCTGGGTCTGCACAGCCTCGATGACCAAAATTCGCTCAGGTCTTGGCTTAACACGACAAGAAACCAGGAGTCTGGGCACTTGGCACTCTGCGGAGAAGTGGCCAAGACGAGCGGGATCATGGCACAGATATTTGTACTCGAGGTCGCCATGTTCGCCTTGATTAACGTAATCAAACCGACTGCGATGGAGGCTGGTTTGGACGACACAAATTTACGGTTTTGTCGTCGTCACTGGTCAGCATCAGAGCTGCGCATTATCCTCTTTTCCTCTGTCCACAATTAGCAGGCCATGCAGATGACTGACTACGGACCTGCTTCTCGAAATAGACCATCGGATTTGGCGAAATCAATGGGTGTGCGTGACTGTGAACTTGTGAGATGGCAGAGAGGACAGGTGTGCAGAAGGGTTATCGAGGGTGTTGACACTGGTGAGTCGAGGAAACGACCACCTCCCTATTCTAGAAAGCGCGAGGATCGTTTCTCGAATAGATTGAACAGCCTCGCTGATTGCGACACGGACTGCGTGGTCTGGGAAGTGCGACACTCAGTGTGTTACCTCCGCCGGCCAAGACCATGAGCGATCAAGATGATGAGTGACCAAGCAATTCCGCTGAAAGTCCAAACTGGCTGCACGCCCTGACCAGCATTTTGTCTGCAAGCTGATGGCACTCGCAGGCAGCTGCTCAACTTCGGGATCGTGCACACCACACGCATCGAACGGGCTTCGGCTAACAATTGTGCATATGGAACCGTGATTGGGCAAGCGCCGCCGGCTAGCTTATGCCAAGCTAGCTCTTAGCTAGCTCGCCGAGACCAAGTACAAGCTGGTTGGCTTATGGCGCGAGAATTTCTTGGTCGCAGCTTCCCTTTTTCCGCCTGTTGGCGCCGCGCTTTTCTTGTCCCGCGCCCGCCGAGCTTTCTCATAAAGAGGAAGCCCCCAATCCACCCATTTTGGTTCCCCTCTCCTCTCCTCTGTGACCCAAGGCCTCGTTCCCCACCCCAAGCTTCACTCCTGTAAAACCACTCTTTCTTTGCGCTGAACGAGACACGTTCGCGCCATCCACCATCGTGTCTTCACTACAGAGCCAAATAGCATCTCTGCTGCCAAGCATGAGCAGCGTAGAACAACAAGCACCCGTGCCGGCTGCGGCCACGACACCGCAGCAGCAGCCTTTGGGCACCCCCACACAACAAAACGCGCCCACACCTGCGTCTGTTGCGAACTCAGGCGGCGACCAGCTTGTCTGCCAGTGGCAAACCTGCGGCGAGCGTCTGCCTTCCGCTGAGCAGCTTTACGTGAGTCTGCATTCGCCTTTACCTGATCGATACGAGTACTAAACATGAATCAGGATCACGTTTGCGAGCGCCATGTTGGTCGCAAGAGCACCAACAACCTAAACCTGACATGCCAGTGGGGAAATTGCCGTACTACGACTGTAAAGCGTGACCACATCACGTCTCACATTCGTGTTCACGTTCCCCTGAAGCCTCACAAGTGCGATTTCTGCGGCAAGGCTTTCAAGCGCCCCCAGGATTTGAAGAAGCACGTCAAGACCCACGCTGATGACTCTGTTTTGCTTCGCTCACCCGAGCCCAACCGTGGCGGTCCTCATGGTGCCTCAGGCTACCCAGGCCAGAGCGGCAAGCGTAAGAATCCCGATCTCGAATGTTTCTCTTTCTGTGTCTAACTAGTGTTGTAGTCGTTGCTGACTTGCAGGCACTTGCCGCTACAGCGAGTGGATATCAGTACCCTGAAGGTGCCCTTGGACAAGGCGCATATGGCCAGCAACACCCTGGAGGTGCCCCCGCCGGATTCTACGGAGGCCCACCACAGAACTCAGCCTATGGCCCAGTTTACTACGCCGTCAACCAGACGCAGCAGTTGAGCAACGACTACGAGATCCGTAAGCGTGCAGCTTATGATGCATTGAACGAATTCTTTGGCGATGCCAAGCGCCGTGCCATTGATCCGTCCACCTACTACGACGTTGGTCAGCGCCTGATGGGTCTCCAGGGCGTCCAGCTCCCCGTTCTCGGTGGCTACCAGTCTCATGGCATGTCTGAGTACGGCCACGGCGGCACTATGGTCGCCCAGGCCTCGCACCCTCCAATGCACCACCCCTACTCGCTCCCTCTTCCCAACCTGAGGACGAAGAGCGATCTTTTGAACATTGACCAGTTCTTGGAGCAGCTCCAGAGCACTGTTTACGAGAACCCCAACCAAGCTGCGGCTGCTGGTGTCCAACAAGCTGGTGCTCACTACGTCCATACCGGTGCTGGAGGCTACCGCTCAAGTCACTCACCACCTGGCTTGTCGAGCAGCCACTCCCAGTCTTCGCACACAACTGCTGGTCCTAACGACACACCTGCTCTCACACCGGCTTCCAGCGTTCTGTCGTACAGCTCTCAGCACTCACCCGGTGCTTCCAGCGGTGTCTCACCCACATCAAGGTCATCGATTGGCAGCATGTACCCTACTCTTCCGTCAGTCAGCGCCATGTCTGACATGTCTGCCGCCGCTCCTTCGTCTGGTCTTGCTCCTGCTTTCGATGCTGATGGTCGCCGGAGATTCTCCGGCAATCTTCTCCAGAAGGCTGCTCCAGGAAGCGATGACGAGATGGACACTGGCTCTGATGGTTCCAACAGGTCTCGCCGCAACTCTGAGCAAGACACCCTCCATCACGACGTCAATCAGCTCGCTATCCACTCGCCCAAGGTCGACCCTGCTCTTCGCTCACCTAGTGTTGTGTCGGATACTCCCACAGAGACACCCAATGACTCCCAGAACTGGGTTGAGAACATTCGCGTAATCGAGAGGCTCAGGGCTTGGCTCAAGGAGCGTCTCGACACTAGCGATTTCGTGGACGAGGACGAGGAGAACGACACTAAGTCGGAGCACCGCACCATTGAGGACGAAGATGAGCACAACCTCTACCCTGTCCTTCGCGCTGTGCAAGAAGGTCGGGAGTAAGGTCTCCAATCAGGAGATTCAAGTGTTTTTGGAGTTCACATGGCGTTGCGGTGTACTACCAGAAGGTACCCGATTGGCATATCGGGATGGCGAACTGTGTGATTTGGTGCTTCTTGACTTGACGGTCCGTACGAGGATTGAAGTATGAACGGCCTGTTGAGCGATCTATATACTTTTGACATGCTACTGTAGCGCTCGAATTGAAAGATTCCCCTGTATTCATCATGAACGTTTATCTCGCACAGCGCACAGCGCGTCTGGAAATTATGTCATGGCTTTCAGTGATCTCAGGGCTTATCTTGCGCCAAGTGGCTTGACCAATTTCAATGATCAAACCCCACATTCTCGACATGAGCCGACCGTCTAGACAAGCTTCCCCACGCTGCTGTCAAGTCCGAACGGTCGGTGGTCGTCTCATAGACATGTAGGCCCCACCTGGAGCCGCGGTTGAAGCAATGAACAACCTGTACACCTACTTACTTCGCATCGCTAGCAACGAGTATCTCGCATCTACATTAAACACAGGCCATCTTCTTGTCAGCATAATCTGCAAAGCGCAACATGTACGGTCGCGGCGGAGCAGGCAACATCGCGCAAGCAGCGGCCTCAAGCAAGAAAGCCGCAGAGGTGCACGGCCCGATGTCCCTCGCGCACACAACGCCAACTGACAAGCGCCAGGATATCGAAGCGGCCAATCCGCCGTCCACGACCCCCTCAGCGCCGTCCCAGACGTCCTCCACGGCAGCGCAGGACTACGCGCACATGGGCCGCGGCGGCGCAGGCAACTGGTTCCAGCCCAAGGCGCTGCAGGCCGAGGGCACGTTCTCGCAGCAGACGGCTGCCGAGGCGACGGCGCAGCCGACCAGCGCGAGCCCGAACGTGAGCAAGCCGTGGACGCCCGAGGGACAGGAGTTGCCTGTTGCGAGGCAGGGCAGGGGCGGCGCGGGGAATATGGTGTGGAAGAGCGAGGAGATGTGGAGGCGCGAGAAGGAGGAGGAGAGGGTGAGGAAGGAGGAGATTGAGAGGTCTGCTGAGGAGGCGGCGGGCGGGTTGCAGAGCCCTGGGAAGGCGGTATTTTCGGCGCAGAAGGGCGGGAGGGGGTGGTGAGAGGATATCAGCCCTTGTTTGTGTTGGAGAGGAGGGAGATGAGATGTGATGAAAGCATGACACGCAAAGCGCGCTGTGGAGGAAGTCACTGGTCAGGCTGGGAGTGTTTTCTGCTTTCTGTCTGCGTGATTTACGAGTGCGGCTATCCACAGTCTTTAGGGAGAACACATTTCTTCATCATCATCCATGAGATGTCAAGCTCATCTGCATGCCATTGTCGTCTTGGTGTCGAGAATACCATGTTATGGCCGCTCCTCGCACGGCAGCTGCGCGATTGCTCTGAAACAGCGGGAGCGGCTCGATACATGACAGCGGCTCGACTGTAGTGTTTACCATCACAACATCTGCGACACCGTTGTTGCCATGATGCGGCTCGAAGCTGCACTTTGCAGAGACCCGGCCAGTAACGCAGCGGTTTGCGTCGTGCAGCCCCACTACAGTACTCAGCGCACGGTCGTGGTTGTTGTTTACATCGGGCATCGGCTAGCCGCCTTGCGTCGTCGCCATATAACCTCCTCGACCCACACAGCACTACCCAAATCCGCCGTAGTTCTACACTGACACGACTCGCATCTTGCCGTCGCAACAACTCACCATGGCGCGTCGTTCGGCAAGGCTTCAACAGGTAAGTGTTCGCGCTGCTCTGAGCGTGGGTGTAAACAAACATGGGCTGACCTCTGTGATAGCCGGCGCCCACACCAGACCGGACTGCGAGGGCCGGATCGAATGACAGCTGGGAAACAGCTCAGTCTGAGCAAGAGCAAGAGCGAGTCCTCGACCTGCCTTCAGTGCGCGAGCTTCCGGAGCCCGTCGCGAAGACGCCGCAGAAGCCCAATGCCGCCCCGCCCAAGTCTGCCACCAAGCTGCCCACAGCTAAGCCAACAGGGTCGCAGACACCGCTGAGCAAGAGCACATCCTCAATGCTACTGGCTGCAGCCGCATCGGTGCGCACGCCTACCAATCGGACGCCTATCAAGCCCGCCGGCGACGAGATGCATCCCGCGCTGCACCACGCGAGCACTGCGAAGCCGCTCGACGAAGCCCGCTGGCTGGGCTTCCAGTCGCTGGGCGCTCATGCTGCGCCGCTTAAGACAGCTGGTCATGCGCCCGGCACGCCCTCGAAGACCCCCGCGCCTGCGTCCACACAAAAAGCGCCTGTCCTGGGCTCTTCTCCCAGCAGCTTCCGCTTCCAGCTCAAGTCGCCCTTCTCAAAGGCCACGGAGACGTCCAAGGGCGGCGACCTCAGCCCAACCACACGTAACATCCTCAAGGAACCAGCCATTGGTGCGACTCCAGGCCGTGCCATTTTTGGTGCAAACGAGTTCTCCTCCAAGGCGGATGTGACGCCAGCGCGCCCCAAGGCAGCGCCAAAGGGCAAGATGGCACGCTTCAGCGACATCCACATGGCCCAGTTCAAGAAGATGGATTCGGTTGCGAACCACCCTTCAGCATGGCGCCTGAAGAAGACGCCTTCGAAGCCGGACCTGTCCAAGCCAGAGACCAGCAAGCTAAAGCGTACACAGTCGAAGATGGACCTGGCAGAGTCGAGCACTGCGGCACTGAAGCGCACTCAGTCGAAGATGGACCTTGGTGAATCTAGCACCAAGGCGCCTGCAGTGCAGCGCCCTCTACCCAAGACCAGCGCAGCAGAGTCCGCCAGCAAGATTCCACCCACGCCGCTCAAGCGCACTCAGTCCAAGGCCGATCTGGCCGGCTCTGGCTTGCCGCGCTCGCACTCCACAGTCCGTCTGGTCGCTTCTCAAGACAGCTCCAACGACCCAGCGCCGAAGCGCGTCAAGCGCACTGAGGTTGACGACGCCGCAACCACACGGCCAGCGTCGCGCGACAGCAACACGGAAGCATCGTCATCCAAGCTTCCAGTCCCGCCGCGCAAAATCACATCTCAGACGGCCCTTCCTCGTCTTGCGGCTAGGCTGATGACACCGACCAGGTCTTCCATGGCACGTGTCCAGTCTCAGACGGTCAAGGCTACAAAGACCACTATGATCCCACAGTCTCCTTCTGCAAGGAATCTGTTCTCGCCGACTCACATCGGCCGTTCTCTGCGAGACGGTGCGCGTGAGAGCATGCAGCAGGCGAAGCGCAACTTGCAACAGGTCCGCTCCATCCTTCGCACCCCTGGCCGCAAGTTCTCGGATGATCCAGCCAAGATCGCTGCCGGTACGCACATGTCTCCTCCACCGGAGTCGGCTTGGGAAAAGGCGCCCACCGCAATTCCAGCTACCGCGCCCGTTAAGAAGCAGGTCAACTTCAGCAACAGCACACTGGCCCGAGCCGCGCCCGACCCCACAAAGTCGCCCTCGCCCATGAAGTTCCGTGCTGGCAGCGAGATCCCCGTTGGCGCAGTTGCGTATCCCAGTCTCGGATCAGGTGTTGAGTATCCCAAGCTTCCACAAGGCGATGCGTCTCCTCCTGCGTCTCCCTCGCGCCGTCTCACCTTTGGAGGCGAGACCGCAAACCACCCACGCAGCTTCTCGTTCGAAACAGGCAAGCCTGTCAACTTTGGTGAGTCCTACAAATGGAAGCTCAATGAGCCATACTAATCTCGTTTACCAGGTCCAACAACTACCGGCACCATCCGCATGGTTCGCAAGAGCGATGCTCCCTCCATCGTCCAGAGCACGAAGCGCAAGCTCGAGACTGTTCAGGAGTCTTCGGACAAGGAGAATGACGAGCGGCTGGAGAACCCTCGCTCCGCAAAGAAGATGCGGCCAACACCTGCTGCACCAGCAACACCTGCAAAGGTTCCTGCCAGTGCAAGCAAAGCACCTCGTCGCACCCCCGGAAGCGCCATGAGCAAGTCCAGGCTTGCTTTTCTTGCCACGCCCAAGCGCAGCAAGGCCTAGCTCACTCTCCTCAAGCATATGCGCTTGAGCTGGTCGCGTCTGCTGAACGACTTCCGTCTCGGCAACATACATCCTCTCAAAAAACGATTTCATTTGTCATTTGCTCACTTGCATCCTGGGGCAGGCCGGCGTTTCTGAAAGATCAGAACGATCTATGATCATGATCAACGACAATTTCCTTTCTTGCTTTGAGATGCTTCTTTACATCTCGGCTGCATGGTTGGCGAAAAGATACGATTCCATGTTAAATGGGCTGTGTGTAGCGACGGTGTCCGTGGGACTTTGCATATCATGACACGACTTCCACGATCTGCTGTGTATAACATAATTGAAAAGAAATAATCAATTGACCCGCCTGACCTCGTGCAACGTGTACTCTGAAGAACACACCACTTATGCAACATATCATCAACATACATTGCTCTACCGGCCCCGCGGTAAGCGTCTAATCCATCTATTAATCTACAGACAAAAGAATTCATCAAAGACGCATGCCGCCTAAGCCGCCGCCTCTTTCTCTCCGTCAAGAATCCTTAACTGCTCCACCAACCAATCTTTCATCTTGTCACTCTCCTCCAGTCTCTGCGGATAGTAATGTCCCATATCCCACTGCTCCACGACACTCATCCCCGTGCCAACCTCATAGTGCGCCTCAACTAGCCCTTCGCTCGCCCACTTCCACTCGTCCTGCTCGCCCATGACATGCATCACCGGCGCGGTGATCTTCTCGCCCAACAGCCTCTTTTTCTCTGCTTCGCTCTTGGACGCTAGCTCCGGCAGCTTCAGCACCGACGGCGGCAGCAGCGGCGGCGGATACGATCCGCACACCGACAGCGCAAAGTGGAACGAATCCAGCCAGTCCTCCCCCCGCGCGCCCACCGCCCGCCGCACCTGCGCGCCCCGCAGCAGTCCCGCGACGACCTTGGTGCCCTGGCTGAACCCGATCAACCCTACCACGCGCCCGCCATCCGTCGTAATGCGCTGCACAGCCTCGCGCACCAGCCGCTCTACTTCCTTGGACAACTCCGACGTCGACGTCCCAGACCGCATCAGCTCCAGCGTCACTTTATCGGACGGCGGCAGCCAGCGCGCGAAAGGCCCGCAGCCTTCGAAGAAAGGCAGGATCCCGGGGCCGGCGGGGGATGCGAAGGGGGCGTCCAGATACGCGATGGTGAAGTGCTCTTTGAGCACGCGGTTCAGGCGCGCCAGCTGCACAGTGTGGATTGTCGCGTTGGAACCGCTGCCGTGGAGGGCAAGCAGCGTTGGCTTTGCGGCGTCTGGGGGGGTCATGCTGGGTGGCGGCGTGCCGAGTGTGAAGATGGGTGGTGCGGTGGCTGCCATGCAGCAGGCTGGTAGGCTGGTTTAGGGACCTGTGTTTGCTGGCTCTTTCTTTGTGTCGCTGGGTGAGTCTGGACTGTTCCGGATCTTGGTATGATGGCGCGCTCGATGAGAGTGAGGTTTGTCGAGTGGTGCGCCAAGATGCTGGATGTGAATGTGGATGTGCCCCGCGTTCTTTCTCTTTCTGCAGATCGCCGATATCCGCACTGTCTATCTAGCTCTGAGAGTTGATTCTGCTACAGTGCATCAACCTTGGGATGTCGCCTGCCTAAACTTGAAAGTGTTGGATGTCAGAGGCGCAGGCTTGGGACGTGGTCGTTATCGATTGCACTTCGAGGACCGAGGTGTTGGCTCGGCGCTAGTCATGCATCCATCATCGCAGCCTCTCGTGTCTCGGCGAGTCTGGAAACAATCGGAACCTGACAGAAGCAAAAGCTCTTCACTCATAGCGTGTACGAGCTGCGTTGTACGACATGGCTTGTGAAGGTTATCAGCCATTGTGTACAGCTCCCCTTCTGCGGCAGCTGTGTGGCTGACTGAAGGCAGGGAATCAAATAGAGAGAGGGTACATTTACTCAACTTGGAAATCAACTGCAATGCTGTGACGCCTAACGCAGAAGGGCTTCAAGTCCACCGAGAGAGAATCACAGATGCTAAAAATGTTCAACGCAGCAACGCCTGTCCACCAGGAAACAAAGAAACACGCGGATCAGCTCAGCTGATCGGCGCAGTCCCACTCCTCACCAGCCCACTCTTCACTGAACTACCACTCGCGCGACTACTCGCCCTCGTCCGCCCCCCCTCCGCCCTAAAACTGGCAAGAATATCCTTGCCAATATCGCTCTTCCCTAGCTTGACCACCAACGCTGTATTCTCCCTTTGCAGCTCAGCAACCTGCTCCTTGAGCAGTTTATTCTCCTTATCCACGAGTTCCTTCTGCTTGCGCGCCTCATCCCGCTCCCGCTGCGCAGTCGCGAGCTTGCTCTTATCGGCCTCTTTCTGCTGGCGAGCGAGGAGCTTCTTGGTTTCCTTTTCGCGTCGCTCTTCGAGTTTGCGCATCTCCTTTGCATATTTTTCTTCTTGCTTTTTCTTGTCGCGGGCGTGCTTTTCGGCGGCTTTTTCAATGTCCTTTTGGGATTGTTGCGACGCGGTGGCGACTGCGGCACTGCGCTTTTCTCGCTCCGAGTCGAACTTTTCGCGCAGTTGGAGTTTCTTAGTTTCGATGCTGTTCAGTTCGCGTGCGTGGTGGCTGTCATCGTTGACGGGGACGGAGACTTCGGATGCGGTCGAGGGAGTGGGGATTGTGTTGTCGATGGGCAGACCCTGGGGGGCGGACGTGAATTGTGTGGCTGAGGCGAATGAGTCTGCTGATGACGCGGTGGAAGAAGAGCTGCTGGAGATGGTGCGCTGCAACTGTGGCATAGGATTCATGGCGTCTGGAATGTAGGCACTCAGGCCGCCTACTGCGCCCCTGAGCTGGTCCAGGTAGCCGTCTTGTGCCGGCTCTATGTCGCCGACCACTTGGTGTGACGCTCGTCGGCGCGTCGATGATGGCCTGTCCGCTATGCTGGTGCCAACTCCTGCACCAAGGCCATTCGAGTTCTCCAGCGAGTACCGCGGCTGTGCCTCGACGCTTTGCTGTGGTGCATCTGTTGTGTTCTCCTGGCCAGCTTCCGATGCCTCACTTGGTTCGTTGTCGTTCCTCGCGCATGCCCAGTCCAGGAACTTGATCGCATCTGCCACGATACTGCTTGGTACGTTCCTTTCCACCATGAAGCGCGGTATGCCACCTCCAGGGTCACTGCGTGTGACCATTATCCATTCCACTGGGTTGGTCTCAGCATCGTCATTGCCGGTGAGTGGTATCTCTCTGATCATCTCGATCGACTCGTACTGGCCGAGCACCATGCCGGCACGCGGCGGGGCTTCTGGGTGTGTGACGGGTATCGAGACGACCATCCAGTGCCGTGGCACTGTAGAGTCAATCTTGGAGGCTTCGCTGAGGGCGTTCTCGGATGTGATCAGTAGTGTGATAAACTCTCGCGGTGACGTAGGGCCGGGAAACTGCGCAGATAGCTGGTAAACTATTGCTTGTTAGCACACATCCGTGAGGTTTGTAATCTATCCCTCTTACCCTGCAGATTGCCCACGCCGTCGACAGTCAAGTCCTCCAGCCGCTGGTCTCCGCCGATGCCTCTGATGTTGCCCTCGCCAGGCCCGCCCTGCACCTCCAGACTCTCGGGAAACTCCCTCTGCATCATGCGCTTCCACTTGGAGAAGCCGAGGCCCTCATGCACACTCGACCGCGCAAACCACGCGCCGTGTCTGTCGTGCCCCGCCATCTTGTACACGCTCATGCCGGTCGCGGTCTGCTGGGCGCTCAGCTTCACCGGCTTCCCCCACGATTTCTGCAGCGCTTCATGGTCCTTTGCAGGCGGCGGCCGCCGTACTTCCGACTTGGTGAGGTCTGCGGCATTCGCTGCAGGCTGTGGAGAGGTGCGCGTGCGCTGCGCCGACTCATAGGGCGTGCCGTTCGGCGGCGGAGGGACCGAGTTCGCAATGAGTTCAGCGTTTGCGAGGATTCCAGGCAGGAAGCTCTTGAGGTTATCCGTAGGCACGTCGCTGAAGTCCTTGGGCCTGAGACACTCTAGCGCCTTGTGCAGCTCGGCCATGCTGCGGATCTTGTGATTTTACAATGTCGAACTTGTGTGCACTCTCGAAGAGTATGCAGTCTCAAGATATGACGACGGAATTCATGCGCGCGACTTGTTGCTCTTGCTTTCCGCTGTATCCGTAGTACGAGGGCCGATAGCTCACTACGAGGGTTCGGCGAGGCCGGTGACGACCGGTGAAGTCACGAAAATACACACGAAAACAGATGGGTATTGCGCTGTAAATTGTAGAAACGAGATGCAGATATAATAGGACGGGTCAGGAAGTAGGAGAGGAGCGTAACCTGATTACAAGGCTCGCACGACGCAGACACATGCCGTTTGTTGCGCATGGAGGAACACGCGGATGCGTGATCGTTTGCGACGTCATCCCTGCGGATCGTGGGATGCGCCTGCCACATCCATGATCCTAGACGAGTGGACCCTGATATGTCCAGAACGAGCGTGGTTACGTCACGCTAAGTCTTGACTTGGTATTTCCTGCGAGAGCTCAACATGGCAAAGTTAAACAGGCATCTTTCAGGTGTCGTATTTCCTGTACCACGGGAAGACCTCGGGTTTACAGCGCGAAGAAATGGCCTTTGAATCTCATGTACGTGCAAAAGACCGGATGCAAGCATTGAAAATGGAAGGTTTCCAGCCATGATTCGCACGGGACCTGTGAGTCGACAGGTCTTTGAAGACAACGATTGGGTTTCTTGTTATACTCTTTGTCCAGAGCATGAGAGGCTTCCATCGCGTACATCGGTTCCCAAAGCCGACATTTCTTCAAGTCTTCTGCCTTGGCTTTTATCGAACCTTTATTATTAGACCTGGGGTACAAACAGACGAGATAAGGACCATTGCTCGATGCTTTCCATGAGACTGATCGAGATAATCTGCTAGTTATCCTATGTCTGTTTTAGCCATTAAAACTTCGTTTTGCTGTCTCTAGAACTTGTAAGAAGGTGTTTGACCTTTGTTTGCACTGCTGGTGCTATGAACCTGTGGAAGTCACATTCTTTCATTTGCATGGAAACACTGGCAAACAACTATTTATGCGTGTCCCGCCATGCGCGATAGCTGGCAGCAAATTTGGGAGGTACTCTGTGGCTATCTGCGGGTCTCTCGCGAACTCATAAAAATCCTAAGGGCTACAAAGATCCCGCATCTGAGATAGTTAGCTCCAGGAAGTCAGGAAGCATAGTCTGTAGAAAGTCTCGTCCTCTAACGCTTAACTCTCGCCTTGTGCACTGCTGTACGGGATTGTTCGCTCGCTCCCTTGCTTGCCATCTCTGCTGGTATTTTCCTACACAGCTGCTTTTGGGACTCGTCAAATGCCTTCTTGAAGGACTTCTTGAGACAAGATCTTGTAGTCATCGCAGTGTTCGTTCCCCGATATTGAAACTTCGACCCGTCACCCTTTGGGCGTACGAGCGATGGAAACTGTCGTTGTCCCAGACAGCCAGCAAGCATGTCGTCCCTGCGTCATGTGCTTTGTGCAGGTACTTCGACTTGTTATTGTCCTGGCCATCACTGTCAACCTCCTTATCCTCGGCATCTTGTTTGGAATCTTCTTTAAGGGTCTCAGCAGAGCGGTCTGCTCGACGTGTTGCGACCTTAGCCTTTGATCGGGGTCAACGCAGCCGTCGTCTTCGTCGACGCAGACGACTATGTCGAGGCGAAGCGCTTCCCTAGTGTCGCGATCCGAGGCAACGATCTTGCTTCTGTAAAGACTCTTTTACCCACACGGAGCTCTCCCACATCGACAGATTCCACCTCCGGCAGCATGAACAACCTAGCAAGACACTTTGGCTCGCTGCACTCAATAACAAACCTTTTCGCATCGAGAAGAGCATCGCGGAGGCCAGTGTAGAATTCTGTCCAGGTGAGGTGATAGAGAGGTGTTAGGCGTTCGAATGAGTGATTTCGAGGTGGAGGGTGATGTCTTTGGAGTAAAGTAAGTAAGTGTAGTCTTCGCCCACGAGAACTGAGTACGGTTGTGGAGCCCATTTCAGGGCTGCCGCGCGCATCTCTCTGGTGGTGGTGAGGAGGGCGGGTAGTGATGAAATGGAGGTAATTGCGAGATCGGTACTCTCTTTTATCGTGATGGTGACAGAAGAGGGACGTGCAAGCGCGTAGATAGCAGAGCGAAGCTCGACAGGAAGGACCTGGAGACGTTAGCTGTGCCGCAGCAAACGGAACCTTGTGAAAAAGAGGCAGGGTGGTCTTCTGAACTCACCCAATCTGCGTAAGTGCATCAGATCTATGTTATACTACCTCGGATTTGAACCATCCCAAGTGAGTGAACTCTGTCGCCTTCGCGACCTACCCCAGGGTAATCACCACATCAATGTATTTGAACTGGCGGACCAAGACAGACAGGAAGGATACACAGGGGCTGTAGCAAGAGCCATCAACTATAAAGTGTCAGATGTAGGAGCACAGGGCAGATACAAATGAGGCAGAAGGTTGTTGTATTGAGGGAGCTACAGCGAGCAATTATATACACAACCAGATAAGTAAGCAGGTGACTAACACAGTCACGTGAGGTGCAGTTCACAGTGTACTGTATGAACTGAGGTGCTAGGCTGACACACCCCCTGAGGATTCTATGTTGGATGGAAACCTCACAAAACAAGGAAAAATACTAAGAGAGTGAGATGCTTACGCATACTGCGCAGCTAGTTTAGCTAACTAAGGGGTAGAGGGCAAGGAGAGTCCCTGACTATTAAGTGATGAATGTCCTTTAAGCTAAGCTGGCCTATAAAGTTCTCGTGTTTCTGTTGAGGAAGCAGCTTTGTGAAGCCGTCAGCAGGCATCTCAGCAGTAGGCTTCCACTCGACAGCGATTCTTCCAGAGTCTACCTCCTGGCGAAGCCACATCTGGTGTATATCGACATGGCGAAGCTTTGTTTGGATGCGATCTGCATCACCTTGAACAAGGCGTACAGTCTGTGCATTGTCACACCAGAGAGCCTTTTTGGTATGCAGCGTGAAGCCAATATTGCGGCAGAAGCGATCCCAGTATTGTGATTCGACGCCAGCGGCTGAGAGAGCGTACAGCTCAGCCTCAGTGGTAGATCGAGTAACTAATCGAAGTACAGTAGCTTTCTAGTCGATTGGCATGCCATAGAGCATGAACACGTATCCAGCAGACGATCGACGAGTCTCAACGTCATCTCCAAATGATGCATTAGCAGCACCAAAGAATGTTGGAATAGTTGAATTGATCTTGGTAGCGTAGGTCTGTGTAGGCTCACCCCCTCGAGCACTGATGGCTAGGTACCTAGTTCCGTACAGGTACTGCCACACGTGCTTGATCTCAGAGAGGTGTATTGGTCCTGGGTTTGTGAGAAACCTTGCAAGGACAGAGTGAGCATGTGCTACATCAGGTTGAGTCATGACCTCAATGTACGCAAGATTGCCTACAAGGCGTTGGTAGGCCTTTGTGTTTGATAGCTCTGAAAGGCCATCGTAAGGCAATAGCCTTGAAGTAGAAGAGAGAGGCGTAGATGGGTATCTACTATTAGTACAGATAAGGTCGTACTCAGTGCAGACCTTATTGATAAAAGCATCCTGAACGAGGTAGAGCTGACGGCTAGCCAGGACGCGTTCAACTCGGATACCAAGGAACCATCTAACATCGCCAATCTAGCGCAGGTTGTAGAGCTTGATTAGTTGCTGTTCAAGCTGCTGAAAGTCCTCCTGATAGTCTATGTGGTACAGGATAATGATATCGTCCACATAGAAGAAGAGAATAACCCTATTATTCATCCACAGGCATGGAAAGCCCTGAACAGGGTGTAGGCCTAGCTTTCGAAGCGATTCCTAGAAGTGGATTGCCCACAGGCGAGGAGCTTCCTTGAGGCCATAGAGAGCGCGTAGAAGTTGTAGTGTTTGACTGTATTTGTGCTGAAATCTATCTGGAGTTCTCACATATAGAGTACGATCTAGCAGAGCGTTGAGGAAGGCGTTTGGCACATCGTATTGCATGGCCTTGAGGTTGAAGGCACAGGCAAGGGCCATAAGCGCTCGGAAAAGCCGTGCTGCTAGAGTGGCTGCGTAGGTATCGCCGTACTGCTCCTGCAGGTCCCCGCGCACTACAAGGCGAGCCTTGTATTTGAGTAGATAGCCATCCTCATCAAACTTGTAGGTAAAAACCCACATCAAAGGTACAGCGTCATCAATGTATGAGACTGTGATATCTGGTTTTGCGAAGGTGCCTTTGTTCCAGCAGTTACCGAACTCAGTATAGGCAGCAGCTGTAAACTGCTTCCCGTGTGGGTGGTGCTGGAGCTCCTTCCAGTGATGTGGTGGAGGAGGAAGATCATCTCAATGAAGGCGAGTAGGATCAGGCTTGATCCTAAGTTCTGAGGCAAGAGAAGTAGCCTCACGTGATTGCTGAATAATAGCAGCAAAGGCATAGTACTTAGTCGAAGGACTAGCCTCGATGAAGTGCGCCTGGCGGCGTCTTCTGCCAGTGATAATGTTGTCCTGTGAGAGATCTGGATCTCGTCGTTGAGGAGCGTTGTTCTGATGTCGATCTAGGACGTATGGCGCATGCGTGACTAGGTCAGGTGTAGCAGCTCTGATCGTATCTAAGTCCTCATCAGGGTTCTCATCAGAGTTCCACCCCCTAGGTGTCATGTGCTGTGCAGCAGCAGAGGACTCCTGAAATAGCTGTTGCTCAGCTGGATCAGGACAGTCGTGAGAATCAGGTGTACTACGAGCAGTAGTAGTAGGAGAAGGCAGTTGCTGTACTTGCTTCTGTGCAGGAGTTGGAGCAACTGCAGCCTGTTGCTGCCGCACTAGCTGAGCGACAACGATAGTCTCACTATCGTATTCCTCCTCAGGAATGTGTGCAGTCTCAACGATATAAGACCTTGCAGGTAGAGCAGACAGCTTATCCTTGTAAAGCTCGTCTACAAAGCGTACGTCGCGTACGCGGATAACGCGATTTGTGGCTGGCAGCCATACTCGATAGATGTTCGAGGCGTCATAGCCGAGGAGGAATCCCTCAAAAGTGCGATCTTCGAGCTTATCTCCTCTAGCCAGGTGCTTGTTGAGCACAAATCCACAGCTTCCAATAGCGTGGAGTCGAGAGAGGTCTGGGCGGACGCCAGTGACCATCTCATGTGGTGTGCGCCAGTCGATAGATCTCGTAGGCGTGATGTTGAGCAGCCTTGCTGCTGTGCAGACTAGCTCGTTGGCCAACATCTTTGGTAGACCAGCATGGATACGAAGAACCCTAGCGACGGTAACAATGATAGCACCAGCTCGCTCAGCACCCCCCAGCTGTGCAGGAGTATCAGGAGACCTTGTCTCGACCTTGATGCCAGCTGATGAGAGGATCTCTTGAGCAGAAGAGCCTAAACTGGCCTTAGCTCGTCCATATCCTACGTCTCCGTCCATGAAGACTATAGCTACTTGGTAGCCATATACACGCTCAATCTTGTTGATGAGACGTGTGATTGCAGGAACGACAGTAGCCTTGTGTCGATCCTTGAGAGTACAGATCTTATGTAGTTTTGTGTACTCACATACTGCATGTAGTGCCCATACATCACTGTTGTAGCAGGCCTTGCTATGCTTTTGGAGCTGAATGATGTCCACAATGATGCGGTAGAAAGGGTGGTAAGCCTTGTTAGCTTGAGGACGTCGACTAACGTCTTCCTTTATCTTGCCCTTGATGCAAGGGATGCAAGAATCTGTCCATTGTTCTCCTTTTCTGTTGGTGCCTAATGTGAGGCCAGTTGTGGAGTTTTTAAGATGCTCGATAGCCTGATGGCTTGGATGGCCGAGCAGCTGATGAGCTTTCATCGCAGTGACAACTTGAGGTGATTTTGCTTGAGTAGAAGCAGCTGCCATAGCCTGAAAAGGCTGTTTAGCGTCTTAAGCTTTTAAGAACCAGTGACCTCCAATTCAATCAAGGTCCATGAAGAGAGATAGTAACTTATCCTCCCTAAAGAGCGTGTTTGTTATTAAATTAAAGTAGATCTTCTTGCAGCAGCTTAGGCTGAAGATATTGGCTACATATCCTGGGATATATGCCACTTTCTTGAGCGTGATTGAGGCCGTCTAATTGCCCCTTTTTACGTCAAGAGTTACCTCTCCCCAGGCTTATATCTAATATGAGTTACAGCCTGCTTGTACAGTGTCTTGAGAGGAAGGAAGCTTTATCTGCTTCCAATTAGATCCTGCCTTGTTGCAGATATGAACGTCTGATCCAGGGTCCATGACCCATCGGTGCTGCAGCGATTGAGCGTGCAGCGATAGTGCAGTATTGGACTGCAGCAGCTGCAAGGGCTGCTTGAGACAGGCTGTATTGGACGCGTATCCATCGGAGCTACAGTCTGAAGCAGTATCGGCCTGATGAGCATGACGTGATGCGGAGTTTTTGCGTTTAGCTATCTCAGCCTTAGCTTTCTCTAGGTCGAACGTCCATCGTATGCCGGCGTCCTTGTAGGCCTTCTTGACCTTCTTAAGCGTATCCTTGTTTTGAAAGGATACAACAAGCTTAGATAAGGCCTTTGTGCTAGGCTCAAAGTCCTTAAACCTGCCTTTAGCCTCAGGATTGAGAGTGAAGCACTGGAGTACTGATGGGTGGAGCCCACAGACGCACGTTGATTGACCCGTTGATCGGTCCTTCTTTGGGTGATTGTTCGGCTTGGGCTCCGTGATGGACAGAGATGTAAAGCTTCCTAGTGGCTGAGTTGCGTTTTGGGCTGTAGGTACCGTTTGTTGATACTGGCTGATCAAATCCTGCAGGGTAGGAGTTGGCAGAAGGGCATTTGATTCGCCTTGCTCCATGGCGAGGAACTGGGCTTGAGCCCATGCCTCATCTCCTAAGTCCCGTACAGCATGGATGAATTGCCACTGTGCTTGGGTCTCTGTCATCTCTGGCATGCTCTCCTGAGCACATTGAGATGTGATCTGCGAGTATTCGTCCAGCCAGGCCTGGGTGCTCTGGTTCTTTGGCTTCTTCTGAATATCGCTGTACTTGGCAGCAAGCTCTAGCCTGCGCTGCTGGTCTGTGACCTTGAAATGCTTTCGGAGCGTCGTAAGCTGACTCC